ATCAGACTTGAGCACTTAAGTATTTAAATTATGTACTTAAGTACTTAGGTTGAGTACTTAAGTACTTAAGTTAAGTCCCTACGTACTTAATATTAGGCCCCTTAAGGTACCTAGACCCAAATACTGAGGTTTTGGAAAAAAAGTTTTTTTAAAAAAGAATTGGCCCATCAGATCAACTTTTCAAGTCATTCCTGACAATAACACAGTGTAATAAGCCCAAAAATGATGTATTGCATGATGTTTATCAGTATGAGTCATGTGTATAAATTTCTGTAACATTTGTTTTTGCCAAGCGGTTGTGGTTGACACTAGACTGGTTCAACTGTACATGTATGATAATATGTACTCAGGGCTGACACTTACAGTAAGCCTACCCAACACAAGAGCAGTCAGTATTGAAATGTATTGTCCTTTTCTTGATAGATCTCTACTCAATTACAATCCATGTTTCTTTCAGAGTCCAATGGAATGCAACTGAAAGTGATACCACTTTTGGTAATACCTAGAACATATTTTACTAAAGTTCAATATGTTGGTGGAATGCTTCCTCTTGGATCTGTAGGAGGTACTCAATCCACAAATCAAAGCTTTCTCAAACTTATGGTTTGAAATGAAAAGGAGTAAGGAAGACTCTTTGGACTCCTTTTTCAACAATAGTAAATCACAGTATCTCACAGGATGGTAAGGTAGCCATTCTCACCGTCACAGCTATCCCAAAAATTCCCTCAAACGAGGATCCAAGACAAAAATTGCTCAAAGAACCACAAGTCAATGTAACTACCAGCCCTGTCATCTGCTATTCTCTAGTGACTTGAATATATCATGTTGCAAGATTTTGCATTTGCATTATTGTTTTTAAAACTTTTTGTACCTACAGACAAGTGATGATCTTTAGAACAAACATGTGTCTGATCTTATGCAACTTGAACCCGCCACTACTCAATTCAACCTAGATAGGCTTGCCCAATTTTGCCTGGAAAACTTGAGAGAGATTGGCAAGGAATCTCTGACAAGGGTTTGTCAATTGACTGCAAATGAACCATGTGATGTTAGTCTTATTCATGAGTCCAAGTTCACAACATTGGTATCACATGCGCTACTGGCCCCATGAATGACAATCTTGTGTAGTTGGAATATCTTTGAAAGCAAAGATGGCAAGTGGATCAACCAGATAGGCAGCACAATCAAGTACAGCAGCTTTTGTAAAGCTTCTTCCATGTTGCCTGCCAACTTGCTCTGGTTTGGGGATCAAAACTGAACCAATTTTTTGCAATTGACCATGGCTGTTCTCACCAAAAGGGTTTGTTGCAAGGAAGGGACCCAGATGGAAGTCACTGGAAGAATATTGAGACCAATTTTATTCTCAAGGCCAGGTAAAACTTCAATCTAGGGAACATAACTTGTTATACAAATATGTTTGCAACATATAGGGAAGTCCTTAGTATCAACACTGAGACAGCAGCGCAACATGTAGCTTCTGCGTAGAAATACCGTAGCTTTATCTGTTAAGCTTTTGGATAGCTTAACGGGCCTTCAGTAAGCTACGCTCACAGATACTTGTAAAGGATATTTTTCAGACAAGTTATGTTAGCATCCCAGTGTAACTGGTATTTTTTTAAGTTGTGCATCATCCACGCAACCTGTTACCGTAGCTTTGTTGCGCACAACCTGGATCCAGCAAAAGGGGGGGCTATGTATGACACCTCTAGACCAAAAATCCCACCAAATTAACCCAATCAAGATTGAACATATCCACAGGACAACACAAGGGGACAAATACAATGCACAACCAGCCCAAGATGGACCTAATTACCTTGAAGGTGAGTGTGATGCTGAGTTTTTCCACTGTTTTGCACTCTTCCCAAAACAATTGTTCAAACTTTCTCATACAAATCTTTCATTCCTATCTATCATCAACCTTCATACTTATTTATTTTGATCTGAATATTACATTGCTCACCTTTTTCCATTTATCACTCTTTTTCTCTAGCTGTTATTTTCTCATTGTTATCAATCTGTCATGATCAACCCAAATCAACACCACTTTGTGGGCATCTTTATACAGTTGTTCACCTACATGTACTTTCAGTTATCAGTTGTCCTGAGCTCAAGTCAACAATCCAGCTCAGCAAACCCAAACCCACCTGTCCAAGCCACTCCTACTCTACCTCAAATATTGCAAAACCCGGTTTTGAACCCCGGAATGGTTACCACTAACCCTGATAGTTGTCGAGGACTCTCAATAAACTTATCTGCACCTGCTCTTAAGAAAAACAAGTGTACCTTCATTGAATCGGCCTCTTCATCACCTGAAGTTGTGAAACCACCACCTAAAAAGAAACAAAGAAAGGCCACCACCACCACTGAATAACAAGTAAAATATTTTTCAACTTTGATGGTTCAACTTTTACTGATTTAGTCATCCCACCTTTGAAAATTTCTTGTTCAATCCAGGTCACAAAGGAAATCCTCCAAGCCAATTCTGACAACAAGAACAGTCAAGTTTGCCAACAAAAGCATGTTGATATTGATGAGGAAATGAAACTAATTTACTACTAGCGTACTTTGGAAACCATTTCACAGCAATAACAAAGATGTATGTATTGTTCATCATTAACCTTTAACACTGATTTATTACCCTGATGACTGATACCTTCTGTTATGTGTAATGCGGACCAAACAAAAAGACCATTGGGATACCTGTGTCTATGGTGCAGCCATGAAAAGACTAACCCCGTGAGAGTCAGTGACACTAACCCCACAGGGAGCCTCGAAGCACATTGAGACGGCTGAAATCAGACCGGTTGATTGTCCACAGGCTGCCCTGGGCAACGGCAAGCTTGTGAGGCAGGACACACTGTTCCTCTGTCTGTGGCTGCAGTTTGAGCTCCAGACAAAGAAGCTGAACAAAAGAAGACCAGTGGCCCTATTGACGTTTTTGTGACAACAACCAAGGCTTTGAAATTTGACAATCTCACATTCAACCAAGGGATGTGTACTTGGCTACTCCAGAAATTGTTGCCTTGGTTAGGGCTTGCGGATCCATGGCTTTGAGCATGTGTTCAATATTTGAGACCTGAAGCCAAACTTTATGGTAGGCATTGGGCCGCACAAGAGGCTAATCATTAGTGCAATAGTCAGCTATATCAATCTTACTTGGAAGTACGTCTCCTGTCACCTAACTCTCAAAGTTGTAGCTTGGGAGAACCAAGTTGTATGGTTGGCCAAACCTCTGGCCAACATGTTAATCAAGAATGGCCTTGTAGAAAAGATAAGCCTTTCTATAATAATTATAATATCATAAATTGTGCTAATACATTGTTAATCCGTCCTCACTTTCCTAGTCAGACCACGGACTCATGTTCAAATAACAAGACAATGGCCCATGAAATGCACCGGCAGTTCATAGAGCATTGTGGCATTGAATCTGACTACCAATGGAACCCCAATACTAAGCACACTTTCTGCTTCTGCCACAAGCTTGCACATATTTTAGGTATTGCTCATAAGCCTTAATTTATAACCCAGGTTTTAAAGCTCACAAGTAGCTCTAGACCCACTTACAGGCTCTAAAATTATAGGTTGATGCCTATGATTTTAAGAAGCTTGAACTTTTTTGGATCAAGACAAAAAACCTGTCTTTTTTTGTCTCAAGAAAAGGTGTATAAGTTGTTTTTTTGTTCCCTAACGGTTGTTTTTTTCTTACTTCTCTCTTGGTTAGTCCATGACAGCAGATAAAATGTACTTTTTTCTACCATATGTACCTTTGTTTCAAAGCTTGTTCTTTTTGTTATAAGACATAGTGGCCTATTATCAAAATTTTTTTACAACATTCAAGTAAGTTTTAGGTAAAATCCATCCTAAGAAAATCACTTGGATCTTTTAAGATTCCTGCTTTATTTTCACATCATCTACTGCATAAACTACATTAGTAATCTAGTTGCCAGCTCTTGGCCTTATGAGTTTCTTTTGTTGGTCAACGCACCAAGTAGCGTTAACATAACTGGAATAGCTAAGCTATCAATTTGAGATAGCTTTGAAATTACAGTGTAGTACTTATAACCCAACAAGGGTTATACAGAGCTGGAAGGGGATAATCTACCAATAACAGACTAGTAGAAGATGTCTAAAGACTGCCCTCCTAAAACAAGTCAATCAGAAAGGGGAACTCTGTTGAACTGGGTACTGATAAGGCACCAGAGAAATATAACTGATTTGGTAAAAGAAAAGGACCTGATATAGTTTAATCTCAACACAATTTTAGTTTTATTCCAGTCGAGTCAAAATGTAGAAAAATAATCTCAATATTGTTTTGATATTATTCCAGAATGACTGTGTCATATAAAGCACATAAAACAAATTTCTCCTCTGATGAAGGGCTGGTTTGAGTGACCTAGTACTGCTACAATAAATTTATAATGATAAATAAAATTGAAGCTCTGTAAGAGAAGAAGAAGAAGAAAGGAAACATAATTTTGCACAAAGCACACAAGTTTATATAAAGATCAATGAGTGGTCAACAGCTCTTGAAAATCCTCTTTACCATCTAAAAAACCAAAAGATGACTAAAATGTTGGTAAACAGCTATGATCTAATGATTCAACCCCTCTCTACACTCCTAATTTTCGCCATCAGTAGCTCATTAACCCATTATGATCATTACTATGATGTAATGTGTCTTCTATTCATCATCTGATAAGATTTATTACTAATTTGACCAGTAAAACATGACAAATCCCTATTCTTATGATCAAATGCTGTGTATATGCTGTGTACTAGCAGTTTAGAGGTGGGCACCGCTGTTGTCAAACCAAACTTGGCATAATAAGATTTGCTCAATAATTATAGTATGCATTGAAGAACAAATCATAGATAGGTCTAGAATTCCCGTTTCACTCATCCAATGTGTGGTGCCACGTGGTGGTGATTAAATTGGGACCTTGATTGGCATCAGCTGCTTTATGAGCTTTGCTTTGCTTCCAAGATTTTGTCACTTTGGTTTATGTGGGGTTTTTTTTGACATCAATCCATGTTGCAGTGGCATTGAGCCAAAAGCCTCCGACTGTGGATCCAGATCGGTGAGCCTTCATGAAAGGTATCACATAATGAGGATCATTGGTTGGATTTCTTTTGAAGTTCTTCTTGAAGTTGAACCAGTTAGAAAAGGTATTGTTGAGATTTGACTTGGTCTTCTTATCCTTTTGGTGATCAATTCTCCAGAGTTATCAAAGTAATTACAAACTGTATGTGCATGATCATTTGTCAGTGAGTTGAATTATCTGTTCCTAGTTCTGAGGGAAACCTGACTATTACTCACCATATGAAGGTGGTCAAGGATGACTTTGTTGGTCTCCATCATTGTGATCGAAATCTGAATCAGCTGTTCATAATGAAATCAAAAGATAAGACAATTTCGATTTCAATTCTTAAGGTTTTGGTATGTTCTTTGGAGATATAACTCACAAAAGGGTGTGGAAGGTTGACTGATTGATATTGTGCTTTCTTTTGGCTTGTTTTTTTGAGAGAGATCATTGCAACTTCCTAGAGAATCAAGTTTACCTAATAAGAGACTCCTTGTGACTTGTGATCATTTCATTCATGCCATAGGAACAAGTTTAAAACAGATAGATGAATCATCAATTTCTCATGACAAATGGTTAAAAGATTCAAATATGGTACCTTTAAACAAAGAACTCATCATGATCATTTGGATAAACACTGTCTTTGATCCCCTCATCTTTCAAGAGTATCAATAGACAAAACCGTAACACAGGATGATATAGTTACTTCAGCTGTTTATGTTGGAACATTTGAAGTCCAACTTACAGAGCATCGTGAAAGAGAGCAGTTATATCAGGATCATTCTTTTTTCCTTGTCAGTGTGAGGGGGGCTAGGCAAAACAAAACAATATGGGTTGTTGATCAAAGAGATAGAGACTAATGATTCACTTCAACCACAACTTTCTCAAAAATCAATCTTCTTCTTCCACCACTCAACAAAAACACTACTTATGAGAGAGAGGGACAAAAGAAAGTTCAATGCAAAGAAAAATAAAAAGTAGGAAAACCCTAGACATTGAACTTTTCAAACTGTAATAAAAAAAATTCAACTTTTTTACAGTTCATCATGCTCAGCATCTTTGTCTTCAGCTTCTTCACTTGATTCATCATCAAGTACAACTTGCTCAGCTGTTTCAGCTTCATCATCAGAGGCAATTTCAACCTTCACAGCCTTGTGTTCAGTGTGCTGCTCAACAAATCCAATCAATCCATCAAGGGTTTGTTCACCTCCAAAATTGATGTAATCCTTCAATCCGGCCTTCTTGAACATCAAAGGTGGGAAACCTTCAATCTTGATACAGGTGGAAGGTGGTACAACATTTTCTGTAGCATCCATCCTAAAATCATCTTGAGCTAGATCATGAAAGACAGTCATATACATGGATGATATTTGACCTACTTGGTGATCAATAGATTTGTGGAGTCTTTGAAACTGTGAGCGAGGTTGTGCCAAACAGTCTTCAATTTCTTGCAGTGTCCACACCAACGAGCATCTATAGGAAGAAAGACAAAAAGTCAAAAGGTGCCACAAAGGAAAATCAGAATGAAACAAAAAAATGCTTACAAAATTCAACAAAAAGATCCCTCTTGTTATCATTAGAGTGAACAACTTGTTCATACTCATTGGTGACCAAGACGCAAGATCCAGGACCTTTCTTCTTGGGGGAAGGAGCACTCTTGAGACTTGTCAAAAGTTTACCAGCCACAAAGTCCTTAGTGAACTGAGAAATGGTGGCAAGATCAACAGTGTTGTTCTGGTCAAGAGGGAACTTGTTTCGAGCACCAATGTTCTGGATAGCAAATGCTAGCCAATTAATGTCTTGTAAGTTGAGAGATTTGGCATGATCAGCGCATTTGGTGGCATTGATCCAGACAAAGTTGATCTTGCCCTTGTGTTCACAAGCAACTGGTTCAAGAGATTTGACAAGTGACTCTTGGTGTGGGTTGTTGGATTCAATAAAGAAATAAGCAAGTGGGATACCAGCTTCAGTGTATGTTTCCATGAAACTCTGTATGATGAGCTGTGATCTAAAAAGAAATTAAAAGAAAAAAGAATCAGTTTTGAGATTTCGAGATTATAGAGAGAAATAGAGTAGAGTGTGATTAAATGTAAAAGTGAAAAAAGTTGACTTATGAAAATTTCAATAGTTCTTCTGATCAATTCATCTAAACCCATTGTTCTCAAAGGTTTCAAACTATTCACTAATCCATCAAATTTGTTTACTATTGATCCTGATTGGTTACAATCTTAAGATTTCATTCCTTTTGGTTGTTCTAAATTATGAGTTTTATGATTTGATTTAAATGAATCTTAATCAGTTGATTGTGCTTCTAATCTTTTCTTTCCATCTTACTAATGTTAATATATTACAAGGACAAACACGACTAGCTAAGACTGGAGGAGTAGGATTAGGTACTTTGAGGGCTTTGCTAGTAGGAGAAGATTATGGAGCAGGTGTTGATTGTTATTTTGCTACCGCAGCTTGCTGTGATTGTCGTTCTTGAGTTTTCTTGTATGCTCTTTGTAGAGCTGGTTCTGGGAATTCCGCAGGTGCATCTCTGATCAAATCTGCAAACTTTTGCTGTTTGTTTGATCAGCTTCAAAGATCTGTCAGTATTGTGAAGAGGCATAGGATGATTGGATTGTGTCTGTGATCACTAACTTCTTCTAAGATTTTGGAGTCCTGCCATACTATCAACCCATCTTCATTGAAATGTGGAGCATTATCATGTAAGAGGTTGAGCAAAAGTGGAGGAAAGCTTGGGAAGCTCAAGATAATGAGATTTCACCTTGTAAGCTGATGCTGAACTGAAAACCAATTGATTATTTGAATTTCTTAATTCACTAGATCATCGTACAGTTGTAGCACCTGCCAAATCTTCTATTCCTCCTGATCTGTGATGTGTTGTTCACACAGCCAAATGTTATCTTGTCTTTGGGTTGAGAGCACACATTGTCCCAAAAGCTGATGATTCTGCACTGCATTTACCTCTGCATAGTACAGGTAAACAACGTCTTGTAGCACGGGCCAAGAATGTTTGCAAAATGGTTGACTCGGGTCACAAGAGGCTTTTGAGCAATTTTCAATTTGTACAAGACTAAGTTTCTTCATTACAATTGTTTCTACCTTCTGAGCCGAATCAATACCTAATCCCAAGTTGAGATCATTCCAAGGCATTGTCTTAGGAAAGAAAGCACAATGAATCATCTAGAAACCTTGCAAGTCCATCGTCTGAAAAAACCTTCAATTCGATTCCTTGAGACTTGCAAAACGTTTTTAATGAAGAAATCATAGACTGTATTCTTGGGGTGAGTGGAAAGAAGCGACGATAAATAGGAATATCTATGATTTTGAGGTGAGGGAATTGAGTAGAGGTGATAAAGTCTAAAAAGTCTGATAGTTGACCTGATACATCTACTCCATAGCACGTTTGGTAAAATGTAAGATGACGCAATTTTTTACAACCCGCAAAAGAACGAACCCAGTTACATTCGCTATGAGGCCATATGGTTAAATGTGTTAATTCTGGTAGTTTAGCTGCATACATTTCTGGGTCGTATTCTGGATAGTAATCGGCTGGTAAGACCCGAAGACCTTCATCAAATCTGAGTTCTAGATGTGTCAGTTGAGGTGCCCAATCCGACAAGAACAAAGGTACTTCTGATAATGAAAATCCGTTGCACTCGAAGAGACTAAGTTTCACCAATGAAGGTGGAGATTTGAGACAACACCAAGAGCCGTCTATGGCATAAACTTCCTTGAGCACGAGTTGTTTGAGGTTTTTCAGATTAGAAAGACAAGTAGCGAGGCTGTGATACGGTTCCCAGTCATCATGTTCTACATACGAGACCTCAAGTGTTTCGAGAAGTGGGAGTTGTTGATAAATGGGTTCGGTGAAAGAATCTCCAAATATTGAGTACTGGCCAGTTCCTTGGATTCGTAGATGTCGCAGATGCTTGAGACCAGAAAACAATGATGTCAAGTGCCCACGCATGTTGCACAATTGTTCGGCTTGAAGAGCTCTGGGTCCTTTCTTTGGAAAAGTGAGTTTGAGAGTGGTAAGATTTTCACAATGAGAAAGAACCTTGAAGCAGTTCTCAAGACCAAGACCGTATAAGTTGCGTGACTCAAATTTACGAAAGAGATTCTCGTCTTGATAAGTGTGGATCGCTAGATTGTCAGAGTAGATCTTATCGACTTCGCAAAACTCTTTATTCTCCTCGATGAACTTGATTTTATTGACATCAGATGACCGCAGCGAGTAGCGCCTGGTTTTGCCTTTGGCGGCTAGTTTGATAGACGGTGGGCCTTCGGATATTTGAAACCATTCCGATCTTAAACCCAGATCGAGTATCTCAACATAGCACCCGTTTCGTGGTAAGATTTCCTGGTTCCAGAAGGGCATTGGAGTGGATATTTCAGAAGGAAATTTGAGAGACTACAGCACCGCAGTACAGAAAAGCAGTAGTTAGCAAGGTCAGATGGTACGATCAACATTAGATCATAGTGATCTGTCCCAGTGACTTCATTAAGCCAAAGCTAACTCACCTTCCATATGATAGGTCGACAGATAGAATATATCCTGCGATTGACGACGGACATCGATTGGAAGCTGGTCATGATTGGAGCTTCAGGATTATGTTGATATACCCATAGCTTCGTCTTCCGCCCTGATACGAGATTATCACCTTGATTGATCTTCTTGATATGATTCTCTGCCGGCGTTTTGAGGTCATCGAGTAGATATTCTGCGATCTTGAGAACGAGTTCGTCTGGTAAGCGATCGAATAGATCGTCCTGAGTTTTAGGTACCGATTTGGTCTGAGTAAGTTTATTTTTCTGCTTATTTTTCTGTTTATTTTTCTGCTTGTTCTGTTTCTTCATCTTGATCGATGGTTATGAATCAGGTTCAGCTTAATGATTCAAGTCGATACTGACTTTGAGTAGGTAAGAGCATCCACAGTGGCGACCCCCAAATCGGGGCTATCGCCAAATATAGCAATAGGGCCCCGGATTTTTGCTGCAGTGGCGGGCCCTATTGCTAAATATTTTTGGGGCCGACTCCAAATTTCGACCCTTGGTTGTCAAATTTGACAACGATAGCAGCGAGCCCCAAATTGCCGCACTCGCCAAACCCCATACTTCACATGTGTAGACACGCCCATACTACGCCTCAGAGTAGGTGTAACGGTGTGTAACCCATACTCTGTACCGATTTGGAGCCCACACCACTGCATCCCGAGTGGTTTAGGGCCCCACTAAAATTGGGTTTGGTCAATTTGGGGCCTCGATTTGGGGCCTGACCACTGTGGATGCTCTAAGGAGGAGAGACAATGAAAGTTTTGAATGGGAGCATTTTAGTACATACAAGTTGTACATATAGTGACAGCCTTGCTTTCACTCTTAAGTCACAAGTCTCTTCCTTCCTTTTCTTCTCTCATCAAACTATCCATCATCTCTTCAATTTCCACAAAACACAATAAAAACCAAAAAACAATTCTCAACCTTTTTCATTATATTCATCAAATCTTGACATTTGACATCTTAAGAAACTCAATTCAAAAACCAATTCACAAAAATGAAGAATCAATACAATCACATTCAAAAGTATATTATTAAAAAAGACAATCTTCAAGACTCATGTTAACACACTTATAGAATTTTATATCTTTGTTTTTATCTTATCTTATCATATCCATCATGTTATTTCCAAACAATCAAATTCAAAAGAAAAGAAAAAGAAAAAAAAACCAATACCAATTTTTGTTCTTTTTTTTCTTTTCACTTTACTTCAAATACCACTTATCAAAACAAAAGCCAAAAAAAAACTCATAACAAAAAAACAGATCACAAGGAAAGAAAAAAGAAATCATCATCAAGTATAAAATAAAACTAAATCAATTCTTTCCAATCCTAGCCAACAAAGAAGGTTTTCCATTCCCATTCCCACTATTTCCATTAGCACCTCTACTTTTCCCAGAATTCATTCCACCTCTTCCACCTCTTCCACCATGACCATGATGATGATGATTTGAAATCTTTAAATCAGGTTGATTAACTACTTGTAATCTTGACATTAATTTCATCGCATCTGGACTGATTCCAATCGAATTCATTAAATTATCCGTTGCTGTATTATGTGATGACTTTGTAGCTGGTTGTACTCGATCTGTAAGTAATGATCTTGAAGCTTGTGGCGGTGGTGGTTGTGCTTGAATTGGTATTGGTGCTCGTGCTGGGGGTGATTTGTACATTGGTGTGGTTTGGGGTTCTGATTGGAGTGATGCTCTTGGATCACAATAAACAAGGGCTTCGGATCGAAGTTTTCTGTAAACAGCAAAGATACGGTAAATGGTTTATAGAACTGAAGGATGTATATGAGAGAAATGTACGTACCCAGTGGCAGATTGTGAAGAAGCTGTCAAGGGTGCAGGGGTATCGATTTCCATTACGACATCTTCAGCAGCTGATGACATCTCGACATCCACTTTTGCCACCAGAGGTTGTACAACAGTGACCGGAACCACACTTGGAGTCGAAACCATATGTGAGGTAGATGGTGGTAGAAAGTCGGCACGGTCCGGTTTCTTGCCTGGTCTGCCAACAACTTTAACACTCAAGAGTAAACCGTCGGCCAAGACACCACTATGAAAGGTCAGGATTGAAATCAGTATCTGAAAGAAACATGCTAGTTGAAAGGGAAACGATATGATCAAGTGGAAAGGTTAAACTAACTTGAGTGCTTCAACAGCCTTGTCGGCATCCGCTCGATTGATAAAGATCATTCGAGCTTTCAAAGTAGGTTGAATACCCTGTTTAGGACCTTCTTCTGTTGAACATTCTTGAATTTCCCCAAAGTCGGCAAAAGCGGTCTAATGACAAGATGAATGGGGGCACAAAGGCATGAGGGTTAGATATTGGATGATAACGAATTGAGCATAGTAATTTACCTTGACATCTTCGGCACTTGTACCATCAGCTAAATTCGAAACTTCAAGAATCACCGGTCCATTCAAATACTTTTGTAATGCTATATCATATGATTTCTGTGCTCTAGCAGTACGAACTTTTTGTTCATGAGATTCTCTAGCTTTTCTAATCTCACTTGGAGTTGGAGTTGGTTCTGTTCGATTGATTCGATTTGTAAACGTTGAGGTGGTGATAGCATTAGGAATCAGTTCTAGAGGTTGATGTACAACAGGTGGTCTTGCGGCTGTTTGAATTCGACTGAGAAGGGATAATGGAGCACGAGTAGTTTGGACTGGTTCAATGAGAGGTGGGACGGTACATTGAACAGGTTCACGTTGAACTTGAGAGACTACTGTAGGTTGATCGAGTAGCCCAGTGCTTGCAAAGAGACGGGTATTGGTTGATGGAACGATGATAGAGGTCACGTTATGTGACTTTCCAAATGGTCTGAGTGATGGAGATGGGACAGGTTCTGAAGAAGTTGGTAGATCGACTTTAAAACGGATTTTAGGTGCATAGACGTCAGAGTCTGACTCGAAAAGATCGTGAGACCATTGTTCGTCAGAGTTTCCAGCAGGAGTTTGAAGATGATGAGGCTTGAAGGAAGTTAAGATAAAGGAAGATTGAGTAAGTGTTTGATTTTAACCAAAAGGGTGATAAGGATGGACGATAAGTTCGTCAAGAAGAACCAACCAGACTATAGGGTCTTGACCTGAATGAAGAAGATGGTCTATGATCCGAACCAACTCTACCAGATCGATGAAAAGAATCGTGACGATGAGGAAGTCGATCGACAAGCATGATAGTTAATTGATAATGAGACTTGAGTATAGCGTTAATGGTGAGTTGAAGTAGCGTAGTAGAGTCAGTCAAGAGTGTATTTAGTCAAGTGAGTCTTGAAGGTTCAAATTCAAAAACATATCAACTGGTTTTAAACTCAACTGTCACATACAATACATCTTACCAAACTAGTCTCACACTCGATAAAACACTTTCACTAACCAATACAAACATAAGCTAACTGTCACAGACAACAGACAACTGTCACACTGACACCAACCTTATTATTTATTGTTTATCAACTTGAAATCTCCTACATATCACTCTGAAAAAAGTAGGACGATAAATAATGGCATTTTGTAGATAGTGAGGGGATAAGAGATAAAATTAAATTCATTGTGATCAGAAACAAGTTCCAGATAAGGGGTTTATGTTACATCCACAACTCATAAAAGCCATGAAACTGATTTAAAATGTTTTGGAACACTGTTCAAGCTTAATCTAAGATTTATGCTTTGAAGAACAGAACTCCGGGCAAAAAAACCAGCCCCTTGAAACATCTTGCGGTCTTTTCAAAAGTTACGCTTCTCATCAGGAAAAAAGGAGATGGATTTAATTTTCAGCAAATGTCTTGAAATAATTGAAAATCAATTATGATTTTAAGAAACTATTGATAAGAATAAATAATGAAATATAGAATTGGAACTGATGTGTGAACAAAATGACATGATAAAAAAAAATTAAAACTTTTGTAACAGAAGGTACACTACATCTTAGAGGAAAAGACTATCATTAAGTGGATTTTTGATTACATTTTTCACACTTGTTCAATCTTACCGTATGAAGATTGGTTTAAAAGATGACAAAGGTCTGGTTTACAAACAACTATGAAGTAGGTTGAGAACATCCGTCCATCATGGAGTTCTTGGGGAAAGTTTGATTAGCCTGTGCCCATGTACTGAAGAATAGATATTTTGGAGAAGATGATGTCAGTGTATGAAAGGAATGTAATTGTGAAGTGAATGACCAACGTTATGTTTACGTTCAAGTAGGCATTAAGATGTCTATTGATACTGTAAATTGAGAAGTCAAACAAATTTTAATTCTTGTGGTTTGTGTTTTGTTATAATGAGATGACGACTCACTAATCCTCTGTAGGATAATCCTTGGGACTGCATCCTACATTCTTTCTACCTTTGGGTTGATACTAAGGTAGCAACAACAAGTTTAGTTACAACCTAGGATGAAAGGAGAGAAAATAGGAACACGTACCACTCGAACGTAATCTATCAACATTTTTGCCGGAAAATTTAAACGAGCTTTGTTGACCGGAACAAATGTATCACTGATCCCCTGTCATAAGAAACGCGCAGTCAGAAATTTCATAAATATTTGAGAGTCGCGATAGAGACATAGATTTCCCGAGATTGAAAAAGGTATTCATGGCTTACTAGATTGAGGATCATATACATTGGCTCGTTGGAAACAAGCCGTTCACCAATCATACTGGCAGAATTAGCTCCGATGCCGGTATTGTTCAAAGTCCAAGTTGGCTTGTCTCCTATGGACCAAGTTCTAATCGGATGGAGTAGATTGATGGGAAGAGGTTTGCAAATATCAGACAATGATCATATCCGAGGGGGTGGGAGAATACTAACATGTGTGAATTTTTCTCATCCTTTTTTGTTTGCATGCAGATTAGTCTCAATTTGATCGTCTAAACACTATAGTCTTCAAAGAGGATTATTGAGACTTACAGACTGAAAAGGGAGAAAATTAGCCATGAATGAAAGTGGATTTTAAAATAAGACAAAGACTTACTGGTACCCATTCACTCCCGTATTGCAAAGTTTTATTTCCCTGTAGTTCATCTGTGACCCCCAATACTCATCAGTTTTAGATAAAAAAATTGACTTCTCACATTTCGAAACTTACAATTGGAGGTAGGAATCGTTGATAAGAAAGACGCAGTTTGTTGTCGATTACCACCATGATAAGAATTCATAGTAGTCTTAATACCAGGATTGGTGTAACTTTGATATGTTTCTCCTTGTTTAGTAGTCCACTAGAAAATGGAAAAATTGACAGTGGTCAATAAAAGAAATAGATAGAGATACATTTAAAGCGTACTTGTCGATTTGCGTCATAAGGTGCAACTTGTAGTGATTGGGAGGCGAATCCAGTAGCTGATTTTTCGTACGAGTAAGCTTCCAGAATATCGATCTCAGGTGAAGCGCGTCCTTTATATGTTCCATCTGAATTTTTGTCCCCAGGGTGACTGTTTGAGATGACCAAGAAATGATCAGTAGTTGGTATCGCGTTATTAGATTTTGAACTCACTCTTCGCCCTTGCAAGTACATCGTGAGAGTCTTTGCCCTGGTTGCCAAGATAAGTCACCTCGCTGTGAAAAGCGGAAAAAAAATTGTGTGGTCAGTCTAGGGAATTGAGTTAAAGATTGTTCTTCATCAAAAGGTTTGCACTTACCGACGTGAGAATTGAGGGCCCAGGTGCACCTGTGTTGGGATCAGTTTGATTTGGCATTGCCTAAGATCGTTATGAGGCGACGATCAGCATTGGAATAATTCACAGTTTCGTTTGAAGGAACATTTCTACTTACGCCAACATCACATGAATTGTAACTGTAAGGCCAAAGACCCTCTGTAGTACCACCGTAACCTGCTCGAGCGAGGTTTCCCATAGTCCAAACAGCCGCTATAGATTGTCAATGTTCGTAAGCTTTCAGCCTGTCATTATCTTAGGGTATTGGTCCCTTGGGGTTTTGCAAAACCTAGAATTTATTTTTCACTCACGCCAAAATCCTCCGACTTCATTTGAGCCGGGGAGTATGAGAGAGACTAAATAAATTCCGTATCTTGATCAGATGGGTCCTGGATAGGTTTTGTATCATATCTCCGAAAGAAAGGATGATATAATTCTGACCTTCAAAGTATCCACCGGTAAAGCACATTTTGTTCCAACTGGTAAGCATCCCACTTCGATAATTCAAATTATGATTGATATCGGGATCCATTTCTGATAGAGTGATGACGAGAAACCCGTCCTTGGTGACGGCTCCATCTGGATCATACCATTCCTGATCACCTGAAAAATGTCGCATCGTAGGATTATTTTGATAACTCATAGTTCAAGATAATTGGGTTTGAATGGTATACCTGTAGGCCAATAATGAATGTCTGCAGCTTCCCCTAGATAAGTGAAAAGATAAATCATGATGAGTTTTCAAAGCTTGATACTTTTATGTATGTGGAAAGCACCAGAATTGCATACAATACGGATCATCCCCAGGCCAGAATGTACGACCGTTTTGATTAAATTCATCACTGAAGACCAACTCGTACTCATCCCCATCGAACCCACGTCGAGTTTTGGCATTTTTCGGTGTATCAGGGTCGATCAAGCCTCTGTAACCCGGAATGTGGGGCTAGCGAGAAAAGATGAATTTATGGAAGGAATTCAATGATTAAAATTATGATCAAAGTATAATTGTGGCCTTGAATTCTTGCTGAGCCACCAAGAGATTTAACAAAAGAAAAAGTTCGTCCCATCACTTACTGCATTCCTAGAATTCGGATCTTCGTTCATCAAACGATTTGTGAGGTCTCTCCAACTATGCTTCCTGAAGTATGATAATATTGGATATCCTGAAGATAGAATTATTTTAGAGAGAAAGTTTAAAAACCGATGAGTGATTATGCTCTTGTGCTAACCTGCAAACAACATGACTAGGCCTCCAGTAAGAATAAACATTGAACCTATATAATAGATATTCCCCCACGTCAGTTTCTAGAGTAGTTTGCATGAGCCAATCCGTGAGATTCAAATTGATTCTCACATAAGTTGAGCCATCCTCGTTTGGTGTTAATTGTACAACTTCTATCGGGATCAGAAATATAACGACTTCTTCCTATCCTAGGTTGAAGCTTTTCCATTGAATGCATTGAATCAGGCGGTCCAGGAGACAAGAGACCATCGGCAAAGAATCCAATATCTCCTGGATATATGGTTTGATGAGAACTATCAGATGTTCCAGAACGTGAGCTAGTCACAGGTGATGGACCACGTTTTGGATATTGAGCAGTTTGATATCGATCTGAGGATGAATTTGAAGCAAAGGTTGATTGTGTTGCACTTCTATTGTTCATGAAGTACGGTGAATATGACTCGCTACGGGATGTTGAAGGACCACTGTCGTATCGACCATATCCTGGTGAGGCTGAGGTAGATGGCATTGGATTTCTGTTCATTGCTGGACGAGTCCTATGCACTCCTCTGGTATACCCACGCTGTGCAGACCGGGGAGGAACCTCATAATAATCATCGCGGGATCGAAGTGGTCTCATAGTGCCGGATTATGATTGTGGTATAAAAAGTTGGGAAGGATCAAGAATTCGGAACCTTCGCTACTTGAAGATTGCGATGAACCAATGTGCGGTACTTTTCCTAGTAAAAGGGTTCGAATGTCAATAACTTTGAACAAATCTAAGGGTCACCGTTGCATTGGTCGATTCCAGGGTGTTTTTTCTGGGTCCTATCTGTAGTAGTTCTCTGAGCAAAACCAGAGTGTTCGAATGTTGTAGCCAAGGATTGTGGGATTTTTAGTTCTGGTCGATGCTGAGGTCGAAGCTATTGTGATGTTGCAATTCTAATTGAGTGATTGCCTTCTTACAAATTGTGAATACCCTATGAGACAAATATTTTTCCTGCGCCTTACTGAAGTTTTGAGTGTTATGTGGCAAATTTACAAATTGAAAAATGTTTGGAAAGGTGAGACAGCCCAAACTTGTTGGGATTGAGGGAAATAGTTGTTTTGCGTGAACTTGACAACGAGCAGCTTAGATATGACTGGTATGGTGAACCGAGACCTCAAAAGCTATGAATAGCTGGTTAATCGTCATTCCTCCGCTTTTGACCCTTCGACTTGGTCAGTAACCGTCTCATACTTCGGTCGATCTGCTGCAATGTGCTTTGACTCAGCGACGTCGATAGAAGGCAAGTCAAAAGGTCGGTTTCTTGCAATCTTACAGCGTTTGATCAAGGCCTCTGAGCTGGAGTTGGAATCCATAACAAGTCTTAGTCAAGGAATCGCCCGAGGAAGTGCTAGAGATGGCGATTCCCGTGCGTTTGGAGAATGGCCCAGACGCTGACTCAGAACGAAGAGTCATAGACATTGCATAACTTTAGAGGAATTTGTGCACAAGGCATTGCTCTATGGAGTTCTTTCGATCCGTAAAAACTCAGCATCAAGCGCGGTGAGTAGCTCACTTTGAAGACATTCAAGATGTGATACCAAAAGAGCGTCGACCTCCATCAATATGTATCATCTCATCCTGATCACACAACAGTGCTTTTATGGCAAGTCGCTCTACATGATCGACAACCTTCGAATAATGATCTTGGTCTCCAGCTTACATACAACACCACAATAATTATATACGTGGGAGCACAAAGTGCTATGTATCGCGTGCTCCTGCAGAGAAGTAATCAAAGGAGGACAAGAAATTCGAAGAGACAGAACAAAACAAATCTCAATATACTCCTTAGCTTGTATCATAATGAATTTGGCGTAGAAAACGAGATGCTTCTCGATCTCGCTTCTTTTTGTTCTGTGCTTCGCTGATTTTATTTCTGTTTTGTATAATCCCACAAAAAAACTTTCTTCTAACACAGTCTGATGCAACTAGAGTTATCAGCTACCGCGTGCGGGGGGCTGTTCAGAGTTCTATTTGTGAGTTTTCAAAGCGTCAAGTACGATGTTAGAGAACTTACCCATTCACATCCCCAGCTCCACAACTGCTTGAAGTTGGGGGGCAAAGGCTAACCAGAAAACAATATTTTGTTTGTTTCGCAGATTGCGGCTAAATGGTATGAGGCCATAGCAATTGCCAATGAATCTTCTCTGGATTCTGAAATTTGTTCCCCTACAAAACAATATGTCGCAAGTCATGCTGCATTGCTCTCTGAGTTTGCCAAGTCCTGCCCTGGTGCTTGGCGGACTTGGCTTGTGTGTGTGGCTCATGAAGCTATCAGCGATTGATAGAGCCACCACCATACTCACTTAACAAAGTACCCCGATGTCTCGACGCTATCATTCAACGAGTTTCATGATACCACTGAGTGAAATCCAACTCAAACTTAACAAGTCCCTGCTGGCGTCCAAAGGAATAGTTAAGTTTGTCGGCGACTGGCCTTCGCTTGGCACGCGTTTCACGCTCAAAAGTTGCTTCGTGGTGTAGTGGGTGATCTTACAAATTTGTTACAGCACTATTTTAGAAAGTTTCCTAAGCTACGTTTAAAAACCTTTGGTGAGGATCGTTCCTATAAGTTCCGCGGATGGGACCATGCCCTCTGCACCCATATACGAGAACTTTGGTGGGCAGCCAAAGATCGTTCCCTGATTGTGTTCCTAAAAATCAAGACTTTCTCAATCAACTTTTCTGAGCACACTCATTCAGTCTTTTTCCAACATGAAGCTAATCATCTTAGTCTTATTAACAATCTTCGTGCAAGTCTCCTTGGGTCGTAGATATAGCATATCAATCAACCGCCTTGTCACGCGCGACACATTGTCAGGCCAGAATCAAGACAAACCTCAGACTTGCAAAATCCCTCATGATAATGACCCTCAGACCAATTGGTACACCTGCTTGAACGAAAAAAGACCAGTCAATCTGAATGACTGTCATGTGTAAGTGATTCATATTTTAAGGGAATTCTCACACGATCTCGTCCATTTTCTTTTACTAATTTGTGCATCAATTGCTGATTCCCTGTAGGGCTGCTGAGGCATTGATGCTGAATAAATGGACTGACGCAGGATATGGCACCTGTGGTGTAAGTGACGAAATCATTGACCAGACATTTGTCAACTTTGATCTCATTGCTATTTTTTTGATCAATGCACCCAGGTGTTTTTCTGTAAACCAAACAAGGATGGTTCTATGGAACGGACTCATCCAGACAGTTGGTAAGTCTTCATGTGGTATCATGAAATTCATGTAACTGATCAGCCTGCTTAATCCCCTCTTCCCAGCGTGACCCTGACACATATACATAACTCGCTCAATACATTGCCCGAGACTTGTTGCCCTGAGACGAGACCCCAGGTAGCCCATTGCCTTGTAATCATTTCTTGGTCACATGTGATGTCTAACGTTCAGCTTTCCACAATATTTATCTTCATTTGTAGCCTGGTACACCAACCTTAGCTGACTTGGGTCCAAGTCCCCAAGGCCTTTACTTCTTCGCCACGGGATCACTTCTCCGGAACTATTCCAAAGCGACGAGGCTCGACGAAGCCGACTTCCAGGCCCTGGTCAGAGAGAATTCACACTCTCAGTGACTATCAATTAGTAAATACTAGTTTTAGTTAGCTTTGCGTTCAATTTACTCAATGTAACCTCTTCTAATTTCAAGGAAGTTTTTATGCTCTCAGTTATTTATTTCCGTGCAAGATTGAGATTTATGACAAGCGTGAACCCAATTTTAACATTCTTAAATCAGACTTGTGTCACCCTTTTTGTATCATTGCACTTGAATTGAGCGAACATCAATATTGAATCTTGTTATAGGATTGTTAGGATCTTCCTCTACGTGGTCGTCATCTTTCGAGAGAATAGATTCAGATTCAATCTTGGTTATTACAACTCTATAACCCTGGAATTGGGGTCCAGTCTAGAGACCCGTGTCAGCCCAATTGCGACTTGGGGCGGAATTTTATTACTGCACACCTGATGAACTTGAGGCACGACCACGTCATGGTGGTGGTACACAACGGCTATCTGTATCATTTTTGCCGAGTCTCCTCTTAAGATGTTCTCTCAATCTACAAAGCAGAACCAAAGACCTGATGCCCTTTGAACACTTTGACCTCTGAATCATCACAAACCTGATGTCTTGATACATATGAACTTACTTTGAGGAAAAATCTTCAATCGGTTCATAGCCTTTGTGATCAATCTTTCAATAATTTTATTTGTGAAGAAAGAAATTAGATTTGTAATACTGGAGTTCTATAATTCTCAACCATACCGTTGAGTTTTTTGGCAAAAAATATCAAGTCACATCAGGATAAGAAAGTTCAGTCAGTAAGAATTTTTCAAATAGAGATAACTGTCATATAGGTTTAACACTCAAATTGTGGTCGTAAAAAGCAAGTGACTTACCTTTTATAGAATCACGTATATCGTCAAGTGCACTGTACAAAACAACCGAGTCAGTTTTATGATGAAAACGTGTAGGAATAGATAATATAAATTGATTTACCGATGAGCTGAAGGTGTAGAAGTATCTTTTGATTTTAAAAACACATCATGATTCCATCTTCTAGCCAACCTAAACAAAAACCAATCCATCAGAAAAAAGAACTTTGACATATAAAAAAACTGAAGAAATTGAATAATTTACTCTTTAATCGAACTAACATCTACAATTCGATAATGTAAATATTCTGCTGTAATTGGCATATCTTTCTCCTGTTTGACATTCCAAATCATAATAAAAAAATTCGAAATTTTCTTCAACTATATTTTCAAAAAATCAAAAATTAGATTTGATAACTTACCAGAAAAGCTTTATCTGCATAAACCGAGTTTCCAGCTATAACAGCTTGACCTCGAGAATTAGGTATATGTCGTTCAATATAATCTCGAACAAGTTGATCAACTTGTTTTAAACTAAATTTAGATTTTAAGCATTCTTCAGTAAGTCCAGACTATCAAGAAGAATGTCTGGAATTCTATCAGTTCTTCAGTTAAAATCTCTCAAACTTTCAAACGCGTTATGTAATTGACCTTGCCATGCTGCACTGTACACCTAAAAGAAAGGAAACCAAAAACACCAAAGATATATAAACTGGCAATCATAATTCAAGAAGGAAACCGAATCAAGAATTTTGTACTAACCATTCACCCATTTGATCCAAAATGTTTTTCTCAACTCCAATTACATAACTAATTCCTTCATCAAGAGGTTCAAGATTTTCTAATGATTTCAGACTGATCAATTATCAGTCACATATCTTTCAAGAGTTTGAAATCGGAAAATATAAAGTAACTGACTATCGGTAATAATACAAGCAATCTCAATGATTTGCTCTTTAGAAAGGTCTAAGCCGGTCATCTACATAACAAACAAAACAATGAAATCAGCAATTCGACGCAAGTAATCGATACACATGCGCGAATAGAAAAAATCCTAACCTCACAATCGATCCATACCAACCGATCCTGTGCCTTGGGCATATTGAGTGATGATAATTTTTGAGATATTTCTGTTGGGTTTGGTAAACTGAGGAAAGGCGAAATGAGAGAGGTAATCGACCCGAAAGGTAATCTGGGTCGGATCAACCCGACACCGGATCTTAAGATCGAGTATGATAGCCAATTGGTGGTTCTTTGAATACGAAAGAAAGCATTCAGATTTCTTGATATCATCATTTTCTAGACTTTTGGTAATTGAAAACTTGGATGCACAAGCGAGGGCTTTAAATATGTAGTTGAAGTCGGCAAAAAAATTCAGAAGCACATTGGTATTCTCGCAAAGTGATACAGGGATACTTATGAAAAGTTGCACATTGGGTTATGTATACAGTTATACACTCCAACAGTCTATCAATGGTGGAAGGGACAGAGCAATGGCTCACTCCACAATCCATTATTTCTCTTCCTCTCTCCGCCCTCATCTCATCCTCTATGTCTTTCGCTCTCTATTTTAAGGGAAACCACCAATGAAAGACACAAATAGCAATTTAATTGGATTTACTTTTTGCTTCTTTAAACAACTGGGATAGTTTCATTTCTCTTCAATACAAACAATTTTTAAAAGAAAATGAAAACAGAGAAACAAAAACCAATTGATATTCAAAAAAACACTCCATCCCAACATTCCAACACTCATTCCTACTTTTTTTTCGTTCAAAAGAAACCTCTCCCTCTCCTTCTCATCCAATTTGCTTTATTCTTCTTATCCAAGTGATTTTAATGCGTCTCTAATCTCTTGTTCATTATCAATCTTCTTTAATTGAGTTAGTTCTAATTTCTCTCCTTTCTTTTTCCTTTCTTTTAATTGTTCAATGGCCGTTAATTTCTTCATTAAAGATCTTTTCTTTTTTTCTTCTACACTCATCTCATTATTCATCATCATATTCGTCTCTTCTACAACTTCTACTTTGTTCTGTTGTTGATGATGGTTGTTAGTAGTCTGGTGATTCGTTGTTTCGGTTCTCTTTTGGTTTTGATTCGATTTTGATTGCGATTCTGGTAAAACGATTATACCTGATCCTGGTATACCATTCTTTCGATTAGGTTTTCCATTATTGTTCATCGAATTGTTAGGTGGTGCCGCTCCTGGTGGTAATCCTCTTGGCTTGCTTCCATGATGATGTCCATTAGAGTTCGTATTGGCTACATATGGTGCTCCTCCTTCATCTTCTCTTTTAAAATGACTTGGTGTAGTTGTTCCACGTGCATGTGGTGGTCGATAAGCTCCAGCTGGTTTGGCTGTTTTTTGTGGTAAACAAAGTCAGTACAAATTACTTTACATTCATTTCTTATTTATTTGCACCGATTGAGTCTTCATTCGAGTGGATAACGTACCAGGAGTTGCAGCCGCAGCAGTCGGACCTACTCCATTGGGCTTGATAGATGGAGGTGCTGGTGATAAATTCTGACGAAACGGGAACAGCTCCGCAGATGCGGGTCTCCAAGAAGCCTACCAAAAATAAAAAGATTATTCAATGAATTCAATTCATTCCTAGAAAGGAGTAATGTAAAAAAGGAAGACTAAAAAAACCTACTGCATAGAGATTGTCAATGGATTCAAGATGAACCAAAGAACCAGTATAATGAAAGATTCTAATCCCATTATCAACTCTCAATCTAGGCGAAAGCGTAGCACATAAAATAAATCTTCCATCTGGACTCCATTCACAATGTGATGTATTAGATCCTTCGATCGTTGACACTTTTTTCAATGTCCTTCGATCCCAAATATCAATTGTACCAGCTAAATTTCCAAATCCAGCGGTCAAGAGTAATCTACCCTGTGGATTGTATGCAATAAAGTTTCTTGGTGCTGTACCAAAGTCGTGGATTAAGTTTGATCTATGATCAAAGATTGTTGTCTTGGCTGGCATATCTGTGGGACAAATTCATTCAGAAGGTTTGAAAAGAAAAGTGTCAGATTGAGTGATAAAAGAGTTCGAAAGAATCTGATTGAGATTTCGGTAAGATGAAGGCAATCTTACATCCATAGCTGACAGTGAATTCCTTATCGTTAGGTGACCAAACAAAGTCGTGAATTCCACCCTCACGATCTAGCGAAGTGAAAGAGAAACCAAAAGTCAGATTCAAAAATTTCCTCTGATGGATATTGAAATTTTCCGACGTTGATCTTTAGAGGAGACCTATACCAGATTTAAAAGTTTCAAATCACTTCTTCGAAGAAAAAACTTACCCAACGTGACCCGACAATCAAATGTACCATTAGCGGATAACATGTATAAATTGGTTTCGCCGTAGTAAGATTTACCAGTCTTATCTACATCAGTATGAGTTAAAAAAAGTAAACTAGTGCCCGATCGATTCCATTTAAATTGAACTTTATCAGCTTTAAAAAACGTTTTAGATGAAATCGGTAATGAATTTGATGTTAATCCGATTAATCCAAATATCTTCACACATGCTGGTGATCCATTCTTCTCGGGTATAAAAATTGATATTGATGGATTTCTTCCGGGTGATAATTTGTAACTTGTTAATCCTTCTAATTTGAATTTGGTTATCATTGATGAACCACTTTGGAATCCTTTTGATGGATCATATACTTGGATCTCATTGGAAATCAACCTTAGTGCATGAGATTCGTTATCGGTGAATTGTAATGACCTATCCAAAGAAACAAAAAGTACAAGATAAGCTGAATATGCCACAAATTGAAAATTGGTGATCAAATTTTTGAATAAGAAATCGTACCAAGCTTCAATAGATTTCTGTGAAAAGCTGAGCACTTCTTGACCCGTACTAACATCCCAAACACGCATATTTTTATGTTGTGCACTTTCATCCGTAGGTTTGACTGTATGAAATGGAAAAAAATGATGAGGTGAGAATTTTGAAAGGCTTTATTGAGGAAGAAAGAAACGAAAAAAAACACTAACCATAACGTTCCCATGTACTAATCCAAGTACCTTTGGGAGAAAATGAAATTTCAATCACATTAGGTAAATCGATTTGAATTAAAAGTTGTCCATTTTGTGCATCATAAACTCGAACGCTACAAAACACAAAGGCAAAGGTTTGATTTAGCTTCAAAAAAGTGGAATGTCGATTTGATATCTGATTGTGAAAAGTTGTGAATTGATTCGTACTCATTCGCTGCTGCTACTGCATATCGACTTCCGTCTGGACTATACTTGAATGCTCGAACGTTTTCAACATTAGGTCTGAAGATACCAAAAAAGAACAAACAATTTGTGTTGAGGTCAATAAAACATTCGATATATGAATATCCATCGAAAAAGTCAAACTGAACTGTTGAAAGCTTTGAAGAGGTCTAAAGTGAGGATGAGATTCAGTGATTCCGATCGATTTTAATGCTCGAACTAAAGTTTTTTCAATTCCAACCAACCAACAACAAAGAAGTTTTCATTAGTTTCAAGAAAAATGATGATAAGTAAAAAAAAGAAAGTATGACTTACAATTGTATTGATTGATTCTCTGTTCTTGGACTTCACTCATCTTTGTTTCGATACAATCAAGTTCGAGTTGATATTGCGTATACGGTATCTCTCAACTTTTTCCGGATGGAAGTAGTTTGGATGTGGTTTGAGACCCTGAATGCTCGGAATCCGGATATTTTATCGTCAATCTCAATCCAGATTCCATCCAGCATAGCCATCGGATCGGATCCTCTGACACGGTCCAGCTGATATGTATCGGATTTGCTGAGGCTGAGCTTTCTAGTTTGACTGTCTGCTTTTGTGCTCAACGATTATATTAGGACTGCTCAGACGCAAAGAATTTGTAGCTATAAACGAGATATACATACGATAACCCACGGAAGGTGCATGAACAACAAAGGAGCTTGAAATACCCCACTGAGGATGTGATTCAACAAACCAGATCGACGAGAAGTGGAACTTGCCATGGAATCTCATTTTCCTAGACCTTTCGGCAAGTGTTCAACTCGAACGTATCAAGATTGGCGGCGTATCACCTCAATCTCATGATGAGAGTGGGTATGACGAAAGATCGATTCGGTGGATGAACGGTCTAGGGTCTCATTCACCACTGCGAAATTGATTTGTGGCGATATGTGAACAATAGCATCATTGAATCCTTGTGTGAAAATCACGACCAGCGCATCGTTGACTTCGATTATCTCTGTGCTTTTCAGTGTCATGTATTTGGACAGCCGACTTTTTGCTGAAAAGAATTAGGATGATGTGTAAAGCATTATATTTCTCATTGCACATTGCTCATACATTTTGTACATGGGGATGAAATGATCGATATCGCATTTTTGAATTAGAAGCTACTCTTTGCCACGAAGCATAACACTCGTTATATCTCTACAACTCGAATGTGTGTGTTGGGTTAAGAAGACCTCACTATTCTTTTCTAGAATGAAAGATCAAAAATAAGATATTGAATTGAAAGGTCATACAAAGTGATGCTGAAGACTGATTCAATGCCCAATATCATGATGAGAACTATCACAGCTGCACATTGATCCTGATGAATATATTAACCGGTTTTGTCCGACTTAATCTTTGACATGAGTAGATTACCCTTAGTCATTCCTACCAATCAAAATTCAGACTGACACGAATTGAAGCAGGCTGTTCAATCGTATATATATGCACTGGTCTCAACTTCTCAACTTCTTCAATTCAATGTTGTACTAGCTTGGTTTTTGCGCAAAGGATAACTTATCTTGATGGTCAAGGACCTCATGTAGCAGCGATCAATTTATCACCTTGAAATTTGAAAATCATGAACTGCTAACCTGCGCACTCACTTGCCAACTCTTTCTGGGAATTCCTTCAAAAGACTGCTCGGGCAATTCACATTTGATGAGCCTCCTGAATCTCTTAGCCAATGTCTAGACGAACTATCCTTAGTGGAGGCATTGTAAAGTGAGAACTTAGACGTCGCTGCCACCTACATCAGCAGAGTAGAAACATGTCGCGACCGGTTTGATTTGGGTCAAAAGTGAAAATTCATTACCGCAGATCTTGTGCAAATGAAAACCAGCTAATAAGCCTCTATAAAGTATCTTCTCAGTTGAGATTTTGTATCATTTTTGAAAGGTTACAATATGATATCGATTCTGGGCTTGAGAGTCGATGCTTTTGATATTTTATCTCGAAACTTTGATGGGAATACTCCACCTTGTTCGGGCTTGCGCGCTCGATTTCTATCACTTCCTAATTTACCAACCAGACCTAAGTCTGACAAATACAGTCTGTCTGTGTGTGTGAAAACCTCCTCACCTCGCAAACCCTGCGCTCTTGACTTTGCCCGAGTGGGCTGGGTGGTATTTCAAAATGTGATGATGTTGAGCGGTGAGAGCCGAGTGGTCTTCAGATGCGTTCTGCTTGGGCGGGGGAGGTGAGGTCACGGTGGTAGTGGAAATCCGAAATTATTCCACGTCGCTACCACGAGCACTCACTGCTTGAGGTACCTTGCCTACAATCATGCAAGAACTTCTATATCTGGACCAAACTACTCAGTCTTAGACTTATACACCACGTTGTGACTTGGTTGATGATCACAATGAAATTGAAGTGACTATGTAGCGAACTCCTGAGATGAAGGGTCTTCAAGATATAGCCCTTCGAGCATCTTTAGATTGCACGATAGTTATCAAATACGCGTGTACCGCGATGGGAGGCTCACGCGAATTGCAGAAGCCTTCGCATGTTCACGAAAAGTTTGTAACTCGCATACAGTCTCGCAAAGCGTGTAACGCTCTGGAGACGGGAACTCAATCAAAGGTTCCAATAGATCCAAGATTATGAATGATGAGGATTTAGATTCTGATTGAATCAGGTGTAAATGAAAATAAACAAACAAGCCCACACGTACCATACTGATGAGAAAATTATCTAAAACACACATATTTCACGAACATAAACAAGAAAATACGTAAACTTTTGTTGATACGAGTTTATAACTAGATAGTCCTAGATTCTCGATTTGAAGGAGATTAAATAGCAATAAACGTGATGGAATGTATGAAAATTGTCAAAATAATTCGAATATTTACTTATTTTCTTGTTTTATGTTTGTGAGATATATGTCTTTTTGATGATCTTCTCATCGGTATGGTACTGGTGGGCTTGTTTATGTATCATAGAGCGCGGAAATTCTAAACAAAATGCTAATAAAGTATTGGTGATTGGCGCAAGCTGAGCAAATGACTTGAAAAACTGAAACAACGTGCTCGAGTACTGGGAAATATAGCTTGGCGTGTTTAGACTTTGTAGCTAAACAAAAGCGCGAAGCCGTCTGGAGGAAAAAAGACTCTCTATAGAATTCATCAGACTGATATCTGAAGTCGTGTTCCTACCTTTCAATGTTTGTACTGATCAGCTTATCAGACCAAATTGAAAAGTCCAATTCAACTAACTCCCAATACTGGAATGCCTTTGGTGTCCAGCTCAAATACTCATGGGTATCTTTCGCCAATCACTGAAATTATATGGTAACCTTTCCGCATCTGGATCAACCTCATGAACCAATCGCAGAATAAGAAGTTGCGGGCTAAGGCTGAATGAAAAAGTTTACAAAGGACTCGTAAATGCTTGCCGGTCCCAAACAAGAATAATTTTGAAGGAGATTCATCACTGATTGCTTCGGATCAATCTAACCAACAGGATCTTCACAAGGAACTCGGAGCCATCAAGAAACTTGCTGGGATCTTCGAGATGATACTCTGCGTAGGTCGCGCAGATATGTTTTATATGATTCTCATTACATCCAACATTAGCTGCGAAAAGCAAACCGACAGCGCTTTTCTATAACCAAGAGCTGCAGAGATCCGTAAGTTTGTTCTGGTGGCAACAAAGAATCCGTATATCATAGAACTAACTCTTCATTACCTCAATCCCCATTCAATAATCCCAAAGATCCAAGACTTCAATTTCTTCCACGCGTAACGCGTATCACCAGCCGGAAAACTCTGCGCCCCACTCGCGATCATAGCCAGCTCAGTCGGCAAAATAAGGTTTTGAAATAAATATAGTAAACAAACAAACAAACATGAAACGATTGGAATGCTCCGTTCAGCAAGTCTCGTGATCACGAATATGGAAGTGGCCGCGGCAAGTATTCCCCCAATACAAGCCTTTTAGCTGATCAGCACTCAAAAGCTGATCTCCGGATCACAAAATTCGTCAACTTCAGTTCTTCAGATACAGAACCAACCATTCTCACTACCATCACTTCCAAATCGACTTCCTCTTACAACCTCACTACCTTCAACCAAGCGATCACCTCCTAGTTTTCACCTCGACCGAGCCATCCTAGTACTTTTCATTCCCTCCTCTCGGTTTTCGCTTCTCTCAGTCCTTTCACTAGTTCCTTGTATAAGATGGTGTATATCTCGTCTCTGCTTTCGGATGAAGCATTCGATCCTCGTTATCATAAGACCTTCAAGACGACCTCCATTCCCGAGCATATCAAGCAAAGGATCCGTCGCCGCTGCGTCATCCGTCCGTCTGTCAGGTTGCCCCGAGACTCAGAGTATGTCTTATCTTTCTTTGATCTTGATCTAATTCATTCACAGCTGACTTCCAATTTTATTGACATCTCATTATCTAGTTCCGAGGATCCACCCCCTCCCTTGGCCGAAATCCTTTTCGCGAGACATCCTTATCTAAGCGACGTACTCGTGGAACATGGGAAATGCGCCGGTCTTGGGCCTTCCTCCGTTACCGAAATCCTCGAACCAATAGCAGAAGGACCCATTCCTTCTCATGACCGACTGGCACTTGAACGATTGGCATTTGTTGCATACGGTCTAATGTATGAATTGAGAAAGCCCAAAGGTCTCTCACCAAGCAGAAGACGTGAACTACAAGGACAAAGAGTTACCGATTCTATTGCAAGTCGAATGGAAGAAGACTTTGCCAGAGGTCTTGGTATTGCAACTCCGATCGAACCATTTACAAAGGAAGAATTGTTTCAATACTTGATTGAATCCTTGTGGATTTGGGTGCAAGATGATCGCTGCAAGATTGAATTACTGTGAGTATTAAATTTTCATTGATGTTGTTTTTCTTTAAATAGGTTCTGATTCTTTTGCTTTTTGATTTTTCGACGTTTCAGGGACTTCATCCGATAGTTTCTGCAATCTCGAGGTGTTATTTTCTTCATGCTTCAACTCGCTTTGCCGGTTCACTCGATTCAATCTTAACTGGACCCTCGCATCGACCACTTGATTATCACCTTTCCTCTTATGTATAGTTTGATCTTAACTATTTCATATTCTTTCATTTTCTCTATTCCTCCATGTCTCCGATCTTGGAACATGTGAATTTGCGGATCCTTCCATCTTTGCTCGTTCATTGGAAGAGCAAGATGACTACGCCGTATGTCCTGGTGGTGAAGGAATGCACCAGGGTAATAAAATTGTAATCAATCTCTCTCTAGATGCATATCGTGTACAAACTGCATTATCAACTTTTTCACGTACACTCCTTTTATGTATTCTTTTATGTAAAACAGTTTTTATCTTCTCTAAATTGTCAATCGTTTCCCGAAAAAATTATACATGTATTGGTTTGTTTGTTATTCATTTTGGGTTTACTTGATAACTCGTTATTGTTTGTTACGGATATAATTTATGATTGCGTTTGCTTGGTAATTCAAAGAGCTATATGTCATCGGAGACTACATAAGTACTTGTGAGAACAGTTTGAGGATAGTATGGTAAGTATTCTCAACAGCTGAATTTGGATAGTTGGCTGGCCAAATGGCTGCAGCTCCTCCCACTCTTGGAGTCGACTTCATTGATTTTTTGAAAGCCTCACAAAAAAGCAAGCCCAGAGTCAGTGCGGTCCACAAGCCTATTTAGGATTCTAAGACACTCAACTTATTGTATCTATAGCAGAGTTCACCTCGATATACAATATTCCAACTGATAAAAACATCTATTTGACACCTATCTTCGTTTAACTTTTTGCCCCTGGTCCAATCATTTACATCAGACCTGTGATAAAGAAATGTGTTGATTTAGGGGACAACCGCAGCTAAGTCTTGACGGAATAATGTGTTCAACTTTTGAATCTTACCAAGATCTCTCTCTCTCGATATTTCAAATCACCAAGCTGATTGACCCGGCCGTGATAAAAAAATTCACTAGAAAGAGATACAAAGCGAGCGAGAAGGTAATAATATGGAAAGTTGTTGCATGTTTTCATTCACACTCACTTCAGGGTTCCTTTGCAAAAAAACAGTAGCTAGTACCACCAGAAAAAGTAAACTAGGAGCTTCGTTATACGATTAGACATACTCCAAAGATGGATGAAGTTTTAATATAGAATTCATCAAAACAAATCCAAGCAGCTCAATCAATCCCACTTTCAGTTTCTATCTAGCTCCATCTCCTCAAAACTAATAAATTCTTCTTGGTTGGGTGGAAATGCATTTAGTTCGAGCATTGAGTTTGATTGCAATCACTGAATCACAACGTCTTTTTAAACCTCTTTAACGGTTCTAACAGTTCAGTTTCTCATTCGCTTGTATCTTTTACTGACTTCAAAAAGAATGTTTTACTTTATCACATCAAAACTTAATGTTCAAAATGTTTGAGCATTGAAATGTATAGTTCCCAGATGGAAGTCGAGACGCTGAAGTAGCTACAGATGAGTCCAAATAGGAATGAATTTATACAATTTTGTAAAACAAATTCAATCAATCAACACATTATCAAAAACTCGACCAGAGATAGGTTCAAGGAAGGTGTCAAATTCAAGGAAGGTAACAGGGAAAGAACTCACCAAGATTAATGAGACCTAACTAGTAAATTGAAATGATGTTGATTCTCTCAATCTTTCTTTTTCGGATCTTTGTCATGCCGAGGGGTAGTAACTCAAGAATGATTTCAAAGCAAACCTTCACTTCTTAAATTCTCGTGAGGCAAAAGATTATAGGTTCTCAAAATCCTTCAAAACTTCAAATTTCTATTCTTAAGACAATTTTCATCAGAAGGCGTTGGCAGGAATTTGGAATCTCTACTTCAATGGGAATCGGAATAATCATGAACTGTCATTCAAAAGAATTCAAACCCCAATTCTTACAAATCGTTTCTAATTAAATTTTATGATTCAAAAATTTCATCATCATACATTCCTCTCCTCCTACTTCCAACTAAACCAAATCCCAACACGAAACAAAACCTTGACCAAAAAAAACGTAATTCAAACCCAACAGAACAACACACACACAGATGATTTCTAAACAATCGTTTCTAATTCTTTTGCATAACCTAAAGTAGCTTCAATAACTTTTTCTTTAGCTAATTCATGTCGAATCCCACTAAGTTCAGGAAAAATGATACTTTTTGAAATCGGATCGATTTGCCAATTACGCTAATCAACCCAATCCGAACATCAGTGATCAAGAAGGTTTCAAACTGATTCTTGAATATATAGACTCACTTTTTGAGCAAATTCAATCACTTCTCCAACTGTTTTGAAAAACAAAAGTGTACCTGCATCACTTAATGGTAAAGAAGCATAAGCTTTTTCTTCACATGATGCGATTTCATTCCTATCATTGGCCCCCCAAAAGAAAAGAAAAAAATCAATTTTCAAACTTATTCAAATCTTAATCCATTTGTTGATTTGGTGAAACAAACAAACCTGATAGTATCTACTAATAAATCTACAAAATATTTGTATTCTTCCATAGGAATTTTAGATCTAGCAGACCAAACTTTAGAATAAGAACCTTCCATTAACCATCTTTCTAAATTGACGGGATGTGAAATATAAGGATTAGTATGAACTACCAAACCCCCCCAAAAAGAAAAATCAGTTTCAAGTTGAATGAGATGTACCAAAAGTAGAAGAGCTTAGGAAATCTCACTAACGAATATCAATATTCTTTTGTCCATGTTCTTTAACTAAACCTTCTAAGACTGTATGAAAATGTGCAATTTTGTTTTGAGAAAGTAATCTTAATAAATCTAATCCAATAATCGGATATCTACGTTCAGAAATAGGTAAAATTGAACTTCAAAACAAACCGTACCCCAACCCCAAAGGAGTAGAAAAAAAAGTGTCAGTTTTTCTTTTGAGTTTCGTACTTGTTTTTTCGGATAGGATCTTACTTATAATCATTATAATACGGTCCAAGTTGTGCAATATATCTTTCAAAGGCTGGAATATCTTGACTTCTAACAGAATAAAATGCACCGAATTCTAAAATATCACCTGAATGATTTAGTATTTCCCCCCCCCGCCCGGTGCGATTTAATGGATCATCAGTTCGATTGTTCATAAAAACACTCCATATGTTTGGTTGATTTTGATAAACTTACGAGCTTTTGTTAACGAATCTGGATCAATTAAAGTATTATCATTTATTGTAGGCATGAGTAAAGAAGATTGAGCCAAAGCAATCTAAAAAAACCATCATCACCAAAAAAAAATCAGTGATTTGATTTTTTGGGGTTTTTTGAGACATAGAGAGAGATTGACTTTGAGTTTGGTTAAGAGTTGATGGATTTGATTTGATTTAGATTGATTTGATGATTGGAATGCCAGTTTGAGTTGTTGGTAAAGTTCTTCTGATTCTTTGGTTAGTTTTAGTTTTGGTGGTGTTTGTGGTTGTGCTTGATTGATTTGATTGTTCATTAGTTTTGAAGCTGTTCTTGTTGTTGGTGACATGATGGATGGATTGGATTGGAAGTGGTTAAGTTGATAATCAGTTGATAGTAAATAGTTTCTGGTTGTTGCTCTGGTTGTTGATGATGTGATTTCTGGATGACGCGGTTGGATTGGATTTCTGTATTAGGATATGCAAACTAAATATGCTTATAACCAACTCAACTTGTATAACGTCATGGACCAATCCCACTGTTTCCCTCTATCTGTTTTCCATCTTCACTCAGAACAACCTTCAAACATTCAATTTGATCAATCTAACCAAACCAAAAATGGAATCCGATATGAACATCAATCGATTAAAAGCAGGAGAATTAAACTTAGGTACTTCTATCATGGCAGTAGCTTTCAATGGTGGTGTAGTGATCGGTGCTGATTCTAGAACAACAAGTGGTTCTTACATTGTAAGGGTTTTTTCCCATCAAGATCTTTCATTTATGATTGGAAGATAAGAAGTTGATTGATAAAATTCACTTTGTTCGAAAATCGCGTTCGGGGTTTCTTTCTCTAGGCTAATCGAGTCACTGATAAACTCACTCATATTCATGATCGAGTTTATTGTTGTCGATCTGGTTCGGCTGCTGATACTCAAGCTGTAGCTGATTATGTTCATTTATATTGTCAAATGTATACGTAAGTGAACTTTTTCGAGGATTTTAAACCCATTCATTTCTTTGACTTATTTCTTTGCGGGTGGGGGGTTTTCTGTAGCATGGAACACGGTCATGCTCCTTCTGTTCATACAGTCGGAACTCTTTTTCAACAAATCTGTTATTGTATGTTGATTGATTTTTGGAATTGAATTCTGAACCTAAAGATTGATGTTTCCTTTTGACTTCTTTTGAACTTAAACCGAATCAACTTTAAAATCCAAAAAAGCCAACAAAGATAATCTTTCTGCTGGAATCATTGTTGCAGGATGGGATTCACAATTAAAGAATGGTTCGGTTTACAATAGTAAGTTTGTCTGAAATGGGTTCCAAGATTGAATTTGGGATCCTAAAGTGTAAATGTTTTTTGTTCGATGATTTGTTTAAAAAAGTTCCATTGGGAGGTGGAATTTTTCAACAACCTTGGGCTATTGGTGGAAGTGGATCGACTTATATTTATGGTTATTGTGATTCGAATTATCGTGAAGGTTGGAGTAAAGAAGAAACGGTTGAATTTGTTAGAAATGGTACGTGTTCTTTTTCTTTTGGATTCCAATCAAATGAGGTTCTTTATATATCAAATCAACTAACGTATTATTTTTTGGGATGATTTAAAAAACCAAATAGCTTTGGCATTAGCTATGTCTAGAGATGGAAGTTCTGGAGGTACGATTAGGATGGCTATCATTACAGAAGATAATGTAGAAAGGATGTTTGTACCTGGAGATAAATTACCTACGTTTTGGGAAAAATCATGAAAAAGCAAAATACAAGGAAGAAAAAAGACCGGTTTTGAATGTTTTGTTTGTTTTGAAATTTGATTGTGATTGTGATTGTGTTTTTGATTTGATTTTGATTTTGATTTGTTTTGAGATGAAGAGACATTTTGAATTAAGTGAAAGAGTTTGGAAATTAAGTGAATAGAGAAGATAAAATGATGGATGGGTTTTAAAAAGTGGGTTTTGTGGATTATGATGAAAATTGAATTGATTGAATTGTAAAGCTTTGAGAAAATAGAAATGATTGAAAAATACTGAATTCTCAGTGTATCATGCGCGTTTATAAAGAACTTGCGGCCAAAGTCAGTTCAAAATCCATAGCCTTTTTGGAAAATCAAAACAACACACTTTAGTACGCTAAACTTGCAAGGAAGACGGCCAGTTCACAAGAGAAGAATATGGACGTTTTGATACTTATATAACAAACCAGTCATTGATTTTGGATACAGTAAATTATATAAAGGGCATTTAGTATTATATAATCAACCTGAAAAGTTTTATTTTCAAAGCCTTTATCATGTTTCATTTTAGATCTCTTCATTCATTAAGATTTCCACAAAAGAAAGAAATTCTTGATTTATAAATTATCCTTGAGATGAGGAAAATCAGAGTTTGTTAAGCTTTTGGATAGAATCGTGAAAGAAACTTGATCAAAAACCTTTCAATATCTAGACACACATAGGAAGTACTAGAAGTCATTCTCAAGTTTGTTTTCGTATCAATGATGCTAGTTTCTGATTCAATGGATAACTTATTCGGCTGTATGAAATGAATTTATCTTATTTTATGTGAACAAGTTGATCTTATATGGCTCAGACTCAGTCATGGCAGAAATGGATCATAGGTGGTGTTTGAGAAAAGATTCACATGATGGACTTCGTTTTAATGGAACTTATAACCTTTTGACTTGGTACTTATGTGACACGGATCTCTATACATAAAAGAGTTCAAGCTGGAAAGATGCTCAAAATTCTGTACATCAAGATGTTGGTTAAAAAAATTAAATTTGGAAAATGGTATTGGCAAGCTCCTTCTGAGAAGCCAATTCCTAGCCATTTGATTTTTCAAAAAAAGACTATCATTGAAGATCTGGTAGTTTAAAGTGTCAAGTTAAACCCCGCTGAATAAAGAATTATTTTGAAAAGTAGTTACAATCTTTAGAATGTATGATTATTTTTTGTATTGAATTTTTTTTGTGATGGCTCATGAAAAACTTGTAAGAATTAAATGAAAGAATAACTCATAGAAATGAAAACAAAGATTAAAAAGTCACCAGGACCCAAAAGAAAAAGTAATTATTGATTAAGAAAATTATTAGTTTAGGAAATATTAGTAACAAAACACAGTTGATGATTTTAAATTGGAATATAAATATTTTTAGGTATAGATCTAACTTTACGATTTCGATTAATTTCTAATGTTGATGTAGGTTTAAGATTCAAGTTTGGATCAGATTCGATTGAAACAATAGTTTGATCATTCAAAAGTTTATTAGAATTAGTTAAATGATTTGGAATTCGATGATGACGACGATGATGATGATGATGATGAGTTGCAACAGGTGAAGGAATTGAAATCGAAACAGTTGGTGTAGAATGAGTATGAAAATTAGTTAATGGACAAACCGAAAGATTTGAAGTATGATTCTTATTTTGATGTTTTTTGAAAAATTTGAATGGTGATGAGAGATATGAAATCAATTGTCGGTTTTTCTTTCCAATACATTTATAAAGTTGATAACCGATTAATAAGATTAATGATGAGATCACTAGAAATAAGATAAGTGCAATGGTTTTGTATGGGTTTTGATTTGAGTTTTTTGAATTACATTTGGTATGATGAGAATGTAAAGTTTTGTTAGAAGTGTTGTTGATTAAATCGGAGTTGATAGTTGTTTCGGATGAAGTCATCTTATCTATGATGAGATAAAGATCATTTTCTTCTAAGAGTTTTATTCTCTTTATAGTGTCTCTTTGAGAAGCGGTTTGAAACAATTGTTCAGTGTACTCTTTTTCAGTTGTTCAGCCTCAGGGAAGAAGTCAACGAGTTGAGGAAAAAAATGGTAAGCTAATACTCAGTCTTGTATATACTCCTCAACCCTCACTTCCTGACGGTTGAAGCGCTATTGTTCAAACATCCTGCTCATGCCATATAGGATAAGTATGATCTCAGTAAGCCTGAGTAGAAAAAGGTAAGCAAAAGTTCACGATGAATTTCTTGATCAATACTCTAGTAATAAATAGTATGCGATTCTTCTGATCATGAACGTAAGGTGATAATAATCCGGGAAAAAGTACAAAGAGTATGGATTGCGTATTTGTGAGTATTTTGGGTATTATCGTTTTGACACAATCACTCATTTGAAACGGTTTGAATATTACGCCATTTCTTGTTCACTGAGGTCGTATTCATAGTTCTCTTGGAGTAAAACAAGAAGTCATTTGCAAAACGGTTTTGTTTGGTGGTGAAATGTCATATTTTACAAAGGAGTGGATGTAAAGTGATCAAACTTTTACATTCTGGAACAACTTACAGCATTGATCACGCCTTAAGGCGACAGAATGACCACATGGAAAGCTGTTAGGCTGAGTACCTGGCTTGCTATGGGCTTTGATCTGATCAGCTCCAGTTCTTTTAGGATGCGAAAGGTTTTTAGCTTTCCAGTTTCCATGGATTTTTTTTACTGAATTTGTTTAATAGATTTCGCTACGACTTCTTTGGAATCTGATCACCTTGCGTCATGCATACAAGGAAATATCAAGGCGGCTTTTATGAAAACATAGTTTGAGAAAGGAAAAAGTAAAGATAATTTCAAATAAGAGAGGCCAGAAAGGTGATAGGCGGGCTATCTGGTCACTGTCACATTTCTATCACGCTGATCATCATCCGAGCCTTCTTCCATCCAGCAATACTCTTGACGCCATTTGGTTCTCAATGTGATCAATAATTTATGCACAAAGTTGGGTAGTCGTTATAAACATGCTTTATGATGTTTTTTAACACAAGATTCACGAAACGAACCTCCAAATCTGAGCTGCTCCTTTAGACATTCAAGTACCACATTCCTCTATTTGTTTGTGACAACAGTAATTCCAAGGTGATCATGGTTGTAGAGAGACTAGGAGGGATTAAAGTAGTAGGTTCCCCTCAAAGTGTTCTTGAAGAACATTGGTGAAATCTTACATCTTCATTGGGGATTCTTTTCGAATTTCTACCTTAGATTATTCTTTGTATGAGAAATATTTATACTCAAAGGATTGCATTTATGGTTCTCAAACCTGTGCAAGAAATGTGCAAGACCGACGTGCAAGATCCGTGCAAGATTTCTTGCACCAATCTTGCGCATTAAATTTTTTGACGACCCCAGCTATTTTGTTCCAACTGGTACGAAAACCGTGCGAGACCGACGTGCAAGTTCCGTGCAAGTTCCGTGCAAGTTCTATTCATGTCTTGCACAGAAGTTGCTCGAAACTTGCACAAATTTTTGCATAGGTTTGAGAACCATAATTATATCATATCTGAAGTATCTGCCTTCGAACATATCTTCCTGGCGTGGCCAATACGTTTGATAGTAGACTAATAGTAACAAAGACAATGCATCAGAATGAGCATATTCAAGGGATGATAGACTCAAGATCATGCCCATCAACAGCACTTCGCCGCTTATATTCCAATCTCCATTACATCAAGCGATATATCTTTCAAACCTGAAGATGGTTTCTCATAATACGTCAGGAAAGTATCAGGCGCAAGCTGGTTCTCACAAAACCATCAGAACTATATATCAGAGGTTTATTCGTGGCTGTGTGGTGTCCTGATAGAGTTCATGATTGGATTCAAGATCATCATCCTTTCAAAGTGTTTGAAAATCAGGTTGATATCATTCCCTTGTTCTCAGGACTGGTATGGAAACAAGCCAAGCCAAGGCATCCCGATGAATCAGATCCGAAGCCTTTCCTTTTTTTGCTGCGTTTTCACCTAGCCAACCGACACAGGTCAGGTGGGTGTGTTTGAGCATGAGTTATGTATAGGGTTGCTTAGGTACCCTAGTTAGGTGAGCATGGTCCGTGCGCTCCTCAACTTTCTCAGACTTATTTTTCTTATGATGCCTCGAAGATAGTTTTAGTCAAAATAAACTGAGTTTTGAACTAAGCAACACCTTTCTGGGTGGTGTTAAGTGATATTGATGACTAAATTTAATAGTCAGAAACCCTTTCTGCCATCGTTCTCCTGGTTTCCCTGTGTGAAAGTGGGATTGAAAGACCAGAGACAGTTGAGTCACTCACCCGGTTCAGACTCTCAATCTCCGTCCTTCCACCTTTTCCCAGTTTTCAGCTCTTTACCACTTCAACAAGGTTTCCTTATCATCTTCTTCACAAAACACTTTCTCATCAACCCTTCCAACACTTAAAAAACCCCTTTTACCTTACCACGTTTTGAATTCACAACCTTTCCAATCTCACAGGTCGGCTTCTGTTTCTGTTCTGATCGCTTTCCTTGATCTCCTTATCTTGCCCTTTTCCCCAACCTCTCGTCATCGTCATCATCTTCACCATCTCTCGACTCTCTACGACTTACCTTTTAAATCTTTTTTCTTTAATCTTTCTCCTGCACTTGTTAATTCAAACTCCTTTTCTTCCATTTCTCTAGACTACTCAAATGGCTTCTCGCGAAGACTCTGTTTACATGGCCAAGCTCGCTGAGCAAGCCGAGCGATATGATGAGATGGTAACCTACATGAAAGATGTGGCCAAAGTCAGTCTACTTCTCTCTCTCTCTGTGATCGATCGGTATCCGTTGGAACTTACCTCTCCCTCTTCTTATCTTTTGATTCGATACGCGTTCATGATCCATAGCTCGATCAAGAACTTACCATTGAAGAACGTAATCTTCTTTCAGTCGCTTACAAGAACGTCATTGGTGCTCGACGTGCCAGCTGGCGGATTGTGAGCTCGATCGAGCAGAAAGAAGAGGTTGGTCTTCCTTTCTTTGCATCGTTTCATCTCGTGTGTGAGCTAGGGATGTGCTGGCGCTGAGTTGTAGTCGCAGGCAAAGGGCAACGAGTCACAACTCGGTCAAATCAAGGCTTACCGTGACAAGATCGAGGCTGAGTTGGCCAAGATCTGTGAAGACATTCTCGAAGTTCTCGATGGTCACCTCATCAAATCGGCTGAATCCGGTGAAAGTAAAGTATTTTACCACAAGATGTCAGTTCGACCTGCTACTTCCTCCATTTCTTGTTCTAATCCAAACCGATCACTTTTTCGTTCATAGGAAGGGAGACTACCACCGTTACCTTGCTGAATTCGCAACAGGTGATAAGCGTGCAGTCTCTTCTGATGCCTCGCTTGAAGCCTACAAAGCCGCCTCATCAATTGCCACCGTCGAACTCCCACCAACTCACCCCATCCGTCTCGGTCTTGCGCTCAACTTCAGCGTATTCTACTATGAGATTCTGAATGCCCCTGACAAAGCTTGCCAGCTTGCCAAGCAAGCATTTGATGATGCTATTGCCGAATTGGACACTCTCAGCGAGGAGAGCTACAAAGACTCTACCCTCATCATGCAATTGTTGAGAGACAACCTCACCCTCTGGACGTAAGTCATCACCGTCTCAACTTCATACTCTACCCTTCTTTCTGATCGGAGGACTTCATCTGCAGTTCTGACTTGAATGACAGTGTGCCGGAAGACAAGGAAGATAAGCCTGCCGAACCCGCTGCCGTACGTATCGACCGGTTCGAAATATGCGACCCTACTATCGTAGTGACTAACTGTATCTCTTTCACCTCACCTTCAATCCCGGTGTTCCTTTTGGTGTTATCTTTGTTCCTTGGTCTTTGTAGGCTCCCGAGGCCGCCGAAGCTGCCCCTGAAGCGTAATCGATCCCATTTTGCTGTGAATAAAAAGCAAAGCATCCTGCGCGAAATTACTCTTTGATTTTCTGTGTGGCCCTCGGGTCACATTGGAATACTAGAAGCCTCGTCTGCCAATTGTGCTTTCCTCCTAGCCCTCTACTCTTTACTCGTCTCGACTTTTTTTTCACATACATTTATTTGCGTACTTTCAGTCTTAAAGCTTGTTGAGCAACCGTCTTTTGTCTCATAGTGCCCTTATTTCGAGCTCACTTTCAGCCTTGCTCCGTTGCCCCCCGTTTTCATTTTTTTGCACTTAAATGCTTTTGTCCAAACGTCTTCCAATGGTTATCCTTAGTCCTTGAGTCTGGAGAGTCCATTGGCAAGTGTGAGGGAGCCTCGATGGTCTAGATAACTACGTCTTACTAGGTTGCAGATTGCTTTGGTCATGGAGCTGAACAACCTTGAATTTCATGCGAGGGCTGCTCAACACGAAGTCATTATGGCCATATTTGCTGTGGATTTAATGATTATACACTCTTTCAATAAACGGCTTTGTATTGGAACACCAGTAAGCCATCGAGTATGTTCAATTTAAACCTAAACCCCGTTGCCTATGGGTCATGAGGTACTCGGTGGCTGTGATCACAGCTGCCAAAACTTGCAATAAACCTGACAATCACATTTGAAGCACCGCTATTGCACTTACTTGGACAGGACTTTGTACTGAGACTTTCGATGAGTCCACTGAGTCAAAGGTAGGGTTTTGCAAACTTAACAGAGTGCCTTGCCAAAGGCTTGAGCAAGGGTTTTGGAGAGAAAGATTGAATATGTACATGACCAAAAGGGGGATTTTGGGCCAGTGTATGCCTAAGTGTACAGTCAGTGACAAAAAGTCTTCATACCAAGCTGAGATTTCTGGCACTCAAATTGCTCATCAAACTTGGCTATCCTCTATTGTCTACACAGTAATTTACAATGACCACAGAAGAAACAAATCAACAATCTCAAAAAAAATTGCAAATCCAACATACCATGTCAGCTGCCTGGATTACTAGCAAGTTACCCATCAAAGCCAGTGTTTCAACAGTTCAATCAGAAATTCACTGACTTGGCTTTCACTCTTGAGTTAGAGTATTCAAGCCTTATCACAGAAGCCAACACTTTCTCAAGCATCTTGAGTTTTCTACAAAACACAAAGATTGGACTTACAAAGATTGAAAAGAAGGTCATTTGGAGCAATAAATTTTTCATTTGAAATAGGAAAGCCTACAAAGAAGGTTTGGGTGTGCTGGAAAGTCAGTGAGAAATACAACAAAGACTGTTTGGCCCCAAGTTTGAAGAGTAGAAGGGATTCAGTAATGATCTGTGGCAGTGTTTATAGTGGAAATGTGCTTACTAATGATTGTGATGCCCTCAGCACATTGAACTGGAGTCAATTTTGTTGATTTTGTCTATTATCAGATTATTGTACAATTTATTACCTCACCTGACTGTCCAGAAAGTCTCATCTTGATGAAGGATGTTGCCCTGGTACACAAAAGTAAACTGGCGAAAGAATGTAGGGATCAACATTTGGTTAGATTGACCTGCCAACAGTCCAGACCTCAACCTAATTGAGAAGATTTGAAACATTGAAAAAGCAAATGTCTCTGAAAAACACCAGCCCCAAAAATTTCAAGAAAGGTGTGAAGCAGTGTATACCAAGTAGAAATTCATACCTGAGAGCAAGCTTTAAGGTTTAGTTGCATCCATGCCTAATCAAATCAAGTCTGTGCTCAAAGCAAAGGGTAGACACACTCACTGTTAAGAGTCATTGTATCTTAGAGTCTACATTACAATCATGAATTTTGAACTTTGAGCATATTTACTATGTTGAGTTCCCATATAGACCAAGAGATTTCAGGTACAGCAAGAGTGAGATTGTGAGCTAGATATACTTGTTGAGAGTTTCCAAACAGGTGAGTTAAACTGCAGGTAGATACAATTTGTGTTACTGACTGTACACGATGTGAAAGGGGAGTTTCTAGAGGTGTGAATTTGATGTATGTGACATGGAAGGGGATTGTTGAGCCATCAGGGTTAGGTTTTCCCACTTGTGCACTTCCAGGAGTCCTGGAGATCTTTAAGAATACAACCAAATGTTGATCTACCACAGCTTCAACAAGAATTCTGACTTGAACAGAGTTGAACAGGGTCTTATCCACTTATATCACCACTCATTTATCCACATACAGCCACAAAAACCCATTATAATATGAATGTGGCAGGTACCCAAATGCATGACGGTACCTGCGTAGTTCCATAAACAAGGGAACAGGAGCACAGAGCTCAGACATACTCGGTACTGGTGAATCACAGTACCGAGTCAAGACGGGAAGAGTCTTCCCCAACAGAAGCAAAAGTTTGTAAGACATTTGTAATACCTTACAACTTTTTCCTCCATCCCTCAACAATAGCTGAGCTCAACAAAAAGCATCAGCAAGGTAATAAGAGGCTTCACATTTCTAGAAAATTTTTCTTTTCCTCCCTCCCACCCCTGCACCCTGCCGCGCAGAGAGCCTACCCCATCGGAACACCACCGGCCCCCGGACCCCCCCAAACACGTGGTGAGACTCAGATGCATATGAGTCTCACAACTTAAGAAGTCTTCTGATTAGGTAGCTTATGTTTAGAATGACTTAGACAGTAGATAATAAAATTTGGAAATACAATAGAATTAAATAAGGGTGTGGTTATAAATACTTGACCCCACAAATAGAAATGTGAGCCTCTGAGATATGGATGTGAATTTAAAACATGTCTTGACAAGTAGATTGTGAATGATGGATATATTGGTACATATGCACCATTCAATACTATGATATTTTGTATGGATACAAAGGCAATGATTTGTATGGAAAAACAAGAACTTGAAGCAACAGCACACTTAACCAAATTGCAACATTCTGTACAAAATTTGGAAATATTTATATCAAATCTTCTCAATCCAGCCTGCAAGTCCTGTTTATACATCTACACTTTCCAAAAACTACATGATGTACTACTAATCACTGCATATAATTGCAAAACTCGCTTCATTTTGTAGCTGTAGCTGAGCATCAACCAAAATCAAATGATTTGGTAAGCAACATAGCAATTGGTGTTGCAGTCATTGATGATATCAGGCTGAGGCACGTCGTTTTTTCAAAAAGTGTGCCAGCACACCTTCTTTGGCTTCATGACCGCGCCTAGGCACCACTGGGCACGTTATAGGTGCATTGGGTGCAATGTTTTGGTCAAGAAGGACTTTATCCCACAAGGATTGGGGGATTTTGGGGATTGAAATGTTATTGGATAGCTTCTTGATTCAACTACTCTTAGTCCTTGACTTGAGTTGAATGCTTGATCTTGGCATTTCCAACTGAAGAAAGACCAATTTTTGGCTAGACTAAGCACAACCAAGCAATTTCCCAAACCAGAACACAGCCAAACCTAGCATAGTACTTTTGGGTATGCCTGCCTACTTTCTGAGTTTGTTTGGTGTGTTTTTTCAGACACACCCCTGGCCTGAGTCTGATAGCTATCCAAAAACATCATAACAGCCAGGTTGTAAATCATAAGGGCAATCAATAAAACCTCACTCATCCTGACAAATTACAATCAGGATTTACAAGCAAAAAATTGTGCAAAAGCAAGTGCATGTTTGACAATCATGACAGTCTGCTTCAAAAATTTGAAAGAAGTTCCAACCAGAAAATCATGTGGGCACCTATGGAGTATCAACACTGCCAACATATTTGGCTTGGACACCACACTGAGAGAAAATTTCTCAAAATTTCTCACTGTGATGTAAAAGTTACATATGTAATTTAATAGTATGATAATTTTCAGTTTTTTTATGACTGTTTTTTTTCAAACTTCCAAAAATCAGGTGAATGCACACCAGAAATGAGCTTCTAGATACAAAGATGGGTCACAGGTGTCATGTGATATTGACTTGTCACACAATGTGTAAGCCAATTGCATTGCGTGAATTTTGCACTTCCTGTACTTTACCTTTACAAAATTTTACAAATTCACAATGATGATGCTCTTTACCATTGAGATGATTACTATATATAATTAGTGAATGATCTTGAACTCTGGTTCTTCCAACTTTTTATCATTCATTGCTTCAAACAATTAAAATTGCTTGTCCAAAGAGTAGTCTCCTGTTCAGATATAATCTTGCTTATACCTATCTCATCCATTATATATTTTTTTGGTCCTGCCCACCTCTCCCTTTGTTATCTGATATTTTTAGTCCGCCTATTTTATACCTTTGAGTCAGGTTGCATATGTACTTAGATACTATTCTGCCATAACTCATTCATTACATTGAACCTTGGGCTCTACGCCTCAATTCTGGCTAAAACTCCCACATCGTGATTTTAGCTCGAATCACCCAAGAGCCCAAAACTACTCTTGTAAAAATAAAGAATGGCTCATGGAAACATTGATTTTACGGCTAACACAATTTTCAAACATTGTTATTTGGAAATGGGTGTTTGGAAAAACCTCACACTCCTTATATCGATTCTATTGGACACCATTCACTTCCAAGTTTGGTGTTTTATTGAGGTGGTTGGTCCAACATTGTATGTTTGGGTTGTGGGATTCTGAGAGTACAAAAACAAGAATTGCTGAGGAATAAACATGCTGGAAAACAAACGCAGTGCACCAGCACGGATGATGATCATTGATCACATAATTTCCTAGCTTGTCAAAAACACAATAAGACTCTTAGAGAACGGCAGTGGTTCTACTGCTTTGCTTTTGCCATAATTCATATGGGTAAAGATGCCTATGATATTGTTTTTGACTCTTAATCTTTTCAAGACTTTCAAGTTTCAGTCAAAGAGAATTGTCTTTTGTTGCATCTTGGTATATTGTCAGTTGTCTCCTCAGACTCTGATGCTCTCTATTGGCTTTCTTTATTATTGGTTTACTATATTCTCTAGAAAACGGCAAACATAGATACAAAGCAGACCTCAAAAATCTACGAATGATAAATTATGTTCTCATGGTTCTTCTGAGAGACATTTTTCCTCACGACTGTGACTTTGCCATATATTGGTCCTCTCCATGACTCCTCAAGCCATCATAAACACATGTATCTCTTATTGCGATGGTGAGAAGATGGTACATACTATTACTGATCACAGATTACCTATTGAAGTGGTTTCTTGGTTTTGTTTCGACTGTTTTGAACAACCTCATGGTTCAGGCAGGTTTACCAATTTCCAAAGTTAGTTTAATTCAGAGAAACCAAAGAAGATATTCCAAACAAGAGAGCATTACAAGTAAAAACAATTTTCAATTCAACACAAAAATTTCTTCAAAGATGTAAGGTCTCATAAGTAGATTTACTCATTTATTGGCCCATGAAGCTTTTCGTCCAAATCCTGAATATTAAGTCAAGAGAAAAATAAATCAAAGTCAGCACCTTTAAATCTCAACCGATCACTGATATATAGATTTAGAGTCATACTTACCAAGATTTCAGCATAATTCAATTTACAAGTGAAATGAGACTCTATCCCATGAATCTTCAAAGTTCTAACGAGTCGTTCGACCTCTATTGTAGGATCCTGCTTGATACTAAGAAAAACAAAGTGTTTTAAATTAGGTGGTTTTACAAGATGACCATGCCCAAGTTTAACCAAAGCTTTGTCCCAAAACAATTTTCCACTTTCAAAATCCATGACCAAAGTTCGAAGATTAGAACAGAATGGCCATTGAAGCCAATCAAGAGACCCCCATGATTGTCTATACATCAAAGTACTATAGATTATACGAAGTTTTGGAAATCTCATCTTTGATAATTTATGTGGTAGATGATCTGGAAAGAAAATTGTGATGAGACATTCAAGATTTTCGTTTAATGGTTCTAATACTAATCCTCCTTCTGGATTTTTAGATTCGATTACTTTTAAACTTTTTTTCGTAGATTGACAGAGATGATCGATTGCACGTTTGTTATTTGGGTGATCTTCAAACCGTAAGTGTTTTAATTTTGATAAAGCTCCAGGTTTTAATTCGAAAATTTCTAGATGACGAATCAGAATTGATAAAGATTCCAAGTCCGTAGTAAGATTTAGTAAGTCAACTAATGATTCCAAATTTGTAGGGCTTGTTGTAGCCGCACAAGATCGGATAGTCAAACTCGTGAGACATTTGATTTGACCGATTGCGTTGATGAGGTCGGGTGAAAATCCCATTGAGCTATATAACTCCAAAGTCAAGTCAGTCAAGTTTCGACCAAGGAATAAAATTAGTTCTGATGCATGATTCATTGGAACCGTATACATTTGCCAATCCTTTAATTCTTCTTCTGAGGTTTTCTTATTCCCGTATACTAGATTTTCAATATAAAGTCGCTGAACAGGAGAAGAATCTGAATCAAGAACCGAATCTTTCCAATTCTCAATCAAAGACTGTATCTTTCTTGATCTATTCAAACAGATCGAATTAAAGACTAAAGGAAGCACAGCTTCAGCCCAATCCTTACAAACTAAACGTAATCGAAGGAGTGCCTGAGTTGAATCAATTGACGGGGCAAGGTATGGGTTAGGGTCGTTCATTTCCAATAATCCAGGATAGAACTTGAAATGGGAAATGTAGAATTTAATGATTATCCGTAGAACTTTGATTGAAGGATTTTCATCTTTACTGATTGGTTGTGGTGATTGATTCGAGGTTTTACTGTCTGATTCGGATGATTGAGATAATTCAGCTGACATTTTGTTTTTGAGTTGTGGGATGTTGAGGGTTTGGATATTAACGATTCAAGAGGAAAAACTTCTCAGAGATATAAAGCAGTGTGGCAACATTTCTGAGTATCTTGGTCATGGATCACTCGGTTTCCTAACTCGTCGAAAGCACGATAAGACTTGTCAAAAATATCGATGTTTTTCTACTGCTTTGCTTTTGCAATTTCTTTTATCAGAGGTGTTCTTTGTCTAATGACTCTTACCTTTTCCGAGCCTACTGATCAAAGAGACTCGTTCTCTTATTGTATCTTGATTTATTGACGACTAGACAATGGGACCATCAAACTTACTACAATTACTTGTTCCGGTGTAAAATACCAAAGAAAGATCCGCGTTTGGTGTAAATTCTAATAATCACCATGTCCTTGTGGCAGTCGCCCGACGACGAGCGATAGGTATTTGCCCAAATCTTGCTATTTTTGGACCAAATTTGAGTTTGTGAACTGATATTCCCTGTTGAGCCTTTTGATTTGGAAGATCTTTCAAAACCAAAGGCATGCAAAAATACGCAAAATGAGCGGAAAACACACGTGCTTGTCAACAAGCAAACACCACACGGACATGGTGTATTAATAACACAAAGCTGAATGAAAATTATAATGACAAGTACTTACAAAGATTGAGGATTCATAACCTCTAAGCTGATTTGGGTGTTGAGCACCTGGCTGACAGGACACGCTTGCACAACCAAGCAGCTCACCCACTGATTGGCTGATAAATCATGTTACGCTGTCGTGGTCTTGCAGGTTACATAAAGGCTAAGTGACACTGACACGCATAGGTGAGGACTATGTAGCCGTACTCACACTGCTGTCACCTGATTCTACACAACCACTCGTCATGAGGATACCTTGGTTTCATTTCAAGTGGTCCTGGTGAAAAGTTGCCCCATGGTGTAGGCAAGTATATATTTCTTTTGTGTTGGAAATCTCTCACCATGCTTCCTCTGAACCCCGGAGAGTAAATCGAAACCAGGGGAACTGGCGAGTACAATCGAGCGCGAAGTGTGGGAATGTCGCGCTCGCGTTTGCTCCACTTTCAGCTCTCGCCAGTTCCATCCCCCTTGGAATACTCTGCAATTTATTGACCGAATAAAACAAACAATTCTCTCAACACGCATCAAATGCATATGAATTTCTGGAATCAAACTTTCAAGACCCAATACATCAATTGAGGATGTAAGCCTATTTTTTCAACTTTTCTGGACCCAAGGGTTTATTGTTCTGGGTACCCAATGTGATCAGAATTAGATAGACCAAGTATCAAATCATGTGCGATAATATCGTCAAAGCCTTCCATAATTGAATGGAAAAACCTTTTGACAGATAATCAAACCCTAATAGCACTTCACCCATAATGTTGTCATGAATGCAATCTGATGTTTTTGTAGTTTGTCTAGTTCAAAGGGTTTAGATTTGATAATTTTCATCTTCACAAGAGCTTTTACAGATTTGCTGATTTACGCATCGTTTTGTAAGACTAATTAAATAATGAGAGATCACTAAATGATAATTAGTTGTAAAGACGATACAGTTCATGGGATAAACAATATCCCATACTTAACGTCTTGATGACACATGAATCGGACGACCGTAACTAGCAGGAGGTGGACTCATTCGAACAAGACGTTCGACTCTCATAGGCGGTGGTGAATGAAATCTATAGGATGAGGCAGGATAGGCTGCTCGGCGAGGAGAAAGGGAGCGACGTGATGGCCTAACAGATAACTCAAAGGTCAGTAAAACTTAAAGATTGTCAAGACGGGGTGTGAAGAATGATTACCGGCGAGGTGAACGTTCTCGAGTACTGGGAGGGTGAGATGGTTCCAGCCTGTGACATCAAATTCCAACACTCATCAGCGATTACTCAAAGAAGCACTTTTTACAAACTCACCTTCGGTCTAAAATTCGCGGAGACCGGCGATCGATGCGACCACGTGGCTCCAATGGCATGCGTTCTGGATACCTCTCAGGCTCGCCATGAGCGCCCAGACGACTCTCAAAACTTGAATGTGGAGGGAGAGGCTCAGGATGACGAGGAGGATAACGAGCCGCTCGACTTTCATAAGGATCTCGAGGTGGAGTTAAGTGAGCATGAGAGGTAGGCCGAGGAGCTCGTGAATGATACTCGTGACGAAGATGATCATCATACTTTGGAGGAAAGGAAGCGGCCGATGCTGAAGGTGGAATATACACCTCTCGAGCGTGGCTACTGATAGGCAAACCCCGTGGATCAATACGTTCTCTGAAATCGCTAGATGGCGGTTCTGCTCGGTAGCGGTCATCGTCCCGCCGGTCAATTCGTCTACCATCTGGCCGTTCGTCACGCCGATCATCACGCCGATCATCACGCCTATCATCACGCCTATCGTCACGCCTGTCGTCACGCCGATCATCTCGTCGTTCAAAACGCCTATCATCACGCCTATCATCACGCCGCTCATCTGGTCGCTCATCGCGTCTATCATCACGTCGCTCGACTCGACGATCGAGTCGCCTATCATCGCGGCGGTCATCAAGCCTATCATCACGCCTGATATCGCGCCTGTCATCATCACGTCTTGATTCGATGATAGGCGGAAATCGATCACGTTCACGGTGAGTGAGTAAAGGATCAGCAGGACGCAACCTCTCGGGATAATGTCGAGGATCTTCGCGCGGAGGAGGGTCATAATGATCACGTGTGTGTCTGATGGGAAGTTCATCGCGGATCGGCAAGGGGCTACGAGAGCGTGGTCGAATCGGACTGTGAGAGTAGAGACAGACGAGAGCAAGAGAGAAGGTTTTGGTCAAGGTGTGCGTTTGTGGGTGAGAGAGGCGTCTGATAGGCCACCATAGTGATCACAACTCCAGCGAAGAGAACCAACCGTCTTTGAAGAGTAGGATCAGCCTCTTGACAATCTCGAGCTCGATGACCAGCAACACCACAGCTATAGCAAGCTTCAGGGTTAGCAGCAACCGCGATATGCCTAGGACGACTACCGCCATGAGAGATTTCGACTTTGATTTGAGCGCCTAAGAAGTGACCCTCGTGATACTTGGTGACAGCATCAGTAGCAGATTGAGAGTTGTCGAATTCCTGGAACAGTGAGAAAAGGATGAGAAGGACTTGAGTGAGGTTGCACCAAGGATCGATTGAATTGCTTAGAAAGTGATTGATGTGGTGCGCAAGATCAAGTCGTCTAAGAAGAAAGCATCACAGGCAAGAGATGACATAGAACTCGTTTTCGTACGACAAGATGATCAGTAGTCGACCTAGATCCAACCACGAGTGCTAGCGCGCGTTTGATAAAATGGTGAACGAGATGGCTATTGCTTAGAGGCATAGCAAGGAAATCGCAAGAATCCTCCCATAGGAGAAGTCAAAAGAGGTTGTCTGACGAAAGAAAAGAAACGCAAGACAAAAGACCGAAGAAAGCGATGGTAGATGGTAGATGGTTTGAAGGAGAAAGAGCTAGACTCTTTCGATTGAAGGCTGCTTGAGTTGAGTGAGCAAGTGTCTAAAGGCTCACCACGAATCCGTAGCCGGTCTTTAGTTCGATAGTCAGAATCTTGCCCAATTGAGAAAAACAATCTTGAAGGTCTTCGGAACGAGTGATTTCAGGTAATCCACCGATATAAATCTTTTGAGCGTTAATGACTTTGGCATGTGGATGAGTTGAACCTGTATCATGTCCACCGTTAAGAACAGGTTTAGCAGTAGGTGGTTCAGAGGGTAAACTATAACCATCCATACGTAATTCACGATCAGGTCGGCTTGAAGGTTGATTCTGAACCGAAGTAGGAGAGTGAGCCATAGAAGGCATGATTGTTGGTTTTGATCAAGAATGTGAATCTGATGAGTTGAAGTTGTTTAAGAATATAAGTAAGTTGATGAGATGATATGATGTAGTCGATGGATGAATGAGAATGAGACTGGAAGGATCGAAGAAGCAAACTGATTTCGATTTAAATACCCGATCGGTTATGTACTTACTATGTACTTAGCTTTTATCACTTAAGACAGTCACTCCATCCAATTCGATCAACCCGGGAATCGATTGATAGAATTCGATCAAGAAACTTTCTGGACACGCCTCTTTTGTCTCAATCTGAATATTCACGAATTCATCAAAAGGAAGGCTTAACTGGGATACGATAAACAATCAGGAAGGATCCTTAAAAAGGGTACATAGACACAGTTCTTTGTCAAGGTTGGTTTTTCTTATTCGTGCTGAATGATGCCAAACTGTTATTTATATTTTTGGTTCTTCTTGTAGTTTTTCCCAGAATCAGAAAATGTCCGAGTCTATTCAAAATCTTGATTCTGTCGATCCGATCAGCCAATGCGAACCAGAACCAGAACCAGACCTACCTGTAAAAGAGGATCAGGAGGAGGAGGAAGTAGAAGATGACGAGGAAGCAGAAGATGATGAAGGAGAACCTCGACTCACAAAGCCTTGGCCAATATGTGGAATTCCAGAAGAACGAGAAATGTCTCCTGATGATGAAGATCAGACAGGTTTACCGACTGAAGACGGCCTTACTAGCTTAATCAACGATCGAGACATGATGATCGAAAGAGAATCGGGTCTAACAACAATGGAAGGTGATTTGGAAACCGAACCTGAAGCGAGTAAAGTGGAAATCATCAATCTTCAAACCGACAATATCTTGTCAAGGAACGAAGGCGTGAAGCAGGAAGTAATTAATTGCTCAATTTCTCATCTAGCTCGAATATTTTTTGTTTTCTGTAGAATGATTGATACCTAGCCAATTGGTTTGATTTTGACGATTTGTAGTTTAATAATACTTGCCAACCAGATCATTCTAATCAACTCAACCTTCTCGAATCTGATTTAACATCAATCAATGATCCTCAAATCAAACCTGAACAAAATGAATCTGAATTATTTGATGATTCGATTTCCACTACCAATCCATTTAATAAACTTCATTCACCAAGACATATAGATTCTTCAACCGTTGCGATTCCTCCGGCATTTCAAACCTTATCGGGTCATATACCTTTTAACTTTTTTGCTACTCGTTCTCATCCTTGGAATCGGTCCGGATTTCGGTATTTGGCATGTGGTCCAGCTCGATCAGATGAACCAAACGATTCACCAGGAATGAATGATAGATATCCTGTCTATCATGCTATTGAAACTGTACCTCAAGGTCAAGTGAAATGGGCATGGGAAGATCGTAGTAATTATGTTTATATCACAAAAGATGGTTTAGCTGTCACCACTGATCGAGGCTTTCGTTCTGCAAGAGCTAATCTTCCGATTCGACAAGGTCGTTTTTATTTTGAAATCATTCTCGATCGTGCAGGTGGTGAAGCTAATCCAGGTTCACGTTCTGAACCTGAACATGCTCATGTTCGGATCGGTTTAGCAAGAAGAGAATCAGGTTTAAATGCACCCGTTGGGATTGATGGTTATTCTTATGGCATTCGAGATAAGACTGGAGAAAAAGTACATTTATCTAAACTTGAACCGTATGGAGAAGCATTCAAATCAGGTGATGTGATTGGGGTTTATGTTGATTTACCGCCTATGAGATCACCTGATCCGGATGATCCTCATGATCCTGCTCGAATCGAACGTCGTCGGATCCCAATCAGATATCGACGTCAGCTTTACTTTGAATCACCTGAATATCCAATCTCAAAAGAAATGGAAGACTTGGCCGATGCTGCTTCACCATCGAAACTTAAACCTAAACCTCAGTTTCGGTCTACTTTACCTCCTCCACCTGCTGTGAAGAAACCGGTACCAGGTCAAAAACCGATCGCTGCACCTATTCCTACTTCTCAGGTTGAACCTACTGGAATTGTTCAACGTGAATTACCTGTTCTGAAAGGATCTAAGTTGGCGTTTTTTAGAAATGGTGTTTGTCAAGGAGTAGCGTTTCAAGACTTATTGGATTTTCTACCACTCAGAGCGCATACAACATCGTCTCAAGATAAATTGAATTCTAATCTGGTGACGAATCTCACAGAGAGTACTTCACTTGAACCTTTAACTGCAAATCGTGAAAATCTTCATGATGATGGAACCATGGGTTATTATCCTTGTGTAAGTGTCTATGGAGGTGGAATTGCACGATTGAACCCAGGTCCAGACTTTAAATATCCGCCACCAGAAGACATTGAAGCATGTCTCCATCGAGTTAATTCAACAAAGGCTGTGACTCCATCTGACCCTTCAAATCAAATCGATGGATCTACTACCACCTCTACATCTTCAAAATGGCAAGCTTTATCAGAACTTTATCCGGTTTACCTAGCTGAACAAAATCAACTTGATAGACTTGATGCTATTGAATATCAACGTAGAGTGAAAGAAGAAATGAAATTAGTCGAAATGGCTAATGAGACCAAAGCACGTAAAAGACGTCGGGTTCCATCGCCTTCATCAAGACCGGTTTCTCCCACCAGTTCATCAAGTCAAAGTGTTACGACGGTGACGAAGGGTCCCAAAGCGAAAAAGAAAGCTAAGATTAGTAATTTAAGTCATTTGAATGTGGTAACATCTGATGGATCCAAATCTCAAACGTTCAAACCTAGTCCACTTGGTGTGATGGAGATGTATGATGAGTCTTTACGTACTACTGAACCGGAAGTAGGTCTAAATGAAACTCGAGTGGATTCTTTCAATGTAGAAATGAGTACGACAGCGTTGGTTGGTGATTCGCCTCCTGCGATCAGAGAAGATTTCGACGATGAGATGACTCAGCTTGCTCCAGTAGCTCATCACAACTCTAATCCGGACGTCGCACCACTCCCACCCTCGACCATTGAGACCTCCACTGTAGAGAGTTCAACATCAAAACTGGATCTTGAAGATCAGATCGAGATTGAACCTTCTGTGAGCGAGCCGGTCGAAAGTGAATCTCATCAAAAGCTTGAATCGGGGATCTCGAATGAGCAATCTATCGTTACTGAGATTTTACCGAGATCTCCTCAAGCATCTCTACAACCTTGCGTGATTCATATTCCAACAATCATTTCACCCGACATGCCACCTGGGACGGTTGAAGTAGGTAATATTGCTTTAGTTGATCAAACTGTTGAACAAACTACTTCCATGATTGTAGAACAAGAAGTAAAACTACCAGACTCGCCTCTTGGCTCTCTTCCTCAAGTTTTACCACTTCTTGAAAAGCCAGAACCAGATTCAAATTCAAATCCGAGTGATGTTCCTTTAGTTGATCAAACCGATGAACAATCTACTTCCATGAACATCGAAGAAGAAGTCAAAATACCAAACTCTTCTATGATCTGCCTTCAAACTTCAAATGGTCTTGAAGATCCAAAATCGGTTCCATTAATTGAAGAATCTGATGTGTTAAGTAGTTTAGATGTGGAAATTCAGATTGAAAATCATGTGGATCCAAGTCTTTGTTCACCTACCATACCTAAATCTAATTCTTAGACGACCAAAGAAAATGTTCTTGTTTGTGATATGTTGTATATTTGTGGATTGTGAGATGATGATCATTGTTTCTTATTAGATTTTGTTTGGTTGTTTGTTTTAACTTTTGGGTGGTTTATATGATGATCAATTTTAAATTATTTATTGAAAGCAGTAAGTATCACTATATACTTATTGAAAACATATGGGAACTTTTTCTCAATTGAAACATATAATGTACATAAGTGATTTCAAGTTTGTATTGAGACCTATTGAGACTCTTAAGTAGGCTGATCAAATGACCAATTTTATTTCAAGATGAGCTCATTTTACCTTCCATGGTTTTTCAAAATCAGTTTCTTTGTTCAAAAAAACATCATTCAAACATTTTGTTTTTTACGAAAAAAAAATCATCGAAAAATGAATTTATGTTTTTTTTCCATTGCAAAACATCTTTCAAGTATATCTGTTTTACATAAATCAAACAAAACAAAAAACCCAAACTGATCTCTTTTGATTTTTTTGTTCTTCCTCCTTCTCCTTCGTTCGTTTTCTTTGATCATCTTGCAATTAAATCAATTTCATTTCCATTCTCTTCTTCTTCTTCTGTATTTAAAGCTTCAGGTCCATCAATTAATCTTACCCTGTTAAACCATCCACCAAACCAACCAAAAAAAGAAAAGAAATCAAAAAGAAATGTTAATGAATTTTGGGTTTTGTATTTGTTTGATTTGAAGTTCAAATTCGAATTAGAAAAAAAGTTGTGGGGAGGAAGGAAGGGGTTGAGGTTTCTTACAAAAGATCAGGAGTTTTTAACCAATTCTTTTCACCACTTGCTAATTCTCTTTTCCAAATCTCGGTAAAGAAATACCTAAGGTTTCCGAAAACAAAAACATATCAGTAATCTGTGAAAATAAGAGATCCAATTAAACCTGTAAGATTTAAAGAAAATATACAAACCATACATGACCAACAGCGATTCCAAGTAGATCACCTACTACACCATGATAACCACTATTTAATGCCCAACTAAATAAGACAAGTGCGTATGGTAGATGACCAGCTGAGATGGTGATCACTCCAAAGAGTGATAATCTAACTGATGAGTTTAGTCTTGCCCATAGATAAACTAATGTGAAACTTAATGGAGCTGATAAGAATGGAGCGGGTGAGAGTGGTGAGAGTAACTATATAGTAAAAGATTAGTTTTTTTTAGTTTTTTGGGGGGATTGGAAAGAGGTTTGGAAGCTTGGACTTACTAGGAGAAGGGTACAACAGACTATTAGGAGCCAGGCGTAGTCGGCTCGATGACCATGGTAAGTATTTTCTTCTAACATTTTGGAATATCTCATACTAGATTATGAATTGATTTTTGAAAAAAAGAAATTAGATCGAAGAAATAAATCATATATTGAATTAGTTTATTAAGATTTGAGGATTATGTTTAAGTTGGATTTTATTGGACTTACAAGAAGAATAAATGGAAAAAGAAATCAAGACTTAAGGGACCAAAGTAAAGGAAATTAGTCACTAGTCGCCAAAGCTAAGAGAAAATCGATTTGTATTTTTTTTGATTGGATGGTTTTGTTTGAAGAGATAGAATAAGAAGTTGAAGTTTGATATCGAGAGGAGATTGATTTTTTTCATTTGGTTCGAAAAGATGATAAGAAGGTCAAAATAAGATGTTTGTTAGTTTTTAGATTTCATAATTGATACGTTTGATTTAACATCAGAATTAAAGAAACTAACCTGAACATGTTCAAAAGTGGCTCGATATGTAAAATAAAGCTGGTAAGGAGTTACTAAATGACATTGCTAGAAATTCATTCATGATCACCAAGATCAGAAACTATGTTAAAAGTTATGGATGAGTTATGAATCAATTCAAATTGTCACTTACGACTGCTACACTCGTGGCTAATGCTCCACTATTGATAAATACCCAAAAAGAATCAGAATTGATGATTGGTTTTCTGAAGCTTTGTTTTCGATGAAAGGTTGATGACTTACACAAGGTAAATTTTGGTAATAGGCGGACATCTGGATGAGAAGATAGTCATTGAAAGTCAATTGATTGATTCGAGATATGACTTTAAAGAGATTAACTTACTCTGCCCAATCCATGATAGATTAATCTTTCAAGAATTTGATGGATAAGATATTTGAAGTCTAGGTTTTGGTTTCTGATCCTGATTCGTTTCCTTTGTTTTAAAATCTTGAGTTCATTGATGGATCTGGTAAAGTGAGGCTGTGGATGTGGAAGTTGGAAGTTGGTGGTGCTTCAAAGGGAAACTTGATCATCAGGATGAGCTCTTATTTCAATATAAGCATGAAATCTTAATATCCACTGTGTACTACTGGAGTATTAGCATTCCAATTTAGTTTCGAAATCCTTAAATCGATTTGAGACTTGCTCAGCAACACAGAATGAACCATCATCTCATTCTCAACGCACTTCATCACTTGTTGAGCTCATGAATCATCGATATCAAGATGCGCACGATTTCTTGGAACTTTTACAGGCCATCTTCCCTCTCGAGGGTGAATTAATCATGGACGAACCAACTTCAAAACTCCTTCACAACCCACCAAGTGAATCAGAACCTTACAATTGGCAACAAGATCTTTCTGAATTAAATTTCAAACTACGAGTCGATATCCCAAAAGATTCGATTAAGTTTTTATCTCAAGTTGATTCATTATATATTGGTTGTTCATTGGATTTGAAAACCAATCATACGAATCCTAAACTTTGGCTCGATCGACATTCTCATCTAGATCATTCATCATGGCAACAACTTTCAGGTCGAATCGAAAATGAACTTAAATCAGAATTATCTATAGTCACAATTGAAAACCTTACGGATACTCTTACTCATCTGTCACAAAAATTACCTGAATGGGTTCAAGAAATCAAAAGCTCTGATCTATCTATCTCTACACCTATTACTATTGTACAAAATCCTTCTTCTATTGGACTTGAAGATCATGATCATTCAAATGAACTGATGTGTACTCGTGCTTGGTTTAAATTTCCATCACTTTCAACTAAATCAAAACGAAATGATTTAGTCAATCTTGCCATCAAATATTCTATGACAGGATTTGTGATGGCAGGAAAACCAGCTTGGTTAGCCATTGAAATTGATTATCATCAAGTTTTGGAAATCGAACGGTATTGGTCAGAAATCAAAACGGTTTCATGGGCTGATATTCCATCATTTCAAAAAAAAGTTACTGAAGTGATGAGAGAAGTTAAGGTTAAAAGATGTTTTGGTCAAATGAAAGAAGTTACTGAATTCATGATTTCTCATTCAAGAAAAAAACTTCTTAATCCTCATCATAATAAATCGGATCATGTTGAAAAAGAAGAAATCGCTGATTGGTTAAGGAGATTGGGTATACCTGAAGAAACTCTTTTAGTTGTACTTGGCTTTTCTCGTACTTGAATTCATTTTAGACCTTGAAAAGATTGAGAAAAACCTTTGATATACTTTATCTTTTCATGTGACTCTTTATCTCCAAGTGAGACTTTTTGATTGGACATCCTCATGAACAAACACAGGAACCAACTCAAATCAACAATTGTAGTGTGATAAACAGATACCATCAAGAGTTTCCATCAAAGGATTGCATTCAAAGTACTAATCTGTAACCCACATATTAATTTTGGACAACTTTCATTGTGCAAGATAATCCTAAAACATGTTTCCTTTGGATATCCTTCTCACACCATGGTTAGTAAGACCTTTGATATTGTACAATATGATCTCCTTGTGAAGATACTGAGGCTTTGAATCCTGATACTCACACAGAACTTGGACCTTCACTTTCAATTGTTTGTCTTTGAATTAAAAGCTTGAAGTACCTTGAAAGCCCAGGTTGCATAGAATGAAGATGTGCAATACTCAATTTTCATCCTGCAACAAATTTTGAACTGTCTTGAATCATATTCACATACTCAAACCATGCTTAGTTTTGCAATCATGAAGTGTTCTTGTGGTCCTCTCTCCCAGAGTATAGCTTACAAGTTCAGCTATAGTCAACTCCCAAATCTAAATATGTCCCTCAATGAGATGTACCAGCCAGCTCAGACAAGGCTGGCCAGTACAGCTCATTGAGGGATTTGGTTATGTAAGTTTGATCAACTTCTTTCTTGTACCATTTCATGGACAACACTTGCAATGGGTCCGTATCATAGAAGACCTCTGGGCCAACAAGGGAAATCATGTAAAGAAAAAACTACATGACATGGGAAAGACCGGAGTTGAGTGTTTGTTATTTTTAGTGAAGAGATGCCACACTCTCAAAGACTGATTCAGATCTCTTCAGATTCATCACAGATTGGAATACAGCAGAAATTCCTGAACCTGTAAGCCACCCTTGTCTTTATGGAACAGCAGTGAAGAGGCCCAAGATGAAAAACCCTGCACCTCACTTCAATCTATAAGTGCAATCATGAGGATGGAAGAGAAGAAGACTTGCATATGCCATCATGAAGGGTTTTCCTTATTGTCCAATGAGATGAGAAAATTATTAGGATGGAAACATGAAAAATAAATAAGCTTTTGACACCAAAAACCTCACAAATCAATATAAACATAGTATGTACCAATACATGCCACAAGAAATCTACAATGTACTTATACCTCTTCTCATTGAGATAAGCCGCCTCATGAGAATAAGGTATAGAATGGTTGGTATGCTCTAAGTCACTAGATAAACCAGTAGACTAGACCAAACAAGTACGCCACGAAAGCATTGGATCATCATCAAAGAGCCTCGGCAAATCTATATATGTCATTCCCAATGAGTCTATGCGCATGGGGAGTTGGATGGATGTGATCCTGGTAGGTAGAAAAACCAAAAGAAAAAAGAAGCAAGTCAATATCTCTTTGAAACTCAATCACCTAACCAAAGAACACTTGCCCAATAGAGGTATTCATCGGGATTGGAACACACAACCTTGTTCGCGTCGTAGCACCGCCCGGTCACGTTTTTAAACCCATACTGAAAATGCAAAAGCGTTGATCAGAGAATGCTCAAAATGATACTTTGCAAAGATGCTTTTTTCTTTGCCATCACTTGCTGTGTTGATTTTCACTTGGAATTTCAGGAGACCTCTTACCTTTTGGGGAGATGAGCGGATCGAATTCCACAGGTTGGAAATATCGTATAGAAAAGTATTTGAGGTTGTGATAACAGACCGCAGTCCCTGAGGGAAAAAAGAGCTCGAGATATGTTATAAGACAACCTGGTCATCGTTGAAAGAATATCCACTGACCTTGTTGTATTGTTGGGTAAGTAATTGCAAAAGTTTAACCAAGTCTTTTGCCTTTGTCACGTCACCCTTTGTCCATACTTTTATCGCATCTTGGAAGTTAGCGGCGTCACTGAGATCGGGTACTGTGATGACCACGTATCTACGAGGTGATGTGAATAAAGCAAGATATGATCACGTCGAAGATGTCCAGAGACAGAGGTTAGCAATCACCATATATGACCTCAATTAATTTTGGTTGTGGATTACGGGCTGATGAGAGTAACTAAACTTGTCCACCGTGGAAATTGATCGTAGACGGTTCATTTGATAACTGACTTCATCTATCTCTTGCTGTACTCTTTGAACAGCCTTCACGAAGAGCGGATCCGTAGGATGTTGTGCACCCTTGCCCCCATTCCGTTGAGGATCGCAAGCGTCGAACCAGATGGATTTCAACGGGTTAATGCCTACCCACATGGTGTACAATACTCGGCCTCCGCCTCTATCAATTTTTCCAGCTTTTGAGTCGGTCATGAACATCTCGATTTGTGTTCGAGTGTCTGGTACGATACCCATATAGGTTAGGTTGCTGTTAGCAGGCGCGCCGTTGCTTGAAAAGAGCAGGATGTTGGTATTGACATTATATCAGCTACTATTCATTTCTCTCACAGGAAGTGAGACAAGAATTCACTGACAATGCGTAATTGTACAGCTTAGCAGCGGTGCCGGTAGAATTCACGTCTTTCAAAAAGATATTTGGCCAATTCACCGCCCTACCTTTCTCCCCCAGAGGAGCGTATAATTCATCTACAATTTAAATTGTACAATTTCTACGGTTATGAGATTGTTCATGGAACTCCTCGCGTCATCTGGCTCAAATATGACTCACTCATCAAAGGATCTGCGTTACGGCCATTGGCTTTAAAACAGAAGAAAAACACGTGTAGGTAAGTTGTGAAAAAAAATTGTCAGGCGAAAGGACGCATCAAGGACATCCAACACTCGGTTTTAGTCACAACGCACACGTGAAAGAATCGCCAAATGTGATCAGGCTTGTATATTGAGCGCCTGCAGCGCGTGGAAGTACTGAGCTACACCTAGACGGGGTTTGATACCAGGAGATCAATGTGATGCACTCGCAGGAATGGTTTAAAGTATGTGTACATACTTGGCGGTGAAATTAAAAACACAGAAATAGGATATCGCAAGGCGAATTAATTGGTATCGAAACGAATGGACGGTGCAGAAACGAAGGTTTGCCATTAAAGAAAAGAGAAACGTTAAAGACGGAATATTATTGAGATAGCGGATGCTATTACGTACCAGGCCCAGGGCTGAGGGTTTTATTCTAATCGCTTTCTTCAATTTTCGCGCGGCCACAGCCTCCTGAACATCTTCAACCGAATCCATTCACATTTGCTATCTCCGAAGCAACCCAATTTTATCAATTTTCCCACGCGCGGCAAAGCGATCTTCGAATTTTCTTGGGTTGGGAGCGGGTGCGAGCGTGCGGACAGTATGCATGCTTATATGCGAGGTCAGAAGCCCGAAAAGTCGAGAGAAAAGTCCTTAATGAGCTTGGCTTCTGTTCTCTTTAAAAATGTTTCTCACAATTTTGTTGTTACACTAGGAGCCCGAGATTTGTGGTTAAGCATTTTTGATTACAATCAGATGGTGATCTAGAGAATATCCAATTCAGGCTGAGCCCACACAGCATCAGCTTTGGATACTGCTTGCAGGTAGCATACTTGTGCACACCCTTCTTACTTCATTTTCTGAGTCTGGTTTTGCTTTGACAAAGTGGAAAGTATGTAATCCCTCAGAGAAAGCTTCAAGCTTTATGTAGTTGAATCCATGCCTGATAGAATCAAGGCTGCACTCAAAGCACAGGGGACACTCACGTGGTGGGCGCGGGGTTTACATGTGGGACGCGCCCAGTGCGCCTTTTTGAGTCAGGAAAAGGCACGCCCTTTGAGTACACAAAATAAAAAAATGAAAAAATGGCAAAAGATCTGCTAAGAGTGTTGAAGGGGGAAACATAATGATCAAATCTTGCAAAACACTGCATCACTTGGATGAAAAACAGTGGAATAATAAGGATTATATAAGAATAATAAAAATCAAATAAAGAGATTGTCTTCCTCCCATAATTCATAGTCAGAATCAGTATCCACCACATACCATGACATCTGTAAATACTTGATCAGAATTGGCACTATTGAACAAGGTGATGTCAAATACAGATTCTATGCATGTAGGTTTGTTCCTCAATTGGGATTTCATTGAGTTCTGCTGAATCATCTAAAAGACCTCTGTCATCAAATTCTTGAAGTTGGTCAAGGTCTTCAAACTGTTCATCTTTTTTGATATCACTAGGGAACATGCGGGCATGCCCGCCACAGTTTGACTGTTCCACAACTCAACCAGAAGCAAGAGTCACCCCGCTTATACCAGTAAAGACAATTTGTAACCTTTCTCCATATTCAAATACTCCAATGACTAATGGTTGAATGATAAGTTTGCCACTATTCTTGTTTGAGCTTTATATTATTCTGTGTGAAATATCAACAGTAGCTTTGAGCAGTGAATGAAGAAGGGAACAAATGCCACGGGAAATGGACTTACTCAAGGTGAACCTGAAGTCTGTATTGACCGGCTTCTCAAACCTTTGTCAGAATTGTCCAAGACATTTGGTTTGTGATCTCAGTGTTTGAACTTGCAGTCCTCAACAAATTCAAGGCACATGTGGGCTTGGAGGACATTGGTGCTTATAAATGTTCTGGCCATATGCAGGCTGGCCTTTTTGTGAGCATCCCCAATAGATGAAAACAGATTGGGCTTGACCACCCAAAGTGACTTTCCTAGAGCCTTGATCATCAAGAGTAATATTTTCATGCCTTCCTACCTGATCCAATCAATACACAATTCAAAAAGGATTGTACACTGATTTTAAATCATGCCTTTACTTTTTGAACTCATCCTCTGGCTTTTCCATACAAGGATAGCAGGTAACCGGAAAGATAACAAAAGACAGAGATTGAATACAGCTACAGGTTGTAGGCTTGGTGAGCGATTGAGGTTGTAGGCTTGGTGAGAGATTGAAGCAAATGTAGGTGGGTACAAATAATCCAGATAGAAGATGGATTACAGTGTAGTTCTTTGAAAAAGGGGCCAGAAAAAAAGAGACAATAGGAAATGTATAGGGCCTTAACAGATTGGATAAAAGATAGAGCTATAGGATTAGCTTTGAGGCAGGAAAATATGCTAGGACGGTTGAGGAAATCAAAATGGGTGCGAGATGGTACCTTTTTATAGAGTAAAAAAATGTATAGCGGGCTTCAAACATGACATATGGGGTCAGGATCTGAAAAGCTTGCTCTCAAGCCTTGCAGGGCAGACAAACAACAGCATTGCTGGCACAAATATTGGGATCATTTCAGATACTTCAGGTAAAAGTATGGAAGGTTACCCAAACAAAGGAAGTGTGATTGCACAATCAAACAAGAAAAAAAGAAAACATCAGAAAGAAGCAGAATTGGAAAGTGAAGATCAAAGCACATTGTTTCCTTTGCGCGAGGTTGGAAAAGCACAGGTGTGCACCAACAAAGCATAATGGCAAAGGATAATGCAATTACATACTGGAAACACTAAGGAAGACAACATGTCACTATCACAATAGAACTGAAACATTCAAAAACTGAAGAAGCACACGGGTGAATGTGAACCGTTAGAAAAGTGCATGGAACACTAAGAAAGGCAACATGCTGCAATCACACTCAAAGTGAAACATCTAAAAAGCATGAAAGCTGACCTGGGGGAAAGAGGACCGGAGCAAAGGGACTAAACAGTAGTTCATGCAAGTTGCTTGCACATTTTTATATTTTAGATCTTTCAGAGCATTATCTTTTGTGCTTTTGACCTTAGACAGCAAGGGGTGCGCCTCCCCTATATTTTGACTTCCCAGGCGCGCCCTTGCACCCAGCCCAGGCACACCTAAAACATGCACTTTTCACGCCATGCCCACCACGTGAGTAGACACCCTTGCTGGTAAAAGTCATTGTATTTTAGAGTCTACATTACAGTTATGAATCCTGAAATTTGATCATATGTAATCTGATGAGTGGCCATCAAGACCATGTACTTTCAGGTATAGCAGTAGTGAGATTGTGAGCTAGATACACTTGTTGAGACTTGCCAAACAGGCAAGTTATGGTAAAGGTACATACAATATCTTGTGTCGCCAACTGTACGTGATGTGAAAGGGGAGTTTCTAGGGGTGAGAGTTTTCAGTCATCCAATGTTTTGAAACACCCTCTTTGGCCGGAATCATTGAAAGTTGGGTCCCTCATGATACCTGTTCATCTCAAAGTCATGGGCAATCATCTACATAATTGCATTTGGACCACTTGGCAAATTGTTGATCACTCACCATCTGCACTTATGGCAATACTGTCCCAATCATCATCATGGATTGGCTCTCACAGAACCTAGAGAAATATCTTCATACATCAAGCAATGATATACTATGTATCACTGGTTCTTGTCAAGCAATGGCAAGGAAGACAACAAAGACCTAAACAAGGTAGTAAATCTAGGTGATGATTCAGCTGACAAAGCTGGTTGACCTAAGAAGAAAGAATTCAAGACTCTGGAACTATACTCAAGTCTATCAAAGAAATTCAAACTATCTACCATCTTGTCACCAACCCTTTCAAACTCACCATCCTGTTCAAAACCACCCAGACAAGTGATTCATCAACAAGCTGCCCAGATCTCTTCACCAAATGTACAGAGCTTCAAAAATCAACTTGTTCAATCCAATGGCTCTTGTAATTCCAGGAGACGCACAGATCTATAAAAATCATCTTGAGGAATCCAAGGAATCCTCTCTCAGTTTCTTTCTGGAGTTTGAGATTTTCAAGTGTTTTAGATCGTGTTGTGTCTTGTATTTGAAAATCAAAAGGATTATAAGCCAAACTACAGGACAAGTTTGACAAAAATCTTGAACTTCAAGAGCCAGTTGGGGGAAGATTCCTTGGATTCCTCAGGTTTTTTTTATGAATCAATAGACAAACCAAACCAGGTTGCACAAAAACCCAGTACACCCAGTTGAATTTTTGGCTGGATGCTGTCAAGGGCTGTCAATAGATACACAAAGTTTCCACCACAAACACAACTGGGTGTACCAGGTTTTAGTGTCAACCGGTTTAGGTTTGAACACAGCTGATTTGTCTCACACTGCACAAGTAGTATTTTTCCACCATGCAAATTGATTTCAATCAATGTCAAAAATTATTAAAAATGCTGTGTTGATGCAGAAAAATACAGAATTACTATATTTTCAATCATTTTTCACTTGGGAAAGATACTTCATCTGCGGGGTATCAGATAAGTTCAGAGACAAACAAACAGTTTCTTTGGCTCACAAATTTCCAGCCAGAGAAAAAAGTTTTATAAAGGAGGTCAATTTTCTCCTGCAAAAAGCAATTTCCTTCATCGGGAAAAGCGTATGAGTTTGTCAAAAGTCCCTCGCTGCGCTCGTGCAAGAAGCCGCGAGGGACTACAGCTGTTGTGAGAATCATCGGTAATTTTTCTAACAAATGTGTTGTGTCGGGATTTAACCCAAAACTGCCAAAAACTGCCAAAACCCTTTTTTTCTCCATCTGTACCGTGAGATAGATGTCAGTAGATGTCAATCTACTGACATTTCTCCGACTCGACGGCTCTCACATACATCATATACAGTTTCGAGACCAAGAAACCCTTCCATATACCTGTATATATGTACAAAGGGTTTCTCAAGTCTTGCCCCAGCGGCTTTCTTGATTCTCCCCCCATCGTCTCTTCTCCCAGACCTTTTCCTCTTGCCTCTCCTCGCCTCTGGACTTCCTCTGATCATTTGTTCCTTCCTCTCGTCCGATTTCAATTTATTTTTCTATACACCCGACTTTTCATATTTCCCCTCCTTCAATCATCTTCTCTTGATTTGAGCCAAAAATTCAGCCTTTTTTTATTCATCTTCCAAAGACAATCCTCTTTTTGAAATCGATCATGCCCAAGACCCTTTACAGCACCGACATCAAGCTCGTGGTGGTTAGGATGGTATTACGAGGCTTGTTGTGTTTTTCTTCCTCTCCAACATCGATCATCATCCAAATCAAGGCATTGGAATGCAATGGAATCTGATACTCATTCAAACATGTCGAAAAAGTCTCGACAGAGTCGAAAATGATAAACTTAACAAAGTCCCACGCTCGCGCATCCTCGCGAGGCGTCGAGCGAGGGACTTACGCCAAACTTGCACGCTCCATAACCTCGCGGTGGAGAGTTTTGCAGGGAGCGCCCTTCAATGCCGTTTATCTTCTTCCACACCGAGGATTCGGGCATGGTCCAAAGAGAAAAAATATGCGCCAGAGTAAGGCGCATATTGTACAGTTTTTTCACCGAGGAAACTGCTCCCCTTTGTGAACAAAAGTGCTTCAAAGTTTTGGCTTCAATGGCCACTGTACATGTAAACCACACATGGAACTGCTGTAAATGGGATGGATCGGTCACAAAGGCGAGTTTTGTTCCTCCATTATCTACATAATAAGAACACTTTCCTCGGTGAAAATTGTGTACAATATGCGCCTTATCCTGGCGCATATTTTTTCTCTTTGGACCATGCCCGAATCCTCGGTGTGGAAGAAGATAAACGGCATTGAAGGGCGCTCCCTGCAAAACTCTCCACCGCGAGGTTATGGAGCGTGCAAGTTTGGCGTAAGTCCCTCGCTCGACGCCTCGCGAGGATGCGCGAGCGTGGGACTTTGTTAAGTTTACGAAAATGAGTGAAATAATTCAGAATAAGTACATAAACCCCATCGCCAATGCCATGTATATGTCTCTCATATCTGTCTTCACCTGTCTTCACCCCGCCCCACACTCCACTTTATTTAAGTCTCTCAAGTTTGATTGCACCCTCGGGATTTGAAATTCAAAATAATCTGTGAATGTCTGTTATCGCAGAGAAGGCAAACGCGCAATCGTGCGCAATGTCAAATGCGAACTCCCGTCCGAACTCCTCATTTTGTTCTCAAAACCCCCGCCGCGTGTTCCAGCATCTTGGATTGTGTTGTTCCTTTGAAAAGTTTTGAAGTAAATATTCCTCATAAATTTCTGCGCGAGTGAATTTCCCTTCCAAAGTTTGCAATTTCTTACCTTGGTGCCAGCAACATAATTCATAAGTTTCTCTTGGATGGCCTACTCACTTTCTTTCCGGATTCCCTCCTTTGCAACTCGATCAATCCTCTCGAAGATTTTGTTTTTCTGCTCGGCTTGCTTGTTGACTAGGTGAACCAAATTTTGCAAGATATAATGATTTATGACATACGCAATCTAATGGCCAAAATCAATCCAGCTCAAGCGCACTGCCTAGTCTGCCGAAACCAGCGATATCATCCTTGATAGTATTTGGCGATTCTTACACGTGTAAGTTTCACGTATCAGAACGTCAAGCTTGTCATATTTTGATGCTGATGCCATTCACTTTGTAGCAAATGGTCATAATCTAGATCCTTACATGAGTGAGTAACATCCATATCACAAGCGGGACACCTACACAATCTGACAAAGATACACTTGGAACTAGATGAGATTTATAAGGATTTGGGTAACAAGGGTAGGGCAGTCACATGGCCCAACGTATTCCTACAGAATATGAAGTCCAGGGATGCGCTCGCGAAGATGTACAATTACGCCTAGTGAGTGGATCTGAAAAACAACAAGCTGTTGGAGTTGGGCAAAGCTGATAAATGATGACTTCTTGATACACCTTGATACACTCTCAAGTGATGGTGCACCTGCCAATAACAACCTGACTTACATGGGCACAGTTCCAGACAGCCGAAAACAGATTGGATTTTATCTGGCAGACTCTAGAGCTGGAAAAGTTCCACGCGGTAACGGTCAAACGCTATACGTGTTGTGGGTGGGGATTAATTCAATCAAGACGATTTGGTTCGAAGCCTGCCAGCCTCAGCGGAATGGTGGCATTGGTGCACAATCGACATCAGACGCTCTCTTCATAAAGGCCACCCAAAGAGTTCAGCAACAGATAGCAGAAGTGCAATACCAGGTGGATCTTCTACGTACATATTCCTCTATAGACAAGTTTAGTTTTTCAATCTAGCCTTGCAGACCTCAATACGCATGATACCACACAGTCACTCACACTGATACACTTTTCCTCAAATTTGGCTATCTATCCTGGCTGCTTTCTTGTTTCTTGGTTTGACTATCAGAATACCACCGAGAGTTTTGGTAATCACAATGCCTGATATTAGCTCTGCCACAATGTTTCAAGATTCGATACAACTTTGGACAAAGGGCGATGCAACAAAACGGAAAGCACTCACCAAGCTGATGCAATTGCTCATTGCCCAGTATAACGCGGTTAGTCACAATCAGGTCATAAGCCCATGAAGTGTCAGACAACTTAACGCAATGCGCACATTCATTTTTGAAAACTAGGGACTTATATCTGCTATGAAGCTATCCAACACATTGGTTTACGATATTTCAGGCATTTGGAATGCATTTCTAACGACTCCAGCAAATGTAAGAGACCTTCAGTGTACATACTCATCTTTTGTCGCACATCAGAACAGATAACCAGTTGCCATGGTGAAGGAAAAGATATCGAAACATCAGAATCTTTCTGAGTTAACTGATCAACTCATCTTTCTTGCGTAGTTCGGTTTAACGTACGTGACTGGCCGATGTCTCATGAACCATATTGTGTGTAAAGATATCGATAGATATCTCTTTTATGTAAGCCCCCTCATCTTTATAAAAGTCAAAATGTCTCTATCCTAATCAGGTATTTGAAATCAACATTTTCAGGACCATATTCACGTAATCCCGCGTATTCATAATATCATTTCGCAAACCCTTTACAATTTTGTGACAAAGTATAATTAATGAATCTAATGAGGAATTTCTTGGTTGACTTGCTAGGATCTTCAATTGTAATAATTTTTCGCTGTTTATACTTTCCAATCCTTTATATCCTTGGTGGTCAGTTTGCTCAAAACCTTTGGGAATTTGTTGCAACACCTTGATATGGACATCAGAAAGTTTGCGGTTCCTTAAAGCTTCACTTTTGATCTTTATCATTCCTTATACTTTCCAATCTTTTATTTTTAGTTTGCTCAGAACATTTACAATTTTGTCGTGGCGCATTGATATGGACAATAAGAAATTTTGCAGCGGATTAATTCTTGACATTTGATCTGTTTCACTTCTCATAGTTTTCGCGATCTTGTCAGGATCCTTGTCATTTGGCATTGGTAGTGACCTGTGGTGACTTACAAAATGATATAGTAGTGTACAGATTTTCTACTCCACATAACTAATTGAGACCTACCGTCACTTGAAACCCGGCATTTCCAGTCTTTCAAATCCCACCGAATCTTTTTGCAATACATATATACTTATGTACACCTTACGATAAAGAAAACCACGGAACCGGTCGAGTGCCGTTAAAGAAAAGTGATGGGCTAAAGAGCTATGAATTGGTAAACATACAATCTTGACAAGTCAAGGAGGACATTCAAGATGCCCTCGCAACAAAGTCAGAAAAGTTCAATTGTGTCTCGAATTTTTTGAGGATCAGTCCTCCAAAGCGCGAAGAAAATGGTTTTATCTTGATTGACAGATAACCTTCTCAATCACCTCAAATCTCTTGACCTGACCAAACCGACATCTCATTATAACGACATAACTCATTTTTTTGCTTAATACTCAAACATCTAATAAACAGACAACATTTAAAACACTTCCAAACCCACCTCAACTATGTATACTCACTTTTGTTCACTCAAATTCACAATCATCAAAATTGTTAAGACCGTAAAAACCCGCTATTAGACCCCCGTCCCTTTGGAACTCTTTAAAATCTACATTATCCTCCTTACAATTTACTTTTACCTTTCCCTTCCCAAGTAGCTAAAAAATGTCTACCAGAGAAAATGTGTTCAACCCTACTTGGTTCTTCACCACCTTTTCCGGTTGTTCGATCTTCAATCTCAACATAATCTCGAATTCCTTCACCAACATAAACTTGTCTAGGTCTCCATATTTTTACGCCTCCTTTTTGATGTTGCATTTGTCTCCAATGTGCTAACCATCCTACTACTCTTGGTACTGCAAATAAAACTGGATAAAAATCGGTTGGAAAACCTAAGGCTCTATAAATCAATCCACTCCAGAAACTGTGAATCAAGAGAGTTCAGGAGCAAAAAATGGTCAATCTCAATAAACCTATATACTGTTGATCTTGGAAACATTCCAATATGTTATCTGAGAAACACTTACTCAACATTCTATCAATTAAATCCCACGAGTCATTGGAAAATACAAAACTCATCAGTTCATACTAATCTTTGTAAGTAGCTTTACAAACCAATCATCGTCGACTTGATCAACGTACAGGGTAAAGGTTTCTCGATTGAAAGTATTCATCTTTCATCGCAAACTCATGTAAAGCAATCGCAGTATCCAACAACTTATCCTTTCCAGTAATCGCAAAAACCTAAACCAAAAATCCAAACCAAAAATTAACCTCTACCTCCTCTTCTTTGAAAAAACTTGATGAATGTATACCTCATCAGCCGTTTTGCGAATAATAAACGATCTAGGATCCGAAGTCTTATAAACCCGATGTCCAAAGCCACTCAAAACTTCTTCCTTAGTTTTCACTTTAGCAATGAAATCCGGTACACCTTCTGGTGAACCAATCTTGATTAACATCCTGATGACTGCTTCATTGGCTCCACCATGAAGTGGTCCATAGAGTGCTGCAGTCGCTGCTGCTACTGCACTATAGGGATCGACTAGTGTACTACCGGTCTGCAAGACCGTCGCTGTACCTGCATTGAGTTCCTGGATCGAAATAAAATTACTCAGCTTAAGACAAAAAACACAGAGAGAAAGAGAATGGACAAACATGATCGGCATGCAAGATGAAAAGTACATCAAGAGCCTTCGCAATCACAGGGTTAGGACGATATCCTTCACCTTCATTAAGATAATCCAACATATACAAAAACGTTTCGGTATAAGATCTACCAACCGGTGGTCTATTAAAACCTCTACCCATTCGAATTCGATATGCCATTGCAGCTAAAGAAATCGATTTACCCAAAAGTCTAAAAATCTGTTTATCCATTACCATTTGTGAATGTAAGTCTTGTTTAGTATAAAGTGTTTGACCTTGAAGTGATGGATTGGCTTCTGGCGCAAAGGCACCTAATGCTGCGAACGATGAAATCAAAATCGCCATGGGATGCGCATCATATCTAAAAGCACCAACGATTTGTTCTAAGTCTACATGAACATACGTATGACGCTAATAAAAAAGTTGATTAGGGATTGATTCTTATTGATTGAATTTGATTAATGAATGAATGACAAACCATGACTTCTTTTTCAAAATATTTAAATTGATCTTGGGTTGGTAATTGTCCATATAATAAAAGATAAGAAACTTCTAAATATGAACTTTTTTCTGCTAGTTGTTCGATTGGATAACCTCTAAAAAATCATCAAAACCAAAACAAACCACGAAAAGAAAGTTAGATTCTAAGCGTTTGTTTTAAGAGACTGAAGATACCTTTGGATTACCTATAACGAAGTTCTCCGGCTGTTCCATTGATATAAGTGATTTGACTCTTGATGACAGCGGTATTCATGAATCTGTGTTTTGGTTGGTAGGATCGATTTGACAAATTAGTTTGATTATATGATATGATATACTAGAGTTTAACTAACCCAGGATCAAAAACTCTTAAACCAGCTTCTAATTCATCTTCAGGACGATTAGATTGTTTTGAATTAGGGTTAAATTTGATGGATAGTTTTTTCAAAGCAGTGGCTGGGATTGAATTGTTTTCAATTGGTACTTCGATCGATTTTCCAGTTCGGTTATCGATGACTTTTACATGAAACCGAATGAGATAAGAATGTGTTTCCCAATGAATGAATGAATCAATGAACTTACTGCTGATAGTTTGATTTGATGACGATTTGATTGGTTGTCCCATCTTGGTGATTGGTGCTTCCTTTGAGAAGTGATGTTGTTGATGATATGTAGGTGGTGTGGTCACTGGCAGTGGTGGGTATTGTTTGAGAAGTCATCGATCAGTAAGTGGTATTATGTAATCACCGGTAATCGAATTAAACCCGGTTACCGGTTTCATCCATCGATCAATCTCAACAACTTTGAATCAAAGCTCAGCATCAACCACAGCTCAGCAAGATAGAAAGAACAATCAATGAAGCAAATCTCATATCATGAATAATCAAAATAATAATAGAGCTCAGGTTAGATTAAATTCATTATTAAAAACACTTTCAACTTCAACTAAATTCACTCCAAAACCAATCGAATCAGCACCAGAACAAAAGCAACAAACATCACCAATTCTATTAGGTCATTTAACGATTTCTGATATCTCATTACCAATCTGGTCATCACCAACATCGAAACAACCACCAAGTCGTTTACCATCACCTCTACCAACTTCACTTATTTCGAATCCGTTCACGTTATCTCATTTAAGATGGATATCACAAAAAGTTTTATTATCTCAAGACATTTGTTTAATTTCACCTACTGCTTCTTGTCCATTTACTCGTAAATTGGTTTTAGGTTTTTGTGAGTTGGCTAAACGTGAATATGAATATATTGGGATTCATAGAGATTTAAGTGAAAACGAATTAAAACAATCTAGAGAAATTTCGGCGTCTATTTCTGGTTCGGATGATAAAAAATCAGAACTTCAGTTTATTGATTCGGCTACTGTTAGGTCTGTTAAATTGGGTAGGATTCTGATTCTTGATGGACTGGAAAAAGCTGAACGTGGAATCGTAAGTTAGTATCTTATCCTTCACTTCACAGTCAGCTACTTCATGATTGACTGATTCGGTTGACTTCTATAGTTGCCACTGTTGAATAATTTATTGGAGAATCGAGAAATGAACCTGTTTGTTAAATCACAATATCTCAAAAAACTCACTGAAAAGGTCTTGAAACTTATTCAATCAACTGCCTTTTTTCCTACCAAACGACTTGATCTCAACAAACTAAAGTGAGGATGGTACCCACATTATTCATCCCGATCGTTACGAGTCTTTATCCCGCGAAGGATCGCTCCCATCCAACTTTATCTCCGCCTCTCGATCTTTTCAAGTGATTTGTATCAGTCTACCAGTTCCGCCTTTCACAGGTTATCCTCTAGATCCTCCCTTTCGTTCACGTTTTCAAGCTCGGTATATTGATTCCTTAGGAGCATCTCTAGCTCTTGCGTCTCCATTTTCACCTCAACCTCTTTGGATTAAATTTAAAGAAGTAGTTATGACTATTCAACTTTCAAATGAAGCTAGATCATCTTCTCTTGCTCTTGCTTCAAGTCCTGCTACTTTACCTAATTTTCCGATTCCTAGTTTGTCAAGACTCAAAACTCTATTGGAAAACTTTCCAGTTTCGGATTCGATTCCTTCTCAAGAACTTTCAAATTTAGCCAGATTACTTCATCCAAGGCTTTCATTTCTTTCTTCTGATGCTTGGAATTTACTTAATCAACATTTTGAAAAAGCTGGACTTGGTACTTTACAAAGTTCTTTACCTGAAATCGATCCTGATGGTGGTGGATTATTTGGTTATAAACTTGTGAAAGTGGAACGAATTAATTCATATCATGCTCGGGCACATTTTGAGTCTAGTCGAAATTATTCAAATCAAACAGTTCAATGTCTTGTGAAATGTGGATCATCACCTCTTATTCCAATCATTGAAGTTAAATCTAACCTTTCAACTAGCGGGGTAGTGATCAGTTCAAGATTTGATCATTTGTTTAATTTAATGGCTCAAATTCATACAATCAATCTAGATTTTACTTTATTACCTAGACCTACTGAACAAGCTTCATCATCTACAAGTTTCTTAATCCAAACCTTTTCTCAAGTCTTTGGTTATGGTCCTAAACCAGAAGAATCTATTCATCTTTATCGTGAGATGACAGGAAAAGAATTAGTGATGAGAAGAACTGTCGATGAAAGTAATCAGACGGGTTGGGCTCCTAGTAGGTTAGTAGAAGGTGCTCAGGCTGGAGCTTTGGTCGAAATTACGGGGATTGATTTGATTGGGTCGAGTGTTGGTACTATTAGTGGTTTACTTGATGGTCGATCTCTTGAGCTATGGGGTGGTAAAAGATTAGTACCATTTGAACAAAAAATTCAGAACGAGGATCCAATGGTTAGTGTTGTTAATCCTAGCTTTAGGGTGATTTGTACGGCTACAAAATCTGGGATGGGAACCTCTCATTCAGGAAGAGCACCTGAATGGATGACAAATGATGAACTTGGAAATATAACTATGATGATTGAAATGATTGGATTAAGATGGGAAGAAGAAGTTGAATTAACGAAAAACATCGGAATTAATGAAACTCTTTTAAATAAGCTATCAGTTTTTGTTAAAGCTTATAGGGATTTATCTAGCCAAGGAGGTAAGTTTAGAAGATTAGGTACAAGAGGTTTGTTAAGGATTTGTAAAAGATTAGGATGTTTTCCTGAAGAAGAATGGGATTTGGGTAGAACGTTGAAAAGAATACTTTTAGTTGAATTTTTACCTAAAACTGAACGGATGGATTTTGAAAGTTGTTTGGAGTTGGCTGAGATTAAGATTGGAGAAGAATGGGTACGGTCTTGATCCATTTGTTGATTTTGACTGATTTACTCGTGAAACTGATTTTATGATCTCTTTTATGATCAAAGGATTATTTACCACCTATTCTTTCTTCTGATCAACGTTACTTAATCTTTCCTAGCGCTCAAAATCTTTTGTTAAGTAGTAAAGATCATCATCAGGATTTGAGGTTAAAAGAATGTCAAATTGAAAGAGAGTCGAAGAATGATAAAGAAGATAATGGATTAGTACCTCAAATGAGTTGGTTTTTTGAAAATCGTGAACAGAATGGATTGATAAGGGATATTGGAATCGATTTGATGTTGATGGGAAATCATTTGGTTCTTTTAGGAAATCAAGGGTAAGTTTTGTATGAAAAATCCTTGGGGTTAAGAAACTAACTGTTCAGTGGTTTTTTGGATTCAGGGTTGGGAAGAATAAGATCATTGATCGGTTGTTGATGTTATCAGGTAGACCCAGGGAGTATATTCAATTACACGTGAGTTGGCTGACTTGAGGACCTTTATAGATGTGTAGACCTAAAGAATACTGATTTATGGATGTGTTTATTAAGCGAGACTCAACGGTCCAGCAGTTAATGTTTCAGACCAGTGTGGTCGATGGTACGATCCAATACCTGGATTCACCATTACTCAGAGCCGTAAGATATGGAAGAGTGTTAGTAGTAGATGAAGCAGATAAAGCACCAGAACATGTAACAGGTGCATTGAAATCATTATCAGAAAGAGGCGAAATGAGTCTAGGTGATGGTAGAAGAATAGTCAAGAAAAAAACTAAATCGGGAAAAGGAGAAATTGAAATTCATTCGAAATTCAAAATGGTTTTACTTGCTAATCGCCCTGGATATCCATTTTTAGGTCATCAGTTTTTACAAGTTTTAGGTGATGGATTCGGTTGTTATGGAATTAAAAATCCAGATTTAGAAAGTGAAATCGAATTAGTTGAACAATTATTATTGATGAATGATAATCAAATGGGAAATGAAAAAAGTGTGTTTGGTGAAAGTTTAGAAGAACAGAAGGGGTTTGGTAGACGATTGGTTGGGGTTTTTCATTTACTTAGAGAAGATTTTGAGAATGGAATGATTAGTTATCCGTTTTCTCTTAGAGGTTTGTTCGTTTTTCTTGCTTTGAACCTTTAATCGTCAAGAGTTCCAGTTTCCTGAAGTGAAATGAAGGATTGAATACTAATTTATCAATTGGGTTTTTTAGAGTTGTTGAATTTAGTGAAACATTTGAAATCTTTCCCTCAAGATGGATTAGAAGTTGGGATGAGAAATGTATTTGACTTTGATATACATAGAACAGATACGATCGATAAAGTAAATGAAGCTCTGATCAAGAATGGGTAAGCATTTGACTTTTGATTTGAACTGGGTTATAAATGAGACATTTAGTAGGATTTTCTTTTTTTTGTAGATTTAAAGTTCGAAAGCTTGGGATTGAAAGGATTAGGGAATTGGGAGAAGAAATCAATAGTGAGGATCAGATTCGAGTGGTGAGACAAGTTAAAGTTTTTGGTGATGAGGTTGGAGGTGGGCATGATGAGAACGGAGTAGAAGCAGAGATTGGAGAAGAAGGTGACGGTGATGGTGAATCTTGGGGTGGTGGTGTGAGTGATATTTTGTCTTTTGGTTTCTTTTCAAGTCAATTGATGGAATTGTTGTCATATGATAGGTAGGAAGTTTGGATTCATCGGGGATGAGAGGAGGAATTGGATCTAAAAAGATTTTGAGACGGACAAATGTATACGATCAAGTAAGTTTTCAATGTGATTGTTTTGATTGATTTCTGTTTGTTGAAAATTAATTAGTGAATTCGATATTTAGAAACCTAATGGATCTAGTGATACTCAAATCGGAGAGCAAATTCGCGAGAGAGCAAAAGCTTTAAGTAGAGAAGTAAGTTTGTTTGATGTTTCTCAAAAAATGTGAGTTTCAAATGATAGAACTGATCGATTTGCAACTTATTAGGAATTGGAAAAGAAGTTGAAAGATTTGTCAATGAGGATTGGAGAAGTGAGTTATTATGGTTATTATTATAAACCTATTGAAGCTCATATTCCACTACTTGTGGATATCCTCGAGAGTGAGTTTTGTTCTGTGAATTTGTTTTTTGGTTATCGATTCATTGGATTGAATGTGTGTTGATGTTTTGAATGTGAAAAATTGTTTTGCTTCTCAGATTTAGAAGCTAGAGAGGAAGAAAGGGTTTGGGTGAAGGGACAAAGTGATGGTGAATTTGATGAACAGAGATTAGTAGATGGTTTGATTGGTTAGTTATCTTCTTCATTTGTCTTGCTTGATTTTGTGGCTGAGATTTGATTTTTGTGTCTCTTTAGGTGAGTCTGCGATTTATAAGCGCAGAGTTAATCAACAACCTGAACCTGGTCGACCACAATTGAAGTAATATTTGACGAGCCTTTGTGATTTGATTTGATGAGACATTGATGCTCTTGTGATTTTTTATCTACAGACCGAAACGGATCCGGTTTGTTTTTGATATCAGTTCCAGTATGTATAGATTCCAAGCTGATGGAAGATTAGTGAGTTCAATCAGAACAATCGAAAAACTCAGAGCCTCGGGCTGCATCTAAGGATGACATGTTTTTCACTTAGGATCGATCTTGTCAAACTGCTATCATGATCATGGAAAGCTTTAGTAGATTAAAAAGACCTGAAAGATATCATTGGGATATGATTGGACATGCTGGTGATGGACCAGAGATTGATTTAGAATTTGAAGAAGGTGGAATCCAGTCACAATGGAAGGTCGTAGAGAAGATGAGAACGTGAGTGGTGAAGGTGAATAGAGTTTCCTGGAGATTGATGTTCAACTTTCTTTTGTTTTCGTGTCTTGGTTTATAGATTTAGTCAGTATGCTATTGCAGGAGACCATACGGTCGAGTAAGTCTCTTGGTCTTTTTGAGATTCAAAGATATCAGAGTTTAATGTTGATTTGGATGGGTTTGCATAGAGCTATCGAGAAAGCTGTAGACAAGGTCGCGGAGGTTGAATCAGGTAAGTTGAAATTCAATCAAAAGTCAATACGATCTAAACATTGATGAAAATAACGTCATATCTAATTTCTTTAAAAAGATGAAGCAATTGTGATTGCAATCTCAGATGCGAATTTTGATCGATATGGAATTACTTCTCAAGTCTTAAAAGATGCAATGAACCGAAATAGATCAGTTAAAACTGGATTGATTGCAATTGGTGAAGGTAGTGAAACTGTTTGGTAAGCGTGTTTTGTGAAAGAGTATCAATTCCTATGATACGTGTGTTTACATTTATTTGGGGATCGGGGGAACTTTAGGCTTCCGAAAGTGTTACCACAACAGGCTTATCGTGTTGAAAAATCTAGTGAAATTCCGATGGTTTTAAGAAGTATTCTATCACATTTATTGATATGATCAAAGAATGCGAACCTCTCCTGAGGTTTGTACGTATAAACAGACTCAATTGTAAGTGGACTATTGGTTTTTTTTACATAGAACTTTTATCCTTTCTGTACGTTGGTATTTGTTGTAGTGTTAATGACACGATGGAGATGATCGAGAAGGGGATAAAAAGGTTTTTGAAGAACGTGTTATGATGTCATTGATTGTTGCTTGATTTCATTTACTCATACATGTAACTTGCAATCATTATTAGATCCACATTTTCTTTGGGATAAAAAAACATGAAGTATTCAATTGGTCGTCCTCGGTCGCCCAACCGCATCCCAACGAAATTGTCCACACTTGCAGCGCACGCGTGGAACCTGCAGCTCGCTTCTGGAGGCATCATATGCTAAACCAAATGCTCAGCAATAGCTAATCATCATTTCACTGTGCCTCAGAAAATATCACGAAATGATTTTTGGAAAAATTACTCGTGACCTCGTGGATTAAAATGCATTCTCTTTGTCCATTTTGCAATGCCTTCCAGTTAGGTTCGGGGCAGCAACACTCGATAATCAAACAATTTGGCAGACAATATAATGCTCAGCACTACTCAGAAAAGCACGATGATTCCCCTTTCGCATTAAAGATGACCAACATTTTCTTACTTGTCTTGACATTATCTGATGCTTTTCTGACTTTTCTTAAAAGCCTGGTGCTGAGATGAACGATTCGATAGCAGAACTATATAAACTCGTCTTCACAGTGAACATGATTGGGCTCATTCTTTCCTACTCACCGCGTCATAGGACAACATTGACAAAATATTTATTTATCTGACCAGGTGTTAGACCCTACGAACTCATTTAAAACTACACAACTTTAACTTCATCACATAATACTCCAAGAAAGGTATTATGTCTCTTATAAACTTCTCTCCCACCCTTCCTGGCTACAAGTTCATGAAACAAATAGGTGAAGGTAGCTATGGGGAAGTTTGGGCAGCATATTCACTTGAGCATCAAAAGATGTGCGCCATCAAACTGATCCCGAACGCAAATATGGTTAACTACATGTCGGTGGAGAAAATCCTTGATTCAGAACTTCGAGGACTTGAGGCTGGTAAGGATTGTCCATTGATCATTGACCTCTTGAGTTACTCATGCGACCAACACTTTCACTTCCTGGTTCTTGAGCTGGTCGAAGGTGGTGAATTATATCAATGTAGTCTGACATACAACCGTAGGGTAAGTCTCTTCTCTTCATGACACTGTTAACTCTTACAAGATGCTTACATGTTTTGTTCGTATCAAATTAGCTATGGCCTACTAAACACGTCAAGTTCTTTGTTGCAGAATTGGCTGTAGTTCTAGATCATCTTCATCGCAAGAACATTGTTTACAGAGACCTCAAACCCGATAATGTACTTGTGAACTCAAACGGGCACGTAAAACTCACAGACTTTGGATTGGCTCAATATATTTGGGACATTGAAACGGGCGTGTTGGTTGGAACTTTGCAATACATGTCACCTGAAATGTTGGGAGGTAGAGAGTATGGTTTTGAGACTGATTGGTATAGCCTCGGTTGTCTGGCATTCGAAATGCTTACTGCTTCATATCCTGGTTCAATTGATAGTGAGTAAGATTTCTCAATTTGGTTTCCAAAAGTTTTCCATGCTACATACCTATGTAGGTTAATTACTGAGACTGATTCTTCTTGATATTTCATTCTTTAGAAGCATACTCAGTTCCCGATTCATCTCAAAGAGAAAAGATTCGAATCCCATTTGGAATTGATTCAATTTGTCAAGAGTTTGTGAATCGATTACTTGAATTTAATCCTAGTCAAAGGATCAGTTCATTAGATCAAATTAAATTAGATCCTTGGATGAAAGATTTTGATTGGGATTCGATTGAGAAGATTGAAATTCCTGCTAGCTTTGAACCAAAGAAAATAAATCAATTCGATCTTCCAAAAAAATGAAGCTTTATCTATAAATTAATATTTGATGTCATTCATGTTTTATAGGATTCTTGTGAATCGTATCGTATTACTTATCTGTGTTAATGTTTTTGACTTCATGATCAATATAAATAGACTTTATAGCACGATATGCATTTGGAAAGCACTATTTGGCGCCCGCTTTTAAATACCCGAAGCCCGGTTCTCGGATATTCCGACCGGGCTGCAACTTTTCGTAGCCCGCTTTCAATTCAAACCGGGCTGCAGTTTTTTTTTTTTAAGTGTGGATTCTGGGGTGTGGGTGTGTGTGTTACATACTTACTTTTTTTTCAATCCGGATGGATGCGTGTGTTCCCATCCATCCATGTGTCAGAATCACTTCTTCTCTTATCTCATCCCATACCGATTCAGGCCATTCTTCTTTCTCACATCTCACATCTCACAACAAAACATGAAAAGAAAGAAAAAGAAAAAGACCTTTTTTCAGAAACACGAGAGTACACGTAAGATAAGAGACAAGAACACAGGATTCTTAGTTATTGTATGTAAGGGCAACAAAGTTGAGAACAAGAAAGCAGCGCAATGAACATGATTCTACATCTGCCGTTTTTTATTAATCCAGCTGTGATTCCTCCAGCCGTCCAATTGCTCTTGATAAAATTTGGTCCAACTGGGTATCGTGGTGGTGTTGAGCATGGCCGTGTTCCGTTCCTTACCAAAGACTTCTGGAAATGGCAACGGATGATTGGGTTTGGTCCCCAAGCTGACAAAATGCATTTGATTCACAAAGGCCAGTACAATCCGATCCTGCTTGTTTGGCGCTGTGCGATAGGGAAAGAAAGTATGGCAGTTTGCTTCTTGGGGATCTAATAGCACGGTTGGACGATTGTATGCACTGGCGATAACATAACCCAGATAGGGCATTCGCATCCAGTATTCCTGTGCGCATTTAACTTCGAGGTAATCCAACCGAAAAAGGAGGTCTTCAACCACTTCGGCTGCAAATGTCTGCTTTCTCCGAATTTTTGTGGATGGTCGGGTCCGCGCAGAAGATAACAAGAGTTCATGGTCTTCAAGATGCGATGACAGCTCGTCGAGTAATTTCCGACAAACATCGATATAAGAGTCTTCGGAATACGTTCCCACACCCGCCGCGATAGCATAATAGCCACAATTCCCAAAAGGCGGCGGATCGAATGTTGACGCAATGAAAGGTACCATAAACTTAGGCAGTTGCCTTAAGATGATCTGATCCTGGGGCGAAGAAAGCACACTTTTCTCACACTCACGGCTGGACGACGCTGGTTCAGGGTGTTCGTTGATTACGTGTTGGTTTTCCAGGTCTTCCGAGGAGAAAACCGCCATTCCAAATCTTCGGCTCGCTTCAAGTGTAGCTTTGACTTTTGGGTCCGACGGCGGCAGGTCCAAATCTTCGGAAATGAGCAACATAGCCACTTCGGGTACTAGAACACGTCGGAGGAAGTATTCAGGAGGGAATGGCGCAGTTTGGCTGACTAGGGTTGACAATCCTTTCAAGAACATATTCGACAAAGTCTTGACCATCACCTCAAGACCTAATTGGCCATAACTAGCATGAAGCATAGATTAGTTAGCTCATGTATCCGCACCAAGCCTTTGATTAGTTACTTACTACCCGGGCTGTTCCACTTGAAATCTCTCAAACTCGCCCGCCATGCTGAACATGTACCGACCCTGTTTGTTCCATTGTGATTTTGCTTCGTCCAGAAAACTTGACGATCTTTGACGGTTGATGATTTGGGAAATATAATCAGCATGGTTTTGGATGCGCCTAAACCAAATGTATTAGTACAATTGTCCAAAGCTTCTTTGAAACAGGACAGACTTACTGTTCTAGTTTTCCGAAGTCAATTACTGTTGGCCATCCTTGGCGTATACCAGATGGTATGACATCCACTTCAACCTGATGAAGTTCACAGAATGATGCGGTTTGTGGAAACTTACGAGGGTTTTCATCAGAAAATTTGAAAGCCAACAATGAAGCCCATATAAAAATCTAACTCACCGGTAATGAAACAGCCTCCGCGTGACCTAATCTCTTGCGTGCATTAGGTAAAGCAAGCAGGGTGGCTTTCAGCCTGATGAGTTTTTCGGAAGGCGACTTTGGAAGCGGGTCGTCACAAAAAGGACATAAGTCTGCATTGGGTTCGGTTTTGGAGTCACTGCTGCTGTCGCTGCTGTCACTGCTGCTCGAGTCAATGTGGATGACATTGTCTGATTCTTCTGCTTCAATTACAGAGGGTTTCGTGATTGAAGATGATATAGTAGTTGGTTCTAGCAAAGAATCCGCTGTCGGTAAGTCATCCGTCTGTGACGCACAGGCATTGGCACGGTGGCCTGGTGTTTTACAATTGCTACATTTGTACACGCGTTTAGGAGCTTGTGACGGAGGTCGCAGGTGGTCATTTGCTGATTCTTGAGGTTTCAGTCTGTCCGCTTGGGTTGTTTCACCGGATTGAGTTTGAGGTACTTCTTTCTGAGTGAATGATCTAGTATGACAAGATTGACTCTGAGTCGCTTTAGGTTTTTCAGCATGCCTTGATGGTTTTCAACCTTCAATGGGAACTCGTCTGGATGATGAAGCTGTCGGGTTTCAATGGTCCGTTTGCACTGGGGGTTGAACTAGGTCCGTTTCCATTTGATTGCCTACCTGAAAGAGTGGCAGATCGTCCAGTGTTCCCCCCTCTTCATCATCAAGGGCTGCCTCTGCATCAGTCAGCTTGGAAAGACATGTGGTTCAATGGTGGCCGGGCTGTGAACATAAACTACAATGAGATACTCGAGTTCGTTTGGATTGCCTTTTTGCTTCTTCTTCGTCAGCCAGCTCCATATCCGATTTCCATCGGCCTTCCTTCTGTGAACTGACACGTTTATCACGAGGTCTCCCACGGTTGTTGACTTTAACCTCGGGGGCCGCTATTGGAATGAGAGAATAGCGTCCTGTTTCGAGTTTTGCAAGCTCTTCGTAGATTTTGCGGAGAGTGTGCTCGGGTAACTCAATAAGATGTTCCAGCTTCGATTTAACGGCTCTTTGGAGTGCTTCGTAACTTTGAGGACGTGCCACGAGGCTCAAATGCCATTGCTCGTGAACTAGATTGGGCGATAAGTTAGCTGCATCCCCCATGGTGTTTTGTGCAAGCTCGTGTGCACACGGTAAACCCCAAGCGCCACGGAAAGACTTGGTACACTTCTGGTCAAAAGAGTCCTTCATCAGGTCATACTGTCCTTTGATTTTGTTGAGAGCGAAATGAGATATTACACCATTCAGTTCTTGAAAGCAGGGAGGTAAGCCGAGAAGTGTCTTCTGGCTCTCGATTCCAGTCATGATCGTAATTTCCTTGTACTCAGCCTCGCCTGCACGCTTGAAAGCTTTGAAACACGTGATGAAATCGTTGTTGCTACCGTCTAAGAAGTTTTTAAGTCGATGGTGGGCTCCCTCGACTCAAGACGTGGAAGAATTGCCAAAGTGGGGGGTTTGAGAGGTGAACAAAGCTACAAACTTCTCAGCTCGGTGTAGCCATGTCTTCTCAAGATAATCCCATATGTTGTGACGTTGAGCCATACACTGAAAAAATAATGTATTTTTCCAAGGTGAAAAATGATTGACATTAATGCACATAATGATTAATAATGCAGAATTAATGCAGAAAAATGCAGAATTAATGCAGAATTAATGCATTTTTAATCATTTTGTGAAATAAATGTAATCATTTTTCACCTCGGAAAAATACATTATATTCGCAGTGATAGTTGTGACCGCCTTGAGATTTTCGTCATAGTCTTCGGTGGTGGTGCTTTGCAAAAACCGATTCCATATCTTCATGAATTCCGTCCACTCAGGGCCCTTGAACTTCTTCTTGCACTTTTTTGCTATGTTGTGATTAATATGCCATATGCATAATATATGCGTGGCATTGGGGAAAACTTTAGCTATGGCGTTGTACAAAGCTGGCTCGGCGTCGGTGCAGAAGGTTTGAGGTAGCTGAGTATCTTGCAAATCTTCGGATTGACCATCGAAAACGACGGTTTTTAATTGTTCCATGGCCCAGACATATCGATCTTCTACTTCGCTGTGCATAAAACAAAGTCCGATGGTGAAGGTTTTGTGAGTGTTCGTCGTTCCAATGATGTGAAGGAGGGGAAGATTGAATCGGTTCGTCTTGTAAGTACAGTCGAGTCCAATTACGGTCGGAAAACGTCGAGCTAACACGATGCCTTGAGGACTTGCCATGAAAAGGGATTGAAGGGTACCATCACTTGAAGTGGTGGTACGAAAGGCCCACTTGTCTTCAGTTATGAGGTCAAACAAGCCTTGAATTGGAGTCCTCCCGCATAACCACCGATCTCTCTGTTGGTTGAGAGCATTGCGTATGTCTCGCACCAAAGGTTCAGAACCCGGAGCGAAGTTGATCAGGCCTCGGATCTGGCTAGCGGTACATCCAGCTGACAATAACAGGTTGATTTGAGATAGAACCTCATCTGGAAAGCGTCGGTTTTTTGCAAGGTGATTTGGTTGGTCAAAAGGAGGGTGGTTATGTTTGTGCTTGGATGGAGTCTTCAGGTCTTGCTTCACAATCCATCGATCAATGCTTGAAAGGTAGTTGAGCGAAATTTCATACGGGCATTTAGTCATTTTGGTGGAGGAGCTTCGAACCTTGGCTACTGATTCGACATCCCGGCCAAGTGAACACCAAAAGTAGATTCGGACTTTTCGTTGGTTTTCGGTCTTGTGACTCTTTATTGCAATTCCGTAGCCTTCATGTCGGGCGACAGCATTCAAATACATAAGCCCACTGGTCATCTTGACAAACTGTTTACCAAAAACTGGTGATTGCATAAGCCGAACAGGTTCAATTCCTATAAAATATAGTGGAACAAAATCTTGGGTCAGATCAAATCGATTGATTAATTACAACGAATTGGTATGAAATGGAAATCATTATCATACCGATAGGAGGCCAGTCTTTGTCTCTCTCAGCTTGAAGATCCAGGATCTCGTCTTTGTCCGCGGAATCATCAGGGATGTCTTGTTTGTCAGGTGTGCCTTGATCAATAGGACCATGATCAACTGTGTGATTGTCGGCTGTTTTGCTAGGTTGATGACTGGTAGTAGAATTACGCGTAGGAATGGATGGTTCAGATTTGGTAATGTTCAAAGTAGCTGATCTGATCATTGTGCTCAAGTTGATTTTGGGACTGTTGATTGTGTTCGTGCTCGTTTTGGACAAACTTGATTTCGGACTTGTAACAATTGAGCTTGATGACTTTGATGATGTTGAAATCGAATTAAGGGCATGTTGAGGAGGACTAGGAAGACGACATTGGTTCAACGCTCCGTAAGGATGTGGAGGATAAGACGCTGGTGGGTGAGGCAGGTAAGGAGGATGTTGGTGTTGCCAATTGATTTGGGAATGCTGAGTCGTCTCAGGGGCAGTCGTGTGGGCGGTATTTCCGGAAGATTGATATGCAAAAGGAGGAGGATGTGGAGGCCAGTACTGAGAATTTGGGTACTGATAAGGTGGGTACATAAAACCAGGGTGAAAGTATGGATTGTAGTTGGATGTTTGATGGGGGCCGGGGTAGGTGTAGGGTGATGGGATGGAAGCTGGTGGGTAAGCATGGCCGTTTACTGACTTTGATGTTGAAGTCGAAGGGATGTTGGACATTCTGGACCTTAAGACAATTTGTATTCGATCAACTCGATTATCAGCAACGAGGATAAGAACTTGGTGGCCGGAATCGAGACAACCGATGATCAAAAGATACGAGGACGCCTGTTCGTATAGAAGGGGATAATCAGCACTTGTGTCTTCAAAAGGAGAGTGAGGGAGAAAGTGGACAAACTTACCATTTTGGGATGTGGCGTATGGGTGGCTTGAGGGATGTCCGGATTGGGAGGATGGTACTTGACTTCGAGTTTAGGATGTTGGTGGTCCATCAGATGAGGAGTGATGGTAATCGAGAGTTCACCGCCCGGTTTTTGATGGTAATCAAGAGTTCACCGCACGGTGTTTGCCGATCGGATGGGCTTCTGCAGCCCGGTTTCTTTGACTGCCGCCCGGTTATGGCGGTTTTCCAAAAAACCGGGCTGTATGGTAACATTACGCCCGCATACTGCTGCGGCTGCGGGGAAATTTGGCCCAGTCGGGTCCGGGTCTTTGCGGGATGAACGGGTAAAGCACCGGAATCAACCGGGCTTCGGGTATTTTAAAGCGGGCGCCAAATAGTGCTCTCCTATGCATTTCCGTTGATTGAAATGACTCATAAATGAGATTTTGCTCTTCCGCACAGGAATCATTCATAGAGAGGAATATCTTCAAACATCATGACTTATCAAGAGAACTTTTCCGAAAGATGTGTGAAACTTTAAACTTCAGTTCTGCTCAGTGCTAATACATACTTCCACTCAGTCTCCATGTAGGACCCAAAGTACCAGATGGGCAAAAGAACAATTGAGATCATGAAGTATTTGGGTGTTCTATTCTAAGATTGATATGTTTTCTTCTTCATTACTCATGTCAAACATACCCATGTGTGATCTATTAGTGTTTGTGCTGTGATCATCTTGTAGTGTTCATTAGTATATAAAGACAAAACTTCTTTACACTTCTCTTTCTCTTTACCAATTCTACTCTTACATTACAATCAGGTTTGCTTTACTCCTTTCGGTCACTGGTGATCATTATCACTACTAATTACTAAACCATGTAGAGATTCCCACAGTTTTTTTAGACTTATTGTGATTGGTCATGAGCCCGGTTGGTCCTTGATCGTTTACACTTTTATTGATCTTGTATCAAAATGTCGTTGAGCAGAACCAAGGATTCTTATCATAAACTTTTGAATGAAATAAATTGATCAGATTGGTGTCAGTTTCATAATATCTAGACAGTTGAATGATCCAAGATCATCTTAGATTTAGAGTAGATCAAACTTCAATAAGATGATCTTGGAGCATTCAACTCTAGATATTGTGATACCAACGAGAAAAGTCTGGTATTCAGAGTTTTGCTGAGTGAATCCTTGGTTCTGGTCAACAATATTTTGATGAAAATCAATACACAAAGTATTTTGAAAACTCAACTCAAGTAAGTTAAGTGAAATTCGTGTGTACAACAACAAAAGATAACAGGAAAAGATTGGCACCTTTTGAGATACATAGTTATTTTGTTTATATACTCAGTTTGAAATCACTAAGATATGAGCATCAAGTATACGTCAAAGTCAAGTAAGGTATTTGATTTAGATGTTCAAGAGGATTGATTCTAGAGACCAAGTTTGGTATGAATCAATCGATCAAAATCGATGTGAATGATTGGTTTGAGATTGATGAGATTTCAAGGTATCCTATGTACAAGTTTTTTAGAATCAAATTGACCTTTTGATAGTTTCATTCATTAATTTATCTTGTGAAGAAGTGAGCATATTTCTAGAAAGTCTATATATTTTAAAAGAAACCAAGTCAAAAAACAATTAGCATGAGACATTAGGAAATCGACATCGACATCAAGATTGAGTAACTTACCTTTCTTGACGTCTTTTTAAACCTTCTTGACCAGCTTTAGATAACACACCAGCAATTAATTCGATCGATCTAATCGAATCATCATTAGCAGGAATCGGATAAGTAACTAAACGAGGATCTAAATCTGAATCGATGATTCCAATCGTTGGAATTTGTTTTAAAGAAGCTTCTCTTAATAAAACTTTAGATTGATGTGGTGAAAAGATAACGATTAAAGATGGTAAGAATTTTAAAGATTCTAAATTATCTAGTGGTGATTGATTTTTTTTTGAGTTTGGTTGTGATTGGTTTAAGATTTGATTGAGTTTGGTTTGTTTGGTTACTTGTTTTGGTTTCTTTAATACTTCTATTGAGTTTGTGATTGTACCTCTTATCCAAATTCCATTTTGATGATTCGGTCTATGTCCTAATGAATATCCATTAGATCCTAACCTTTGACTTGCTAATTTGATCGAATCTTGTGTTCCATCTATTCCGGTCCCAAACAAAACGATTCCATCTTTCTCTACAGTTTCTCGTATCACATTACATGCTCGATGTAAATAACTTAAGGTTTGTCGGAGATCTATGATTGAAATGTTGGATCTTGTTCCATAGATCAATGGATAACTTATGGGTGAGCTTAGAGATTTGTTGTGACCTAAATGTGAACTTGCTGAGATTAAAGTTGATAAGGTTAAGTTTGTGATGTCGATTGGGTTCTTTATAAAGGTTGATGGACTGGTTGATCTTTGGTTTCTTTGTATAGATCCTGATGACTTTAAGTTTTTACCTGATGATTGAATTCAAATGTGAGATTAAGATGAATCAGTAATTGGATTGACAATGAACTTGAATGATTGAACTTGTTTGGAGAGAAGTTGAACTTACGATCTTCAGTTAGTTTTTGTCTGTTTTGAATAGTTTTGATCGCATTGTTTTCCATTCTGTTTAAGATTTCATTTAGTCTATGGTTTGAATTTGATTTTTGAGGTAAAGGAATGTTATCATGATGTGTTTCTGATTGAGTTGTTGTTGTTGCTGTTGTTGATTTGATTGAAGTTGAAGTTGAGAAGTTGAAGTTGAGAATTTAATTGATTGTTCTGATCATCTTCATCTTCATCAACACTCAATCGATTTCATTCAACCCATCAACACAAATTATCACAAGACTACATATCCATAACCCATAACCCATACATTACTCAATAAATCGGGTCGGGACAGCTGCGATAACCCATAGCTCACAAGTGCGCTGGATGCCACCAATGCCATAACCTATATGTCAGAACAATACATACAGGCTACAGCCATAGATGGTTCACAAATCTTTTGATTTAAATTTTCATTTTCATCAATCAGCACTCACTGAAGATTTTCGATTTAACTTTTCACGAATACCGGTATTAAACATCAAGAATTATTTCTCTTTCAAGAAACAGAATGCCACCATTAGCACCACAACCAAAACCAAAGAAATCAAAACAATCAATTAAAAAATCAAAACCAGAAAAACATGAAAAAATTGACCAAGATGAAGAAGTAGCTGAAAGTTTTTTAATTCCAACTTCAACAAGACCCACATTAGAAAAACCTAATGAAGGGATTAAACCTACAAATCAATTAAAATCAATTTCGTCTAATTTTTATTGTTTACCGATTTATAATAAAACCGATTCAAAGACTATTATGAATTTATATGTTTCAAGTAAAGCAACTTTTCCAAGTTCGAATTCATCTATTCCACCAGATCATGATGATGATGGAAGAAGAACGATTTTGATGATCAATTTAGATTCTAATTTAACAGTTGAAGATATTAAGAACCTTTTAGGGTTCAATTTGATGATTGAGACAGATCAGATTGAAGTCTTGATTCAAATTAATGAAGATCGATCGAATAGAAATTGTTGTAGAATGAGTTTGATCAAACGTGAAATCGAAATTGAAAACTTATTTAAACAGTTATCTGAAGCATCAGAAACATCAAAATCAAAATCAAAGAAAAAAAATCAAAATCAAGAATCTTCCAAACCCATTAAGATTCCTTCTTTGATGGTTCAGAATGATGTTTTGGATTCTCATTCGAATCAACTTTTATCAAAGGCTTTGGTTAGGTTTAAATCATCTGATCAACTTTGTCAACTTCTTTCAATTGATCCTGCTAAACTGCCTCTTCGATGGCCTTCATTATCTGAAAATGATCAATCTAATTCATCAAAATCAAATTGGTTATCGAAATATCGAACTCAACGAAAGCTTCTTCGACCTTCTCATGAATCAGTCAAAGCTCATACAGATGCATGGATGCTTGCCTCTGAATCTGGTGTGATCAAACCGATCTCATTGGTTGTGAAAGGAAAATCGGCTAAGAAAGGTTCTGGAGAAGAAGAAGAAGAAGAATCCAAAGATGAAATGAAAGTAGATGAAGATGATGGAGAAGGAGAATGGATTACAGTCACAAGAGGAGGACAACATGGTAGATCATCAACTATACCCACTCAACCACAAGATTCAAAAGGAGCCGATCCGTATGCTCAAAGCTCAATGGCGGGTAGAGATTCATCTGCAGGTGTTAAAGTCATGAAAAGAGGGTTCTTAGAAGCTTTTGATAAAGATGAACTCGAAAGTCAAAACAATCCAAAACGAAAAGGTGGTGAATTGAATACTGGGTTTTATAGAAGTAATGTGAATGAAAATAAAAAAAATAGTAAGTTAACTATGAAAACTTTCACTTCTTTTTTCTGTTTTTGATTTTCTAAATTGATGGATTTTATGATTTGACTTTGACTTTGTTTTTTTCTTTGGATAGAAATGTTTGAACTTAGGAAGAAATTTGATGAAGATAAAGCTAGAGTTGAAAGAATGAGAAATTCTAGAAAATTTAAACCTTATTGATGATTGATCTTTGGAATTTTGATTGAAATGAAAGCAGTTTTTTTTCAAACCAAACAAAAAAATGGATTTGATCTTCTTCACAAGAAAAGAGATTGTGATTTTTTGTTTTGGTGAGATGAAGTTTAATTAGAATGCCTTTTTTGGTTTTCTTTGCTTTGTTTTGCTATAAAAACTATTGAAGTTTAAAGTTCACTTTGAGGTTATTCAACTGATCTTCACATGAGAAACTTTCAATCCTGTAAAGAACTTCAGTTACTATGTAGACCTTTGATCAGTGTTATTAAGCCCAAGTACACTTTGAGGTTATTCACCTGATCTTCTCATGAAGTCTTTGACCCTTGTATACATTTTCAGTTACTAGGCCTTTAGTGACATTTATTCTCTTCTGGAGTATAGTTGATGAATGACACGAAATATACCATACCTGAGGAGTGCAATTCAAAGGAAAAATCTGTATGTGTAATGCTTACTCAGAGTAAATGAGCAGGAAAGTGGTATGTAGTGCAGTTGTTCATCTTAGGAGAGTTTGAAGGATATACATCACTAAACTTTTAATATCATGGTATCAGAATCCTTGGAGTGCTGTAACTATCTTTTGTCCAAGATCTGTTATCCAGAAAATCTCTACCATGTTATTCAGTAGGTTTTTTTTGTTAACACCTCACACCCTTATGATACACCATGTATAGGGTAAGTTCTGTTGCTTTTGGAAGAACAGGCAAAGATGGTACAGTAGTGTATTGTGTGATACAATCAGCTGAATGATTGTAGAAGAGCACAATAGCTTTAGTGTGGTAGTTTACTGAAGGTGAGCTTTTCCTAAACTAATTACATGATATTGAAACCCCTGGAGTAATTTATCTTCTTGTCATCACAGATATCTCATTATCATCCACATTACGTCTTGCGTAATTTTGTGAAAAGGTGATCAGAAACCTACGCTTATCATCACAAGTGATAGCCGCATCCCTTGTGGCTACCCCCTGATCTTTTGCAGTTTTTGTAAACTCTTTGATCTTGATCCCATCAGCAAAGTGGCATCATAAGCAAAATCAAACACAGTGGCTGTTATTTGTATGTGAGTGCTCCAAATACTCAGGGTTCAGAGCATTGGAGCAATCAATTACTGGAACTGGGTTTGGTAACAGTGGCAGCAAGGTGAAAAAATGCTCCAGCCAAAGGTCCACAGGCTCACACACCAAATTTTGTGGATAAGCTATAAGTCCCTCTCTTGACTACTCATCCATCCAAGAGGGACTTAGTTAGGTTTAGTTAGGGAGGTCCGTGTAAATGTCAATAAATCTCAAAATAAAACATTCGAGCAATAGGTAAATTGGAAACAAGCAGAAAAAGGCCCTACTTGACATGCCCTAATGTCTTGAACCTTCATACAGAATGTTTCAAACCTTGAACCTTTTCAATGAACTTGGATAAGTAAACTCACTATTGGACTAAGCAGAAATTCTTTAAATTAAAAGCAAAGTGTTTGGGCAAAAAACCCAAGGCGTAATGCCTGGGGTAAATAATTCCTTCATAACACACCCTACATGGGGGTAGTGGACACAATGAAAAGATGACCTAACAAAAATTAGCCCATGTTTGAGGATAACAAAAGCAATGAACAAAATAGATCAATCATATAAATACTAATTTTAGTACTTGATATGAATAGAAGATAAATAACCGACTGATTACCAATAGAATTTGAACATGACTGTTTTTTTCAAAAAAGGACAAAGCACACATAAATTGAAGTAAACTTAGACTGTTGAATAAACTGCAATGTAAAAAGTATTTATACAAAATGAATACCAAATCAAATAACCAGGGATAAGAGGTGGGAGGGACACTAAAAAGTAAGCAATAATTGTGAATGATGATAGAGAAAAAGATTTTTTTTTACAAAAGTGAACTTGATTGGAAATTTGCAATGGTGGTAAACAGCTGGGGAATATCCATGACAGCATCACTGTTGACCAAAGAATAGCTGCAAAAGTCTCCGAGATATTAGTACCGTTATGATAAAGGTCCAAATTATCCCACGTTCCCTTTTGTTGATAACCAGGTACCAACCACAATTGATTCTTTCTGTTTGTTTTGGTGTAGGCACTATATGTGTTCATGAACTTCAACTTGTTTGACCGTAACTTGTCTGCTTGATTGCACGCACGTCATTTCTATAGCAAAGAGCAAAACTGGCCCTATTGTCAAACTTGTGATAACGGAAGCAAGGGAGACGAAAAACTCCATTTAGATAAATGTCAGAAGGAAGTGGCCTGATGGATGAATTGATCTTGAATTTATTGATACCCGTTGTGAATTAGGAGATATGCGATGCTCGTTCTAACATTGTTCTGTGTCGAGACATTCGGCTTCAACCTGACATCAAAATCCCCTAGAGTGCAAATTGCATCGTTTCTGCAAATGAATAGAAGATACGTTTCAGTGACTATGTCGCTGGCTCAATGCGATCTTGATACCAAGGCCTCAACAACCAAGGTGACGAAAAAATAGTCATCAGCCAACTGGGTAAAACGTAGTATCGACTCGAACCAAGACAACTTTGACTGACAGATATGTCTTGATGAAATTTCATCAGGTCATAAGAGCCTTGCTGGATTCATCTCTTTCACCCTGCTCCATCATTCGTATATAGATTTCAAGATTGTACATTCCCATTCCACCTACTACTTTTCAGTCTTGAATTTTTTTTGGTGAAGAATTAATTTCTCTTACAAATTGAAATCATCTGAAGACATTTTAAGAGTTTGTTCATAGGATATTTTGACCTGTTCATAGTAGGATTCATTTTATCTTGTTCATATTCAAGAAGAACAACATACCCTGGAGAAATAATCACCTTTCCCATTACCATAACTTTTTTGTTCATATAAAAATCGAATCAAACCCAATTCGCGTCTCTTTCTAAGTCCTTTTCATACTTTCAATTCTACATTATATCAAAGCATCGAAATTATCAACTTTCCATTCGCATCCTTAACTTCTTTTTTTGACAAATAGAATGTCGCGAACAACAGTTGAATCGATTTACACTTGTCCTACTCTCAATACTTCTACCACTTCCATTTCAGAAATATCCTCTCCAATCCCAATAGGATTTGAAAATATGAAGTCAAAGCATTTGAATACTAGAGAAAACTTGGATGGCGACATTAAAGAAATAGATGTAAGAATCAAAGTAAGTTTTCGTCTTTTCCTCAATACTTATTGAAGGGAGACCTTTTTTTCCATACATTATCAATATACTGATATACTTTGCTTCTTTTCAATTATTCAGAAATGTGATCTTGATCCAGTTTCGACTACAGCTTTCCCTTGCCTCTTGGAACTTCACGAATATTCACCTCTCTCTAGTGAACCTTTCAGTCCAGATTCGATTCCAGAGACAAATGGAGTCAGACACGTCACTAAAACCTGTAGCTCGATTATACCATCACTTTTGATTGAAAATCCTGATGCAGTTTTATATACATCAGAAAACGCGGATTTACCTAGAAGAGCATCAAAAGCTTACCAAACTTTTTTAGTTGAAGATCAACCTATCACATTCAGAACTAGAAGCTTATCATACCAAGAGAAATATTCAAGATACATGGATAAAATCGCTGGTATAGATATGGTAGGATTGAATAGACTTTCAGACGAAGCTTTAGGTTGTTTAGAAAGTTACCTTGGTCCATGTTATAGAAAAAATGGGGAACACTTCATCAATTCTTATCAAAAGAGAATTAAACAGGAGAAAATGAACAAAAGGAAGATCGGATTACCTTCTGGACCTAAATTGGTCAGAGTCACAAGAAATGAATCTGTTCAGGTTGCTCAAGCTTAAATCTCACATCTTTCAGTGTTTTTTTCTAAATCTTGAAGCTGGTTAGGATGATCTCTCATACTCTTTAAATTGATTTCTAAGAGACTTGTAACTAATCTTTCTTTAGGATATCAAACTACTTTTTTTGTACATATAATTCTATTTCCCACTTATTGTATAAGTTCCTCATTCCCCCATTATTATATATTTTCTTCTGACACATTTGGATAATCAACTTGGATCCTTTAGCAAAAAAAAACAAAAAAAGAACGTTCATATGTACCATAGAATCAATTCACAGTGTTTGTACTCTTTGAGTTTTGTAAGTATATTTACAGGAAGAAACCAATATTTTCGGATTGTATAAAGAATTTGAATGATAAGAAACGTTTTCTCTAAATTAGACTGCGACTTTTTTGATTTAAAACAAAACTTCTCTGCTTTCCACCCATCATGGAAGTTGAACCATATCCCATTGATCTTTGGTGGGTTGTCAATCACTGTTCTATGATTGATACCACCAGAGGCACGACCTCGCAGCACGCTGGATGAGGCCTCGTTGAATTTCTTCGGCAAAACTCTCTCTTGCGAAATCCGAAGATCTGGAATTGTATGAGGGGATGTAGCCTCATGCAATCGGTGAAACATGTGGATACATAAATATCTACTTGATATCAATTCTTTAAACCCTCTTTGAATCCTTATCCTTTGTGTTGAAATACCTCAGGGTAGCTCTGCCGTTATTTACATTCCAGACATCGTGCATACAAACACGCCGTTATATCGATACTTTCCAGAAAGGGTTCTCCCTCGGACTGGAGTACCATTCCCGGACTCTGCCCTCGGCCTCAGATAAGGCTCAGAAAATGAATTAACAGCAACATGAAGGAATAGGATGAAATCAATAGCAAGAATTGCTACGAAAAGAAGGTGATACTAATAGACTGGCGGTAATCGCTGGAGTGAGGTCATCAGACACTGAAAAACGAGTGAAAGCGAACTTGTTTGATAAAAAAAACTGAATGAACGGCTTCGGAACACGCCATAAAGGAATCATAAGCACATGCTGAGAGGTCCTAAATCGTCGCACAACCTAGAATATTGAATTGACAGGAAAAGTGAGAGATACAGTCGATTGCAGAAAGCTTGGAAACTTTTGCCCGCCAAACTTGGGCAAATTGGCGTTGGAATTCTTTCCAAGCTTTGTGAAATTGACTGTAATTCAAACTCTGTGAGCTATTGGGCTAACCCCTACGCCGCACAGCCGGCTCGTTGAAGATCAAGCCAAATGACGTCGTTGATTAGGATTGATCCAGAGTACAAACCAGTGAGTGTATTGAGTGATACTCCCCAATCAAGATTTTTCAAAAACCTTTTAAATTTTGTTCAGAAATCTTGCTGTGTGTTCACATTTCTCATACAAACACAATGCAACTATGCAGCATATTTGATGTTTGTTCAATCTTGTTGTAATGTGGGCACTCTTTGTCTTTGGTGTGGTTGTTTGTGTATACCACAAAACCAGGTTGACCCCCAGGCAAGGACTGATTTTGGCTGCTTGGGCAAGAACATATACCCAACAAGCCCTGCTGAACCTATGACATACCAAAATCTTAGGCTCACGTCTTCACGGGTTTCAAGGAAGTGGAACATTGGAGTGGTCCCAATTTTTTTGTCCGGCTTGCAGTCTTTCAGTGTCTATTTTCTTACCATTTTGCTTACAGGCTCACAGTGAAATGCTGAACCACATATTTGATTGACAAGAATTGAATTGATAAAAAAAAGATGCACAAAAGAAAGCTTATTGGCAAAACACACATAAATTTAATCTATCACAGGCACATCACAGACATACAATGAGAGCAGAAACTTGAGAAAAATCTACAGTTGTGAGCTACTAGCGTCTTTTGGGCAAGTAAAACACCAACAGATAAGGTTTCCTTGATAAACTGAGTTCATTGATTGTGTGAGAGCTTTGTTTCAAGGTCCAAACACAGTTATCGAGGAAGTAGTGTGATCAAATCAGCACCGACTTCAGTCAAGACCTCTTAACAGAGGATTTTGATCTTTATTCAGGAAATAATGCAAGACTAAAAGTGTTCCGGCAAGATTGCAAGTAGAAACTACAGTCTGGTTATGTGCCCAAGCCAAAAACAATCTACTCTAGAGTTGATTAATCAAGGGAAATACCACCTACTGATATTTTGAAGTTCTTTCAACTCTGAACACAGAGGGACTTATATGAATTTAGAGTTTTTCAGGTTATCCAATTCCTCTGAGAGCCTGAGCAGTACTGCCAGGGTCACCTCCTGACAAAAATAAAGGAACCACTTGAAGCCCGGGTCATGTTGCGGTCTTGACCAGGAACAGGCTACAACTGGATTTCTTTGGAAATCTCCTGACAACTTTTCCTCAAATTTTGCTGGGTTGTGTAGAAGGTTACCTTCTTATCAGTCTGGTCAGCATTTTGTATTACATATTTTTTGAATATGTGCATTTGAGTCAAGTTTATGGAACTCTTCTTCTTTACTACATTGCCTACTTTTCTTTGCAAGGCGCCTGTTTGCCTCACTACTCAATATAAACAAAGGCATTTTTGGTTTGTAATTCTCAAATGCGATGACTATGATGAGCTTAATAGGCCACGATAGACATTAAGTAACGGTCAACAAGGTCTCTATGCTTTGACTGGGCAACAATCTGTTCAAGGCAAGAGAATTTGAGACCGAGCAGTTAGTTTTGATTTCTCCCCACAAACTGCCTGATGATATGAATGTCTATAGCCCTCGAAGCTTTATAGATTAGGACCAAAAGTTTAATAATGCACATGAACATAGCGAAGGTATTTTGAAAGTCAAAAAATAAATAATTATTCTTAAAGATGAAAACATTACAGAGAATAAAACGAAGAACTAGAAAGAGAGCCACTGTTAACTGGATAGCAAGAAAAACTTGTGCTTCAGTGCCTGTGAAGCAGTTATACGTTGCGTACAGTCCAAATCCAAAGTCTTTTTCAAAAGGTCTACTAAGTACCATAACTCGCTCCTTAAGTACCATGTTTCCTCATACGGATTCAAGTCCTCGCCACGGATCTCAACGGCATCAGAAAAAGTTTTGTGCGCTTGGAAGATGATGGATGTTGAACGTTCAACGCTAAGATTTGTGGAGGTGTCAAACTTGATCTTTTGTTCCTCGTAGAGACTGGGGTTCAAAGTTCTCACTAGCGTATGGAATGAGGTGAACCTGGGTGAGTTGACCTCTGGAATGTTGCTGATAAAGGTACGATCTGGAATTGTATAATCAGTAAAGTGAACGGTAAAGTGAACGGTAAAGAAAATGAAGCAAAAACAACTGACTATGAAGAGTTGCAGTTTTCTCTAGTTTAGCCCGCCCAAACAATGTAGCAATCTCCATCAGCGCATCAGTGTCGTCATTGGAGTTGAAAAAGGGGAAACGTCGAGTCAAAAAACATAGCAGAATGATCCCCACGGACCATATATCAAGGGCTAACAATTCGAGAGCGAGGAATGGGGAGGAAACACCATATCAACTCGCTACTCAGATATCTTAAATGTACAAGATCATCAACTTACCTCCGGTCTGGTCCGGGCATTTCAGGAGGACTTCAGGAGCGCGAAAGCCTCGAGTTCCGGCACGGTTTGCTTTAGCGCCAGGTCGAGTGTCATCTTTTTTGAATCCAACGCGTTCGCAGCCTTGGCCATGATAGGTATGATCATGTGTGTTGCCGAGCGATTGTTGAAGCTTTCTTTTACCAAACCCACCGCCCCATAACCCCCCAGTTTTGTTATTGGGCTTCCAGGCCTCGTACCATTCATCACTCGGTGCGTTTGTCAAATCATCTTCATCTGGCTCATGGTCAAAAGGTATTTTAGCATAAAGAGTTTCAAACTCATGAGAGTCGCTAAACTCGTTATCATGTTTGAGTGGTCGGCCGAGACGTTGAATGAAGTTAGTTTTACATTTGTGAACCCGAGCTTTCCATCTCTTCCACTGTTCCATCTTTTGCTCATGTGTCGGTTTGGGCCTTGCTAGTAACTTCCCATGAAAATCGTTCATTTTTGGCTCCGGTAAGGAGTGTAAGCATTTCCCGTGCCAATCGTTGGGTCGAAATCGCTCAGCAAGTCCGAAATCGCACAAGACGCCCATTTTAGATTCCACATTGAAGAGAAAGTTGGCAGGTTTGATGTCTCTGTGGATGATGCCCTTGGCATGCGTGTCTTGTAGAGCAGAAAAGAGACAAAAAAGATAACGTCGAATGGTTGATAGCGAAGCCGTACGGTAATATTCCCGAAAGTCTTGATGTTTTCTATACGGCATAATTGCAATCACCTGGTCCTCGTGTCGGATAGCTTGAATCAGATACGCCACATAACGTGCATCCCTGAAAACATTGCAAGCCAAAAATTGAGAGAACTTGAATTCCCCAGCTCTTCAATCAAGTCAAATATGAACAGTACCAACCTCAACTGAGTCATTAGCTCCAATTCATTCATTATTCTTTGAGGACTTGACGTGACGTAAATTCGCTTCAAAGCAACATACACGTTGCCCTCGCTCTTCCTTTTAGTCTTACTGCCAGTCTTATAAGCGCTAGGCAACTTACCGCATTCAAGAGCGTGTCGCTGTAGAGTTTCAGCAAATTTGTTGGTGGCTTGTTCACCAACAAGAGCAGAGAAAGGATCAGGAGGGGTCGTAGTATCTTTTGGGAGGGACGGATTAGCGGATAAAGTCTTCTTGGTCGCAGAACGTGGATCATCAAAGATTGAGCCGGAGCTTGAGGAGGTGTTTGTTGAAGCGAAGTTTCTCACATCCGACGAAGCAGAGGGAATGGATTCATCTACCTCGTCATGAGAAGTCCAGTTTGAATTGTCATATAGGTTATGATGAAGGTCAATAGCTTTATAAACAGATGAAAAAGTCCCTTCTCCGAGTCTATCTAGAAGATGATACGAGGTTTCAATAATGGGACAGAATCTTCCAAGTCTTTGATCTCCAGAGCAATGGCAGCTAATTCGGCATCTGTTCGATCATCCAGGGATTCATCGTCTTCATCGTCTTCTTGAGATTGATCGTGGAGATCGCCGTCACCATCTTCGGCCTCTGATGTGACGTAAGCATTGGCTTCATGTGGTTGAACGTGACTATCGGGTTCATCAGTTTGATCTTCTACGTATTGTGAAGTTGTGTAGCTGATTTCATCATCCTTTCTCCTTGAGTCGAGACTGCGGTCAGGCTGAAAATAGTGGACAGCAGGGGGGAGCATGGTTGAAGCTTTAAGCTGAGAGTTCGGTATCTCGGCTTCGTCTTGCTTTTTGTTGGAGACATGTTGGTCATCTACATCCTCGAGAGTAGCATGAAGATTCTTCGCCGCGGCTTTTGACGTGGATCCTGATGTGTTTCTCTTCTCACGACCAGTCGAATTTCGGCGTAAAGTTGTGCTACGGGCGAATTCCTCTGGCGGCCGCTCGAAAGATTCATTGCGATGGGAGTGTGTAATATCATGTTGTCCTGATTGAATAAGACCACGTCGTTGCGCGTGGAAGTCGCGGTTTTTGTCGCGTTTCACATCATGATCAACTTCGGATTCTTGGTCGGGATTTCTAGGTAAGCAGTCAGTTCGTCTTGGTTCTGTAGGGATTTCGAATGAGGGTGGTTCTGAGTACGTTGGTTGACATTGCTTCGATTCAGAAGTTGATGAAGGTGACATGATTATAGGTTTAAAGTGAAAGTTGGAGAAACTGAAGATGATGAACTTCGTGAGAATTCAGACTATCATACAGGTACACCAGGGGGTAATGGTCCTCGGCCTCGGCCGGTTCCTGTGACGATTTCAAAGGTTTCGTCACCTGAACCGCCCAGGAAGGTGTGGAACCGGTTTCGCCGAAACCGATTCGGACACCGTTCCACCACCGCCTCAGCAACCGTTTGAGAACGGCTGCTGAGGCGGTGGTGAAGCGGTTTTTTCGACACCGATTGCAATCGGTGTCGAACTGTCAATATATGAACAGTAACAAAGTGACAAATCTCCAATCGATTTCATTCCAACATCTTGAAGTGAATGTTGTAAACCAGTAAAAAGATATGGCACAAATTTCTTTAGTGATCCTTTGTCTACTACTGCTCCCGTCACTCCCTGGTATAAAAAGTAAACGTGGTCAAGATTAGTATTCAGATTAAATGTCTTCATTACTCATCCTGGATCAGTAGAAGTCAAAAGATAAACTCAACTTGTGCTACACGGACTGCATCACTTTCAGAAAAGTAAGGCGAGGTAGTCGCATTGTCGAACGTTTCAGCCTTCTTAGAAGCTTGGGCTTCCTTTTTGACTGCCTGTTGTGCTGCTTTACCATGTTCCATAGCATCTAGACTTCCCATCCCTCGGTATGTCTCGAGTCGTTTACCTTCATTGTAATAATATTCTCCTAGTTAATCTGTTGTACCTGCTAGTACTGTAGCCAGCATTGCACCCTCCAGTATGGTCGGTTTGGTGTAGCGGTGAAAGACTCGGGTTTGGGCTCGTGCTCGCTTTTGAGCCTGTGTTCAAGTTCCACTGCCCGATTCCCTTTTTGCACACTCTACGCCGTACCTCAGATCGTTCCAGGGACCGTGTTCAGAGGTCACCAAGGCCGTTTGCTTGCACCGCCAAAAACGGTGATGGGAACCGCATTCGTACGGTCCCATCTGAAATTGTCTCAGAAACGACACAAGTAGTTTAAAACCGTGACGGCAAGAAAACGGTTTCGAAAACCGTTTTCTTGCCGTCCGTTTTTAACTACTTGCGACGTTTCTGAATCAATTTCAGATGGGACCACAAGAATGCGGTTCCCATCACCGTTTTGGGCGGTGCGAGCAAACCGCCTCGGTGACCCCTCGAACACGGTCCGTGGAACGTTCTGAGTTACGGCGTAGAGTTTGCAAAAAGGGAATAAGGCAGTGGGGCTTGAACACAGGCTCAAAACTGATCAACCCCGGGGCAAACCCCAGTCTTTCACCTCTACACTATACACCACGTGCATACAGGTGTAGCACACAAAACCGACGTCGCGCCGAAGCATTCACACGCCTCGCGTGTGATACAGCTGTCAGAAATGTTGATACAGCGCCTGCTGTATCAACACGCACGTTGATACAGCCTCGGCGACAGCAGTGAGACTCTATGTACGGATGGGGACTCATCAAATCTTTTTCATCAGTCCTCATCCTCATTCGACAAAAATGAGGAATCATAGACCTCTGATGAAATTCAAGACTTGATCATCCCTTGCAACGAGAGAGGCTGGGTATGATGCTCATCCTGAAGAGGTTCATAAGTGAGCAATGATTGAGAAAGTCGAGTCCCAGAGCCCATCCCTATTCCCTTATTCATCAGACAACTTGAGATGCAGCTTTGTTCGTGTTTGAAGTGCACTCAGCATTCCTGGAAAGACACCAGCGGTCAGGTTCGAGTAGGAAGGTTTCAATCAAAGTCAACCAGAAATAAACACCTCCAAGAGGATGAGAGAAGGCCTGTGACTGTGAAGAAAAAAGCTGTAGAGAAACCACCGTCAACTTCATCCGACCACACCAGCAATTCAGGTAGCTGCTCTAGTAACGATAGAGTGCCAGTTGCAGACTATACCCGTGAGTACATACATACGTGAAGAAAGTCATTGATAAGTCGAAATCACTAATGACAATACCTGTTTAGTTATTGTATTGGTATTCATTGCTTGGCTTCATTTATTCTGCAATGTGAGTTTGCAAAACTGTCGAATTGCGCGAGATTGAATCGTGAAGATCATCGAAGGTGGTCAGAGGATACCAGCCGGGATTGATATTGGACCTCTGATACGAAAGGACACTCGAACTATTATCAAGCAGCTCAATCTTACCCCCACCCTGATTCAACTGATCTGCTGTCCTTCTTGCTTCAAAATATACACTCCTCGATCCGCACCGATTTTCTGTACTTACCAGCGCGCATCAGATGCTGACGAGTGTGGCGAGCCACTTTTCGAAACGAAGACAACGTTTGGAGCCATTAAAGACAAAGGCCAGAGCAGCATAGGATCGTCCTCAACTCGTCCTTTCAACTTCTTTTCCTCAACTGAGATACCACGATGTGTATATGTAACACAAGATCTTTTAACGTGGATCACCTGGTTTCTTGGAAGGCCTGAAGTAGAATCAGACATTGATAACTGGACTAGCGTGTTGTCAGCTTCTGAAGGACCTGCCATATACGACGTTCAGCAATCTCCAGCTTGGGAGAGTCTTGACTGGAATGAGCCCAATCTCAAAAGCTCAGCTCCATCAATTCGACTAGTCTTCAGTGTCTTCATTGATTGGTTTAATCCCTGGGGTAACAAGATCGCCGGAAAGAAAGCGTCAATTGGCCTAGAAGCTCTCAATTGTCTCAACCTTCCAATCCAAAGTCGATGGAAAACAACAAACACGTGCATTGCTGGTATAATTCCTGGGCCTCGCGAACCCAACAACGTCACTATAAGCCATGTCCTAGACCCATTCATGGAGCAACTCTTGATACTCGACAAAGGTACAATCATTTCTACACATCAATATCCAAAAGGACGAGTCGTTCAAGTTAAGATCCTTCCTTTGATTGCGGATATCGTGGCCGCTCACAAAGTTGCTGGATTTGCATCTCATTCACATACATATTTCTGTGCATTGTGCTATTGTACAAGGAAGGATGTAAAGCAACTGAGAATTGGACGGCTTCGAAAGAAGGACGAAACTTTGGCGCAAGCGTTGAAATGGAAAGATTCAAAGACATCCGAAGAACAGGACAAGATCACGAAAGCCACTGGACTCTGATGGTCGGAGCTCAATCAACTTCCTTCCCGAGACCCAGTTATGCATGTACCACTTGGAGTCATGCATAACTGGTTCAAAGGGGTACTCCAGCATCACTTCCGGAAGCGGTGGGGTTTCGAAAACGAATACAACGCTTCTACGTCAGCCAGCAAAGCTCCGATCCCTCGTCCAGACGAGAGTGATTCAGAAGATATCGGGTTCAACATGAAAACTGATGAAGATACCTGGTCCGATGACTTTGATCTAAAAAAAGGGTCTAAGTTGCCTCTCTTCACCACCAAAGAGCGTGATCATATTCAACAAGCACTGAGGCAAACAGTATTACCATCAGGCATTACAAAAATTCCGAAAAATCTTGGTCAAGTGTCACACGGAAAACTGAAGGCATCCCAGTGGCATTCTTTATTTTCCATCTGTTTACCTCTCGCGATTTTTGATCTTTTAATCATCGATGTTAATGACTTCAAGGAGATTTCGAACCGTGCTCTCATCCTGGACAACATATCTGCTTTGATTTCATGCACCAACATTGTTGCTTCAAAAGCGGTGACAGAACAAGACTGCGCGAAGTTTGAGAAGCTATACAATCATTATGGATCGACGTCTAAGGCCTTATTTAATGAACTTCGAATTACACCCAACCATCACTACGCCCTACATATACCAGATCAACTTCGATATTGGGGTCCATTGATGGGCATCTCTGAGTTTGCCGGAGAAAGGATGAATGGGATACTTCAAAAACTCAAGACAAATCGACATCTAAGTAAGTCACGTTGATCAGAAGTTGACCACATTTTCAACTCGCACTTACATACATCCCTCTGCATCCAGATCAGATGGATGGGACTATGATGCGTAAAACGTGCGAACTGCAGCGTTTGCAGGCGAGTCATCAAATTGAAGTAACTGTCGAACCGAAAAAAAAAACACCAAGCTCAGCAAAGATTGAGCTCACAGATATCATGTATCTCCGGTTGTTGAACCATCTACGTACCATTTACCCACATATTCGCCACTACGAAATGCTCCCCCATCCACCTTCATCTTCAGTCCTACAAACCCGAGCAATACCAGTCGCAGTCCATCACTGCTCTAAATACCTCCGAATCTCACTTATGGCCCCGAATAATTTAATCTTTTACTGGGAAGCCGGGGTACGAAAGTACGGATTTGTCAAACAAATCTACAAGTTAACTACCACGGGGTCCATCAAACCCCAAACTCTAGTGTGGGTCGCACCAATCACAAATCTTTACCCAAAGATTCGGACCGAAAGTTCTTCTACCGCATTTTGACTACAACTTTCACATCTCCGATGCGTGGTTGGAACAGCTGTACAGGACGAGGAATTGTACATATTTCTCAAACCAAAGAAGATTACTGGCGTGGCTGCCTATTGCAATCTTCCTCCTCATACTTTTGCAATTCCTGAAGGTGGAATCATCCTCCGCTCTATTGAGCTGAACTTGCTTGATCCTCATCTTGTAAAGGACAACAAAGTCGTAAATTCATATGGCTCTCTGGAAGAGGATACGGAAATGCAGATTGATTTAACAGAAAAAGAAATTGGTAATTTCATTGGCACTCTGGACGAGGATGTGGAAATGGAGGATGCTTAGGCTTCTTGGGTCATGTACATATTTCGCTTCATTTTTCATTTCCATCATCTATGTAAATACTGTAAATACTATCTTCTTACTTCTTGTGAATTGTGAATAAATGTGAATGAATCATAAGTGCTACTTTCATGTAATTAATCGACCACCATGGTAAGAAATCGCCTCGATAAAGTGCCGCATCGGAACTTGTGCATCTAAATCCATATTGTAGAAATAAATATACGCGGCGAAGAAGTCATTTATATGAAAATGAATTGGTGACTCACGGCTGCAGAGGTAAGTTAGATAGGTAAAAACAAGTACCCCAGGATGGCCACAAATCGGGACCAAAGATACGCTAGAGCCAGCGTGAGCTTGAATTCAAAATTGAAAACGGTTGTTGTGAAACCCATGCCAAATGAAATAGTGAGAGTCCAAGTAGGTCTTATAACACTGAGGGCCCCTTCAATATGGAAAAGGTGGGTTTTGACGGTCCATCGATAAGATAATAAAGTTGCCAGGCGTAGGACGACGTCCAAAGTGATGTTCACGGGGTGGCTTAGAAACTTTGATGAAAAGGTCCAAATCGAACTTTCCCTTGAATAGGAACCCTCAGCATGGGCATCAAAAAGCGACATCTTCGCTCTGATACGATTAAACTTGGTGTAGAGGAAGCCAGAGTCAAGGTTTAAAGTAGCCAAAGTCACGTTTTTCTGACTTTTAAGCGAAGATATGAAGATGTTGGGTACCAACCTTTTACTATTTCGTAAATAATGTTGGGTACCAACCTTTTACTATTTTGTAAATCAAAAGGAAACGTCATTAGGTATTTGTGAAAGTTCTACAATTAACGTCTACAATTGTCTCCGGCTCGGTAGGTCCATCACTGAGGTCGACAAATCTTTTGAGAGATAGGGGGTGACCAAATGCTCCTTTTTCCGTATAAATATCAAGGCTTTGTGCCTATCCTTTCTTGATTATACCATCCCAGAATCTTGTCATCCCAAAAAGAAACTTACCACACTTGATTATTCATCCAAAATGCCAGTTTCATGGGCCAACCTACCGCGTGGAATATTGTCGAGAATATTTCAATTTCTTCCCAATTGGTTCAACGGGGTGCATCGCGTCCTTCTTACACAAGTCTGTAAGCATTGGTATGACGAAGGCATCTATGTGTGAGTTAACATCATCCACAATATGATATATGTCTGTAAGACTTACATTTCAAATATTAGTTGTTGGAAAAATCTCGAGATTTACGGATTGGTGAACACCATCAAACTTAATAAGATCGCTTTTGCTCGGCCAGACCTTGCAGCAATGACCACCGAGCTTGAAATATACAATGTGAAATGGTATGAGTTTTCAGAAGAACATTGGATGTCGATACCTCCCAAGGAAAAAGGCTCTGCTGCCAATTTTGTTTGGCCAGACTTTTATTGCTTCTCATGGACCCCCAACTGTGGTGGTGCGTATCTTATGTAGCTGTGTTAAACCTTTGTACGTGGTACTCAAGTCTTGTAATCACTTTGATTCGCACTTGCTGATTACAAGGTCTGATCCATCCATCTCTCAATAGATTTCAATCGTTGGTTCCAGTGTCTTCTTTGAACAATAGTGATCGTCTGTATGGGTGTGAATGAATGAATGTCAATGAAAATGAAGTACGATTTGAAAAGTAGGATTGAGATTGGAAATGCAATGAAACGCTTCCACGAGAGTTCCACAAGGGACGATTGAGATTGGAAATGTTCCCCCATGAGACGTTTGAGGTTGTCCACTGCGCGTCTTCGCGTATAAAGAAGCAAAAGCTTCGTATAGATGGGCTTCAATCCACCCACATCTATTAGATTTTCAATACCAAATTTCAATCCACCCCCATCTGTTTCCCCGTTATAATATAATCCCCGCTATTGGCTATAACTCGTAGCTATTTTTTGATATACGTCCATCAAATCACTAGTTTTACATCATGAGTCAAGGGATGCATTGGGGAAATCTCCCCAAACACATCCTGGCGAACATCTTTGCATACGTTCCAGATCGTTACTACGGCATCCACCGCGTGGGTCTCACCCTCGTGTGCAAGAACTGGCACAGTGCTATGATCCGAGAGTGAGTTTTGTGCACTATGATTTGGTAGAGTAGATGCCGTGCTAACGTGTGTTTTTGTAGGGCATGGAAACAAATTGAAGTCCATGGGTTGGTGGCTTTAGTCAAACTCAACATGGCTGCTCTGGAACATCCAGAACTCACGCGTATGACCAGATTGGTTCTCGTGCATGATACGAATAGATTGGCTCGAATGAATGCATGGCATTGGGATTGTATACCAGCTACCCAGAAAGGATATGTCATGAATTTTGTTTGGCCCAGGGAATATTTTCCCAAACGCTGGTTTTCCAACGCGGAGGTGTACTACATTGGCTAGTCGTATTCTCATATTCTAGCTAGTTAGGCTCGTCTTTTTTTTATATGACTCGGTATTTTTCTTTTGTATGACTCAAGTTTCTTTTTTGAAGTGACTCTTATGTGCGCGATGTAGGGTTCTTTTTTGTTCTTTTTTGTGTACGATGTTAATTGCTTGATCACTGAGAAAAGAAACATATCCAAATTTGAACTATGTGCACTATGAACAGCTATATACTACTACGTTCTTTCACATTATCTACACTATGAACAAAAACAAAGACTCGACATGGAAAATTGCGACTGCTTGAGATTATTTACACTATGAACAACTATAGACACTATGACCATAAAAAACAGAGCCTCAGGTAGCTGGGATAGAAACTGTATAGCCAATGGCCAAAACAAAAGCTAGGGGTCAGAATTCAATGAGAGAGAGGGATGTGAGTTAAGAAAGAAGCAGTCTTGACATACCTTAGATTCAGTCCTCATCAATGATCATGGCAGACTTGTCACCTTGATCATCTCGTTGATCCTTCTTGGATGATTCATCACCAGAGGAAGGGATTTTATGCTTAGTAGGGTCAAAATCTTCATCCACTTCTGAGCCTTTGTCTTCCTCAGAGTCAAGAAAATCGTCATCTTCAAATTCTCCTTCCTCATAACAGGCTTCATCTTCATCTTCGCCCGAAGTGTCGCTCAAGTGGATGCTGGTTCCTTCGTCTGTATCAACGTCGCTGCCTTTAGCTTTAGCTTTACCTTTACCACGAGGATCTTCATCTTCCTCGGATGCAGACGAAGATGAAGACGTTTCGACAGGATCCAGAGCGTAAGGAGCCGATATCTTCTCATAATATTTTTTGATAAACTTTGAATCACTCAATTTTTCGCCGGGATGGGTGTGGGGTTTCTGGAGTAATGACTTTTTAGCATTAGGGAGGAATATCACCTTGTCCGTCTTAACAAGTGTATATTTGAGATGCTGTGGGAGTGAATTGAAGTAAGTTGGTGACAAAGTATCAAGCAAGCAACGTTGAGGTGGACGGATAAATGTTGACTTTCTGGGCAATATTGGTACCTTCCTGGTACGAAATTGAGTCGGTTTGATGAGAGCTGGGTTGGCATTGGCGATTTCTTGATCCAAACGGCGCAGTAATTGAGTCGCGTTCTCGGAACGATAAGCTAACTTCTTGATAATCCAGTAATTACCATCTTTACTGGGCTCGTCGTCACTATGAGACACAATATCCTCCAAGAAGTTCTTATAACGTTGCTGATAATTCATGGCGGTAGCAAAAGCCAAGCGATGATTTCGAAGCTAAACAAACATCAAGTCAGCATGATGTCCAAGATGAACGAAGATTCAGTACGTACACGTCTTCTACCTGTTTGTGCAGCCTTACGTGCCGCATCCTCTGCACACTTCCCAGCTTCCTTCAATTCTTTCTTGAACTTTCCAGCCATAAGATAATGTACATAGTGATCGTAAATTTGAATTAAAAGTGGAACATTGTTGATATAACTCTCATCCATGTTTGCAGTGTCAAACGCTCCACCGGCAGCGACTTGGCGAAATGCCAAAATCGCACTGATTCTACAGGCGGAGTTGAGAAGTGAATCGGTTGCTTCACTCAGGTCTGGTCCCCAACGTCGAAGACCTAGCTTAGCAAGACTGGCATGAATGAACAGTATGTGTATATCTTTGAGATGGAGAGTCCCACGACCGGCCTTTTGAGTAAGTTGTTTGTCCTTTAGAGTGGTAATTTCGTTGTGTGCGATGAGGGCGAGTGAATTTGCATTCTGAGCGACGCTTTCAATCTCAGCTTGTGTGGTGAACCGGGAATAGAACTCCTTCAATGTCTTCGGATCTGGCGCCTCTGGAACTGCACCCTTGTCTACCAGACCCCAGAGAACTTGGATTGTCAAAAAGAGCGCGTCCTGAGTATCGTAAATGGTATCAGTATTTGACTTCTTTCGACAACAACTACATACAAAGTGCTTACCTTGACAGGCTTGACATTATCATCCAACTCACACTCCAGCAGCTGGCAAGGGTGTCGCTTCGGAGTCGGAGGTTTTACCTTCTTGCTGGATTTTGAGACAGTTCTGATTGGAGTGGATGCAGATCGAACAGGTGTTGGGTGCTTCTTAGACGATGGCCTTGTAGGTGTTTCTGAATACTTCCTCGAAGTGGAGGCTTTGTTGGAGATGGTTTCCTCTGAGAAAGTAGTCGTTGCCTTTCGAGAAGATGACGAAGCCTTCGACTTCTTGTCCATCTTCATCTCATTGAGCTGGTTTCGAAGTAGAGCAATATCTTCATCTTTTGATTCAACTTGACTTTTAAGTTCGGCGAGCTGGCTAGCGACAAAAGCTTTGAGTTCGGAAGATAAGTTTTCCGACATGATTCAGGGATTGAAGACAGAGATAGAAGAGTTTGATAAAGCTAGAAGACTTTCGACCACCAAGAGGTATTCGACAGAAATAGTATGATATTTGACAGAAGTTAAACGATTAACCAAGATTGAACAAATACCAAAGGATACTACTAAAGGGAAAAGGGAACTGAAGCTGAGGGGGAAGTGATGGTTTGACTGGGTTCTTAAGATGGACACTGCAGGTGTTCGAGCGGCGTGTTTACGTGTTTACATTCCGAATATGTCATCGCAGCTCCATGGGATTATCCCTTGATACTCGGATTTTGGGATTAGCCCTTGATACTCGGATTTTGGGATTAGCCCTTGATACTCGGATTTTGGGATTGGCCCTTGATACTCGGATTTTCAAGATGTATAATGTACAAAAATGAATATGATCGAGGAGTGTGGGAAAAAGTGAGGTGTAGCAGACAAGAGCAGACAGGATCGGGTGTCGCAGTTGCTGTTGCACACACTGTACCACGCGCTGTTTCCCACGCGGAGTCTGTGTATACGTCAGCGCGACGTAACATTTGTTACGTCAGCTGTATGCACGTGGTGATACCAACCACAAGAAGAAACCCCGTATGTCACACCATGATGCTTTCGAATCGTACTTCCATTTGTTTCTTTCAACTTTCTTGACTTTGTTCTTGGTTTTTAAGTCTTCAAGGAAATCGATCGCTTCACTTGGCTTTGGTTTTTCGATTTCATTTACACTTTATCTTTTGATCATTAACTTTAGAAAACAACATCCGCCTCATCATCATCATCTCTTATATTTTTATCTTGAACTCTTAGGTGTTTGTTTCTTTAACCTTGAAGGAAGTTTATGTTTATCAATCTCCATCTTATCATTTACAAACCAATTCCATTCAACTCATTATTTCAAACCGATCTTAATCAGTTTGATGTCTTTAGCATCCACTTTAATCAGTTGTTTTGATCTTCAAATGGCTATCTTAATCTCATTTTCGACCATCTCAAGTTTTTTATCTATTTTGACTTTAGATTTGATCATGAGTAAAAACTTGGGAATCGGTTTAGCTTGGAGAGACAGTTCGACACCGATTGCAATCGGTGTCGAACAAACCGCTTCACCACCGCCTCTGCAGCCGTTCTCAAACGGTTGCGAGATGCAGCTCGTTCCAGAAGCGGTCGTGGAACGGGGTCCGAAACGGTTTCGGCGAACCCGGTTCCACACCTTCCTGGGCGGTTCTGGTGACGAAGCCTTTGAAATCGTCACAGGAACCGGCCGAGGCCGAGGACCATTACCCCCTGGTGTATGGGTTATCATCATTTCAAATGAGTCCTGTGAAAGGATTTCGTACAAACCATGTGTGTTCCCAGGACCCTGGAAAACTCCTACCGAGGCTCAAGTTGTGGGCGCGTGTTTTGAAAAGTCAGGCGCACCGGTGCGCCTGTTTTCACAAAAAAAATTGCCTTGCACCCCTGTGCGACGGTGCGACGCACCCTCGTCTCGAGTCTCTTTGTTTTAGATAAAAGCAGCGGAATACATATATTTCATCATACAAACTTGTACATTATTATGGATGAAATTTTTATCAGACAGGATAAATTGAGAAATTTCATAGGAAATCATTTGAAGAGATCATTGGCACTCCAGGCCACTCCAGGACTGTCTGGAACATCCATAACATGCAACTCTTGAGCCAGACTAGATGAACAACTTTTCTCAAATAATCGGAAATCAAAGATGGAAGTGATAAATCCAGTTTCTTCCACATAAAGACTGGAATAAATAGGGTCCAGATGAGCGAATACACCTTCAAAATATTCCAATTCTTCGGCCAGGCCCAAGTCTTGCTCAGCAAGAGCTTCTTCAGTATTGATATCGCTTTTCAAAGCTTGTTTTTTGGCCTGAGGGCCCTTGTTTGGAGTTGGGCAGACTCCACTTGGAGCTGTTTGGACCTGACATTGAAGTATGTGAGAGGGAGCTGAAGAAAAAAAATCTGCCTGTTGGCACTGGCAGGTTTAGGATCCCTTGCAGCTCATCCCTGTCGCACCCCACGCACCCCCTTTTTTGGCTCCTTGGGTGCGACAGGTGCGTCGCAGGGTGCTTCCGCACCCCTGTGCAGTGCACCCACCCTGGTGCCCACAACTTGAACCGAGGCGTCTGATGAAACCTGTTTTTCAGTTTTTGGGCTCCACACAACACACCACTCCTTCCCTCAAGGTCCAGAGCACTTCAAAGGATGCGCATAGAGTAGGGCTATCAAACACGCCTACTCCGCGGCTCTCAACTTCGCTCAATTGGGCGCAAAATCAATTGGCACAAAATTCTTCCGTGCCTCAGAGGCCTGATCCTAACATTCAATTTTGAGGCTGTTTTTGACTGTTACATCCAATTATCTCCGGAAGTATAGGTGCTACAAGACTAAAAGCTAGCTCAAATGAAAGCCTTGTATATCACTCACATTTTGCACTACTGTAGGTCTCTTGAATGTGATGTTTAGTGCCCAAAAGCCTTGCCAACAAGATGTCGGGTTTTGCATCAGATGCCTCAGTAGGCGCTTTCCAGGGTCTTGTGTTACCTGTTACTGAGCCACTAAGTGTCGAACAAGGAATGGGTTACACAGCGGGAATGAATCACAGCCCCCATCTACTGGGCTCTGGCAGGCCAGAACTTGAGTTTCCAAAAGATTTCACCAAAACATTATGCTAGCTTCAGAGAAGCTTCAAAAGAGCTTAAGATGATGCCTGCAAAAATCTGAACAGGTCTCCAGACCAAAGAGGCCAGTAATTACATGGCTGCACATGTGTAGTAACATGTAATCAAGAAGCCAGATGGCTTCCATATGGCCACATGGAAACCTATATCCTGAGGGCCAGTGATTACACGGTTCTGTACATGTGGAGATACATGTAGTTGTCATGTCATATGGTTTCCATGTGGCCACATGGAAACCTATATCTGTGGACTCAGAGCCCAATCAACCTGTACATGTGGAGTTACATGTAATTGTCATGTCATATGGTTTCCATGTGGCCTCATGGAAACCTCCTGTACAAGTGGAGTTGCATGTAATTGTCATGTCATATGGTTTCCATGAGGCCTCATGGAAACCTCCTGTACAAGTGGAGTTACATGTAATTGTCATGCAATATGGTTTCCATGAGGCCTCATGGAAACCTCCTGTACAAGTGGAGTTACATGTAATTGTCATGTCATATGGTTTTTATGTGACCACATGGAAACCATATGCTTCAAATTTATACATGACCAAGTCAAAACTTGTTGTGACAATTGAGAGCAGGAGAGAATAACATAGACTGGGCCCATAATTGATTCCTTGATGTCAGATGAATGCATGTGAGTTGTGCTGGGTCATATGTCCAGCTGAAGCTATATTGAAGCTTGATTGACAACATATTGAAGCTTCCATGAAATCTTTCTGAATTTTTCATGAATTTCTCATGAAGTAAGTGGTAGGCTCTGGCCTGCCAGAGCCCAGTAGATGGGGGCTGTGAATAGGGGTTGGGCAAAGAAGCAACCAACCGGTTTTGCTCTGTTGTGAAGTAAGTGGAAAACAGCCAAAGATGGCCGAGATCAACTGGGTGCAGGTTTCACAGATCCCTTGCTGTGCCAGGTTACCCAAAGAGACCCAAAGCAGTCTTTGGGTCTCATTTTTCTCCTCCAGAAGCTTTTGCACCTTTCACAGGAGCGCCTGGGGATCTGTCTATGGAGAAAAGGGGGCGTTTTCATGGCTTCCAGCAGGGCAAGTTCCTTTTTGCTGTAAGACTTTTGAATGGTTAGAGCTTTAACGTGATCTAGAGGGACTTCATACTGGTCTGTTTTTTTGCAAAGCAAAAAGTGGGATAAAAGTGTTGGTTTGTTTTAGTTGGCTTTAATATTACAGCTATTCTGGAAATTCATGTCTTACTCCAAAGTTCTTTTTTTGCACTTAAGGTTTACACTAAAATACTGTCAGTACAGTGCTGTACATAGTCCAATCTGAGTTACCTCCAGTCCCTGTAGAAGCGGAACCTAAAGATGGCTGAGCATTAGGTTTCCCCCTGGCCTTCCACCACCTAGAGGCTAGGATACAAACCAAATGGATTGGTGGTAGACCATTCAGTAGGCCATTCACCAACCGATCCTCTCATCAAATCAAAGATCAATCAATCAACATCCATCCTCACCCAACTCATCACAAACTTTCCAATTCAGCGCTTCCGTTCAAGCAATCACAACCATGCAATGACCTACCATGTTGACCGGTTCAAACACTACGTGGATCAACGGAGTATCTTGGGACCAAACTCACATAGCACCATTAATTCTCAATCCAGACCATCCAAGGCAGGAGGTCTGGCATTAAAAGCAAGGGTGCCACTATACTATACCGGTATGAGTATAGTTGGGTATAGTATAGTTTAACTTGTACTACACTATACCCAGTATAGTATAGTTGGAACTATACTCTTCTCAACTATACTCAGTATAGTATTAATTGATCAACTATACATGGACAAGGGTTACACAAGTTTTCCATCAGCATGTTCAACTATACTGCACAGTATAGTATAGTATAGATGATTATAGTTGTACTATACTATACCGAGTATAGTTCAAGTATAGTATAGTTGAACTATACTATACCGAGTATAGTCACAGTATAGTATAGTATAGTAGTGTCTCACCTGTGACTCTTCAACAGCAAGGCATCTTACCATCCCCCTCAATTTTTGCTCCAAAATCCCCTCCCCAACATTATTTATCTCACTTCAATGCAATGCTGAGATTGCTGCAACAGGGATAGTTGTATCATAGGTGTATTGTAGCGCAGTTGCGATATCACTATAGGCATATGCTTATATTGTGTGAGCACTACGCTATGAGAAATAGGGCAGTGGGATATCGGCCGGGCAGATACGATACCGCTGTGATCTCTGATATTTATCGGCAATAGTTGTTACATACGCCAGTTTCTAGAAGTGCCAAAGAGTGACACCAGCTTTCCATT